ACCAATGGCCCCCACACCAGCAAAAAAGTAAATCAATCCACTGAGGTGGAAGCATCATTTTAGAGAAAATAAAACTAAGAGGCTAAGTATGATTGAGAGTTCGCTCCCAGGCACTGAGCGTGATTCTGGCAGCTGTGCCTTGGACCCTCAGCACGGAGCTAAAACCAGCAACAGCAATTAAAAGTGATTTGTACCTCCATACGCACTGAACATGTGGAAAGGCCAGAGAGACAGTACATCCAGTCAGGTGCTTTTCTGGCATGTGGCTACCTGGTTTAATGCCCGTAAGCAAGCCCTGGGCACAGTGGTGTGTAGCCCAAAAGCTGAAATCGTGCCCATATAGAAACACACTGAAGACTCCAAAGAGCATTCAAGTTCCTCAGGAGTTGAGACAGAAAGGTCTAGAATACCACACCTGTCCGGGATTCCTACAAGGTTTCTCAGAACAGGGTCCACGGAGTTTCAGAACCTAGTGGAAGAGGCACGCTCAGAATCTGTTCCCCAATGCCGGGTCTGACTGCCCAGTTCTGCCAGGGTTGGTGAGAAAGGTCTGAGCACAAAAGAAAAAGTTTCCTCTGCATTGCACCGATCTTTAAAACACAGCGCAGTTCGCCACGGGGCTAAAACCCAAAGCGCCAGTGGCCAGGCCCGGAATCTCAACTGAGTTCAGTCCGGGAAGATGAACTCAATTCCAAATCGGGAGTGCTGGAGCAAAAGGACTTCTTTGATCTATCACCCCTTTCCAGAAAAAAGCAAAATCACTCGGCATCCCCACGGAAAGCTCTTTTCTTGGAGCATACATACAGACACACACACACACACACACACACGCAACTGCTGGTGTTGCCTTACCCAGAGCAACTCCACTCACCATCCCGCCCCCTCTCCTTTCCACTCAACTCTCCAGCATCCTTGCACCTCAGGCTCTAGCCAAGTGACTCCCTCAATCATTCCACCCCTCCTCAGCCCCTGCAGAAAGGCACTGTCCACTTTGTTCTGGGGGCCACACCTGGCATTGCTCAAGGTTTACTCCTGGCTCTGCGCTCAGGAGATGCTCAAGGGACCTCACCCCTGGAGGTGCTCAAGGGACTCTATGGGAGCCAGGGATCCAACCCTGGTTGGCCGTGTGCAAGGCAAGCGCCCACCCCGATGTCCTATTGCTCCAGTCCCACTGTATGTTGCTCATTTTGGAAAACACTGAGCTAGATCTGAGTTAGATAGACCAGGGCACAGGCTTCACACTCGGGAGGACCCAGTACGTACTCCCCCCCCAACAAAGAAACAAACAAACAAAACACTAGGCTTCATCAGGCCTCTCCTCTCTCGCAGTCAGGGGCTGCACCATGGGAGCCGTGTACAGCACACAACACACAGCTGGCCAGAGATCATTCCACAACATTCCCCTGATTCCCTCCCGTCTGCCCTGGGGCACAGATTCCCTTTCCCTCTGCCCGCCCCTTTCCATGTCAGCATAATTGAGCTCAGTCACCTCACTCAGGAAGGCTTGGAGTCATTCCTTGACAGAAGGCAGCTACGACCCCACTCACCCATGCCATCACCTCTGCTACCTCCTCTAGCCTCAATGCCTGAGCTCCAAACCCCATCACCCTCCGGTCCTTTGTGTGTGTGTGTGCGTGTGTGTGTAGGGGTGGAGGCCGAGCCCAGCACAGGCCTGGTGTAGGTCCCGGATCTTTCTCTTCACAGCAGCCTTTCGGGCAGTGCTTTGTAGGGCTGGCTGGCTGTGAAAGCCAGCTCAACTTTCAGGCACTGAGGCTGGAGTGATGGTCCGCTCAGAGGTTAAAGTAGCTGCCTTGCCAGGGGATGGCTTGTGATACCCCATAACACACAGTCCCCCAGAGGGCCGAGCCCAGCGAGGTGAGCACTGCAAAAGGTAGCCCAGGAAACCCCCAACTGCAGGGTCCAAGCAGCACCACCTCCTCAGGAACCCTGGGGTCGAACCCCTTGGCAAAGCTGGCCCACTACTGTCCTCCAAAAGATAGGAAATAGGGGGCCAGAGAGTTCAGTGAGAAGGGCGCTGGCCTTGCATATGGCCAACTGGGATGCAATCCCCAACATCCTATTGGTGCCCTGAGCCCACCAAGATGAGAGAGATCAAGTACAGAGCCAGAAGCCCTGTGCATTGCTGGGTATGACCCAAAAAGAAAAAAAAAAAACATAAAAAAAAGAATAAATAAAAAAGGAAAGCAATATTGGGCCAAGGAGCTAGCTCGTCAACTAGAGCAGGCTTGAATAGCACAGCGGGTAGGGCCGTTTGCCTTGCATGCGGCCAACCCGGGTTCGATTCCCAGCATCCCATATGGTCCCCTGAGCACTGCCAGGAGTAATTCCTGAGCGCAGAGCCAGGAGTAACCCCTGTGCATCGCCGGATGTGACCCAAAAAGCAAAAAAAAAAAAAAAAAAAAAAAAAAAGGGGCAGGTTTTACACACAGGGACCCCCAGTTTGATGTCTGGAACTGCAAGCTGGAGTGCTGCAGGATGTGGTCCTCATCCCACCCCACCCCACCCCACCCTCCCACTGCCCAAACAAACAAACTAGAGTTTATGCAGGGCTGGGATCATGACACTGCAGGCTATTGTCCCCAAAGTCACAAAAAACGAACAATAACAACAAAAAAGTTTATGTACTTTTTGTTGGGGGGCAGGGGGTATTCATACCTGGTGGTGCTCAGGATGAATTACTTCTGGCTCTGCACTCAGGGATTACTTCCTGGTGAGCCTTGGGGAACCACACGAGGTATCAGGGATCAAACCCGGGTTGGCCATGTGCAAGGCAAACGTCCTACCCACTTCACTGTACCACAAAGTTTACACGATTTTTTGAAACAAAGCAACTTGAAAACCCAGTCCCATTAAACTACTGCATATGGGGCTGGAGTGATAGCACAGCCGGTAGGGCGTTTGCCTTGCACGAGGCCGACCCGGGTTCAATTCCCAGCATCCCATATGGTCCCCCGAGTACTGCCAGGAGTAATTCCTGAGTGCATGAGCCAGGAGTAACCCCTGTGCATTGCCGGGTGTGACCCAAAAAGCAAAAAAAATTAATAAACTGCCGCATACTGTGTGTTCAGTGTACTTTCCCAGAAGACACTAGCTACCAGCTTCAGCAATATATACACTACTCAGGGGCAACCTTCTGAATTTGCAATGGACCCACAGAAGCCCCCACCGCTCCAAACACCCTCAACCCCCCCCCCCCAAACACACACACACACACACACACGCATCAGTATTTCCAAAGACTTCTTTGGCAACTGGAATTTTTTACATTCAGGACAAGAGGAAGCGTAAGCTTTGGTAGTCCTGGGGGCTATGCCCCGACTCTTTTTGTTTTAGCAAGAAATTCATGGAGAAACCAAAGATCCAGACTCCTCTGAGGTTCTGTGTGAGGCTCTCTGCCTTGGAACCCTTGAGTTACCATTTCCCACTGCTCTGGGGGACTAGCCAGTAAGAGATCCCTCAGAACGGAGCCAGAAGCTCTGAGCACCACCAAGTGTGACAAGCCCTCCCTTCCCTGCTGAGTGCACAAGCGCACATGCGCGCGCACACAGAGAGAGAGAGAGACAGAGAGAGACAGAGACAGAGAGAGAGAGAGAGAGAGAGAGAGAGAGAGATCACACTATTTCTAACTCCTGAGCAAAGCCCCCAGTGATTGATCCGGCCCCGATTAATTTCTCTCTTCTACAGTTCTCTTTTCAGACTTTGCTGCCTTTTATTAATTTTTTTTTTGGGGGGGGGGCTGAAGCGGGCAGATGAATCCTTTGGAGCGGGCCTGAACTCAGGGCCTCACACCCAGGAGTGGTGGGCTCCAGCAGAGAGCCTTCCCCTAAGCACAGGGAGCCCCGGCCTCCCGCAGTATCTTTTCTAAAGCTACTTTGTATCTAGAACGTATTTTTCAATTTCCCTAGTTGTAGCATAATCTGTCCGTGGTTCCGTTAGGTCCCGTCAAGAAGTCGGGAGTGGTGAGGGGGTACAGAAAAGGGATGGGGGACAGAAGATAAGGTGCATGTCATGTCCCTCCTCCACCCCATCCGTCCAGGGGGGAATCCCAGGTCACAGAGCCAGGAGTAAGCCCTGATCAAGGAGGGGCGCCCCAACCGCCCCCCCCCCTCCCCTCCTCCCGGAAAAGCAGCAGCAGAGGCTGCTCGCGGGCCACCGAGGGATGGTCTTTATGCCAAGCGGCTCGGTATTTCGTGCAAGAAAAGGACCCGACCCTGTTAAGAAGGATTGCCCCCCTCCCCCCCAGCTGCTTGCTAACTGGCTCCATCAACAGGTGCTGAGGTTTAAGGAAAAGACCCGCAGCACCGGAGCGTGGGAACGACTCCGGGACGGGTTCGGAAGAGCCGACTGTGAGCGAAGTCTGGGGAACGGGGTTCGGGTCCGCCAGGCTGGCCTGTAAGGGCAGAGAGCTTCCCCCCAGGTTTCTGCCGGGGCGTGGGGGGGGGGGGGGTCAGGGGGGAAGCCCGTACGGTGGGAGAGACCAGCGCTTTGTTTACGTGGTTGGAACGAGCCAACCAGACTGCCCAAGACGACAGGCGCCGGCGCCTTTCCTGGGGGCTTCCTGCGCCCCGCGGGTGCCCCGGCCCGCGCCTTCCGGGGTCCTGCGGCCCGAGTCCGGCCGACGCTGCTGCCAACGTCGTTGACCCCCCGCAAGACAGAACCGGAGGGACCCGAGGAGACTTTGAAGTTCCACCCATCCCGGACGCAGCTGAGCGCTCCAGTTGGGGGGGGGGGGGGGGGCTAGAAAAGTAACATTTTTCGCGGCGCCCCTCCGGGTGGGTCTCCCCAGCCCGAGCCCGCCCGGCGCCAAATTCAAGCCCGGCGCGGCGGGAAGCGGGACTGGAGGCGGGGTGAGGGGGTAGGGGGGTGGAGGGTCGCCGCGGTCGCCGCAGGCTCGGGCGGTCGGGACGCGGCGGCTTCGGGGACGGGTTCCGCGCCCCCCGCGGCCCGGCCCCGGCCCCGGCTCCCGCGCTCGCACTCACCCCCAGCCAGACCGAGCTTCGCCCGGGCTCGGCGCCGGCTCCGCGCTGCTTCCTCCCTCGGCCTGCGGGTCGAGCGGGCGGCCTCAGGCGCCCCTAGCAACCACGCCGCGCCACGCGACCCGCGCTCTCAGCCGCCGCCGGCCTCGCGCTGCGCGCGCCCCCAGCGGACGCTCCGAGGCCTGGAAGGCCGAGCCGGGACGGAGGGAGGGAGGCGGGCGGGCGCGCGCCGACGCGCCGAGGGTGCGGGGCGCCGGCTAGGCCGGGGCACGCTCTGCGCGTGCGCGGCCCCGCCTCGCGCGCGGGGGGTGTGGTGGTGGCTGGAGCGCAGGATTCTGGGAGTTGTAGTTTCTGAGGCTGAAAATACACGGTCCGTGCTACCTCGCCTGCCACACACACGCACAACACCCCATTGCCTCACACTCACAACCACCCCCATGCCCCCCTCACACACATGCCCATGCTGTCTCACGCACACACACACAACCACCCCCATGCCTCCTCTCACACACATACATGCCCATACTACCTCTCTCACACACACAAAACACCCGCATGCCCCCCCGCCACACACACACACACACACACACACACACCACCCCACTCCCCCCATACACACATGCCCATGCTATCTTGCGCGCGCACACACACACACACAACCACACCCATGCCTTCCCTCACACACATACACACACGTCCATGCTACCTCTCTCTCTCTCATACACACACAAAACACCCTCATGCCCCCCACACCACCCCCATGCCCCCCTCATACACACGTCCATGCTATCTCGCACACACACACACCACCCCATCCTCATACATACGCCCATGCTACCTCGCCCACGCACACACACACACCACCCCCATGCTACCTCACCCCCCACACACACCACCCCGATGCCCCCCTCACATACGTGCCCATGCTACCTCGCCCTCATACACACACCACCCCCACACCCCCCACATGCCCATGCTACCTTACACACACACACATACACACACAAACACACACAACCACCACACTTATGCCCCCCCCCCCACACACACACACATACACACACGTTCGCCAATGCTACCTCATCCCCTCCGAGGCACCAAGCAAATTCACACACACCACCCCCATCCTCCCCCAAAGGCTTGATACTGAGACTTCAACCCTGATTTCTCCTAAGATCTGTGGCCTTTTCCCACCTCACCCCGAGGCAGCAGTAGCTTAATTTCTCATCTATAATCAAAGAGCTCAAGCTTCGTAGAACAGCTCTACCTCTGCGATCTAGAGGAAGCCCTCCACATAAGGGTTTGTAAACACACACACACACACACACACACACACACACACACACAAACTTTTCCTTTTAAAAGAAAGAGAAACAGATTCTGAGCACCGTGGGTGTGACCCCATCTTCTACCCTATTCCAATGAAACTTTTTTTTTAAGTTAAGGGGAACAAGGAGGAAAAAACAAAAATATTAACAAAAAAAAAATAAGCAAAGAGCCCCAATAAGAAAAATTTTTACTTGTTATTTGCAACACTTGATTTATTGTTTGCTTCCTTTAGTTACTAGTTATTTCCAAAGACTTGATTTCTTTTTGTTTTGTTTTGCGGCCACACCTGATGATGCTCAGGGCTTACTCCGGACCTTGCACTCAGGAATTACTCCTGGCTGTGCTCAAGGGGTACCAGATGGGATACTTTGTGATCAAACCCAGGTCAGTGGCATGCAAGGCAAGCACCCTATGCCCTGTACTACCGCTCCAGACCCTGAGCATGGCTGGATGGGACCCTCCCCAACCCCTCCAAAAATCAAACTCTCTCCTGCATACCCTTTGTCTTCGCCTTCCTGCCACGTGTGTGCTGTTTATGGAGGGAATGTGTATATAGGATGTTTCATCCCATCGGATGTCACCTGCATCTCCATGTTCTCACTGGACAAGCATTTGTTGCTCTGTGTGCTAGCAGAGGAGCTGAAGAATGTATGATTCTTTACAGGACAAATTCAGAAACAGTCATGAACCCAGAAGAGTGTAGTGGCTCTGGCCACAAGAGAAGGAGGCACAAGGCAAAGAAATACTGGGGGCCGGGGTAGAGGTATAGGGCGGGGACACGGTGCCGCCCAGATAGTACAGTGGGTAGGGTGCTTACCTTGCAAACTGGATGACCTGGGTTCAGTACCCAGCACTGGGCATGGTTCCTGGAGACCGCTGTGTGTGGGGAAGAGGAGGAAGAAGAGGAGAAAGAACTGAGATGTCCTAAATGTGCAGGAGTGTCTGTTTTGGGTCCATGGACTTCTCTAGTTATTTGTGCTATTTCTGTTTTTATTTCTCCATTGCCCCGCTACCCCTCAGATTTTTTTATTTACATTTTTTTTATTTTCCCCTTAATACTTTATATAAACTCTAAAGCTTATAAAGTTGTTCCTGTTGATTTTGATGTAGGCAGGTAGATTAGGGAAGGACCCTCCTCCCCCAATTATGACAACGAAATTCCTGGGAAATAATAAAGCCACCAGTCCTAAGTCTGACCCACCTTGTGGATATAGAAAGCAAGATCTGATAAGACCGTCTCCAGCAGCAGACCACGAGGAGACTGGAGCCCTCTCTACAGAAAGGGCCTGCAGGAAATTACTGGAGAACCTCAATTCCTTCCTTTAATCCGACAAACCCTCAGCTACCCCACAGCAGAGAAGGCTGGACCCACCCTCTGAGAGAAAGATCCAGCAGGAACAAAGGTCAAGAAAAGGAGTTTCAAAGATGATCACTACCCACTTTGCAATAACGCTAGCAATGGACTCTTATCTAGCTAGAAAGCCCCATGTGGGGTCGCCTTAGAAAAACCCTATAAAAGTCACCTTGAACAAAGGGAGGGTATGCATATGCTGCCCATGTGCTGCTTGTGCTCACATGGCCAAGCATATGTGTCACCTGAGCACACAAAATTCACATACCAGAGTTTTTCAGCAGATTAATTTCTGGATGAGTCTCGACCCAAGCACCCCCCAGCTTTTCTAGATAGCAAGAGACCTAAAGTTAACTTAAATATAATGAGTGGCTTTGTTGCTTGGGTCAGATATTCAAACCACTGGCTGCAAAAGACTATTTTTGAGAGGAAGGGGAAATCCTGGAGACAATAACTAGCCAATGTCTGCTCTGTGGAGAGCAGTGAGAATTCAGCGATGGAGCACCTGCCTGGCAGATTTTTTTTCTATTCCCTTCTTTTTACTGTGCCCAGATCAGATTCAGGTCTCAGAGGCATTAAAAAAAAAATTCCTCTCGGGGCCAGAGCAATGATGGTGCAGTGGGTAAGATGCTTGCCTTGCACTCAGTCGACCCAGGTTCGATACCCAGCAGCCTATATGGTCCCCTGTGCACCACCAGGAGTAACTTCTGAGCATCACTGTATGTGGCCCAAAAGTAAACAAAAAGGTGAAAAAGCAAAACACACCCTTAGCCCATTTTCTTCTCTCTCCCCTTGCTGTTCTTGCAATGATTGTGGATGGCACACACTTGGCACACTTGGTCGTGAGGGTTGCATACTTTTCCTGGTGCTCAGACACTCAGACACGCCCCCACCCCCAGGTTCATACAGTTTTTTTTTTCTTTTGGGTCACACCCGGTAGTGCACAAAGGTTACTCCTGGCTTTGTACTAAGGAATTACTCCTGGCGGTGCTCAGGGGACAATATGGGATGCTGGGAATTGAACTCGGGTCAGCCACATGTCAGGCAAATGCCCTAGCCGCTGTACTATCGCTCCAGCCCCGAGTTCATACAGATTAACCTTGGTGCTTACACACATTGGCTGTAATGCACCTCAATGACACACTTGCTGTGGCACCAGGGATCTCAGACTGCAGTGCCGCTGGGATCTGGGATCACACTTGGGCACATGGGCAGTGCCAGGGACCGAACTCATGGCCTCAAGACCACTGATCCTGTCCTTTGGGATCCCAGGGGCCACAACCAAGTCAATGATGCTCAATGCCCCAGAGGGCTCAGTACCACATAGGGTTCCTCAGCCCAGCCAGTAGTAATCACAGAGCACAGAGTCAGGAATAAGCCATGAATACAGCAGATATGGGGGAAAAAAACGAAAGAAATCAGTGGGGTGTTTTTTTTGTTTTTTTTTTTTTTTGCTTTTTGGGTCACACCCGGCAATGCTCAGGGGTTACTCCTGGTTCATGCACTCAGGAACTACTCCTGGCCATGCTCAGGGGACCATATGGGATGCTGGGGATTGAACCCCGGGTCAGGCGGCATGCAAGGCAAACACCCTACCCGCTGTGCTATCACTCCAGCCCCAGAAATCAGTGTTTTTAAGTCAAAGAATCAGATCTGTGGTTTTAAGTCACTAAGTGTGGCCATTTGTTGTGGCAGCCACAAGCTGCTTTGAAATTCCAATTACTTACAGAAATATCCTTATAGACACTTGCACATGGTTTGGGGGGGGGAATAAAGGGCATGATGTCTGCTTTTGCTTTAAATACGACAGCAGGAGCAAAGGAAACAGCTCATGGGCTGAGTGCATGCAAAGCATGTGGGAGGCCTGGGTTCAACCCAGGTCCCCTGAGTATTGCTGGGAGAAACTGCCTGACCACGGCCAGATGGGGCCCCCAATCCAAAAATAAATCAATAAAAATACTACAGCAGGGGGTGCAGAGATAGCACAGCGGGTAGGGTGTCTGCCTTGCACACGGCCGACCCAGGTTTGATTCCCAGCATCCCATATGGTCCCCTGAGCACCGCCAGGAGTAACTCCCGAGTGCAGAGCCAGTAGTAACCTCTGTGCGTCGCCAGGTGTGACCCAAAAAAAAAAAAAAAACCTACAACAAACACCCAGTAGCAGCAAACACTTGGAGAACCCAGATCTTGGTTTCTTATCCCATCCTCCATTAAATTGCATCAGGGACCCTGGGGGAAAGCTCGGTTCTAGGACAGGGAATATATATATGAGATGGGACTGATGCATCCTTTAGTACCATAAGGAAAAGAGAAGTCTCCCCAAAACCCATGTGGATGTAGAAGGATTCTCTGTCTTAAGTAAAAGGGAGTCTAAGTCCCCAGTCACTACGTGAGCTGGTTACAGTGAGCCCCTCTCAAAGAGCACAGCAGAGTGAAATTATTCAAAGGGAAACTGGGACCACTGGTGGTGGGAAATGTAGACTGGTGAAGGGACGGATGTTGGAACATTATATGACTGAAACACAATCATGAACAACTTTGTAACTGTGTATCTCACTGTGATTCAATTTAAAAATTAATTTTTTTGAAAAGAAATGAGTTAGAAGGAGAGGGACAGACAAACGGTCAGGATACTCATTTGTGGAATACCCAAAACACAGTACGAGATTAACACCCAAGAACAGTAGAAACAAGGGCCAGGAGGTCTAGTCCACGGTACGAAGCTTGCCACAAGTGGCAGAGGGGGGGTGGTGCGGTAGGGGAGGACGGGTCTGGGGGGGTGTTAGGACAAATAAGGGACCACTATAATGATAGCTGGAAATGATCCCTCTGGAAAAGAAATCAGCACTGAAAGGAGGTAAAAGGATATACCTATGCCCTTTCAGTAGCAGTACTGCAAGCCTCTGTCTCCTGGCCACTCCCTATTCTCTGCCTTCAATACTTCTTCTAATGCAGCCTTTCCTGGGGGTCCTCAAGCCAGCAGGCATCTTCTCTCTCCCAGCCTTTGAAGCGATCTTTTTCTCTGAACTGAAGACTTTGCCCATTCCCTCATCTCCTTCTGGTCTTTGCTTAGACCTCACCTTCTCAGCAAGGGTGACCCGCACATCCAACTCTCACTCATCCTCCTTCCTCGGCCTTTCACCAGAATATTGATCACCATCTGACATACTGTATGTAATTCACATATCTGAATTACAGTTCTTCCTGCCCCACAGTCACTGCACCAGAACAGAAAGTCTATTACTGATAAGCATAGAACTTTGTCTCCAGGGCTTAGAACAGGTTTAGACACATAAGACGGACTCAATACACATAGGTGAGTTGAATTAAAATAATTTGGACAGGAGAAAATGGCTGTGATCTCTGGGGAGTTTCAGGGAGCAAAGTGCTACTTTGGCTAAAATACATATAGAGTGGGCATAGAAGAGAACTAAGTAACACCCTTCGTAAAAATATAAGCACATTAGACTATACTTTCAGGGATCATTTCTATAGTTCATTACCAGAGGAGTTCTCTGATCGTGTAGAGCCAGAGCATCCTCCTGATAGTAAAGCCAGTTACAGGTGGGGACCTTGGACCATGCAGTGCTGAGGTTCACATTTGGGGTTTCAAACTTGAAACTGATTCCTGCATGCAAAAATATATCAGTCTTTTTACTGTTTTACCCCCCCCCTTTTTTTGGCTTTTGGGGTCACATCTGGCAATGGTTAAAGGGTTACTCCTAGCTCTGCAACTCAGGAATTACTCCTGCTTGGGGGACCATATGGGATGCTGGAGATTGAATCTGGTGGGTTGCATGCAAGGAAAATGCCCTCCCTGCTAGACTATCGCTCCAGCCCCAAAATGGTGTTTTACCATCAATGATTATTTTCTTCTCTTCCTTTGGAAGAGGGAGAGGATGTAGTCTGGTTTCATGAAAAAAATATTTTATATAATATATATGTATATATATATATATATATATATATATATATATGGGTTGGAGTGATAGCACAGCGGGTAAGGCATTTGCCTTGCATGCAGCCAACCCAGGTGACCCGGGTTCAATTCCTCCAACCCTCTTGGAGAGCCTGGCAAGCTACTGAGAGTATCTCGCCCGCACAGCAAAGCCTGGTAGGCTCCCCGTGACGTGCGTATTCGATATGCCAAAAAACACAGTAACAATAATTCTCACAGTGGAGACGTTACTGGGTCCGCTTGAGCAATCTATGAACAACAGGACAGTGCAGTGCGGTGCTATATCTATATATCTATATCTATATATATGGGCTGGAGCTATAGCACAGTGGGTAGGGCATTTGCCTTACACACAGCCAACATGGCCGACCCGAGTTCGATTCCTCTGCCCCTCTCGAAGAGCCTGGCAAGCTACCGAGAGTATCTCGCCCGCATGGCAAAGCCTGGCAAGCTACCCGTGACGTATTCGATATGCCAAACACAGTAACCACAAGTCTCACAATGGAGACGTTACTGGGCTCGCTCGAACAAATCAATGAACAACAGGAGGACAGTGACATTTCATATACATATGTATATATGTGTATATATATATATTTATATACACACACACACATTGGGCAGGAAAGAGCTCTACAGACTGAATTTACAATCAGGAGCCCCAGTCTCAGGTTTGAACCCCAGATGTGAACCCTAGCATTGCACGGTCAAAGGTCTCTAGCACCATGAAGAGTAGCTCCCAAGCACCACTGGGTGCAGCCTTAGAACAATAAGACTGAGATTGTAGCAATAGTACAACAGGAAGGCTGTTAGCCTTGCACACCAGGTTTGATCCCTGGCACCCCATATGGTCACTTAAGCACCACCAGGAGTCATCCCTGAGCACAGAGCCTGAGCACTGCCAGATGTGGCTCCAAAACAAAATAATTTTTTTAAAAGAGGGGGGCTGGAACAACAGTACAGTGAGTAGGGCACTTGCTTTGTCTGCAACCACCCAGGTTCCATTCCTGAAACCACATCTGAACCCCAGAGCCCCACCAGGAGTGATCCCTGAGTGCAGAGCCAGGAGTAAGCCCTGGGCACAGTTGAGTTTAGCCCAAAAACCAGTCGCTGCCAGAGAAATGGTCCAGCTTCAGGACCTCAGAGAGACCCAGCAGCTGAGTTAGCCCAGGTAGACCCAGTGGCCACGGGCCAAGAACTCGAGCCTGAGCGAATCCCTTCCCTGCCAAGTCCCTGTATTCCAACCAGCCACATCTGCCCTCACTGTTGCCAGAGAAAACGCCCAATTTCAGAGAGGCTAGAAAGACACCTGCAATTGAAGTATGCAGCGACATAATGTGGCCACGCGACACCTTCCAACTTCACAGAGCTGGCCCAGAAGAAAGAAAAGAAGATGGGAAAATTGGGTAGAAGCCCACTAAACTCACTGAGTTAAAACAAAAACCCAGAAGGCCCAACTCACACCTAACAGCTCAGTAAACCCTCAGGTCATGACTCTAGCACCACCATTGCAAGATTTATGTTGTAACAATATAAATTGATTTGCTTGCGGGGAAGGGGGGGAAGGTGGGAAGCTAGGGACATTGGTGGAGGGAAGAGCACACTAGTGGGGGACAGGTGTTGGAATATTGAATACCCGAAACAACTGTATGGGGAACAATTTTTTTTTTTTGCTTTTTGGATCACACCCGGCGATGCTCAGGGGTTACTCCTGGCTCTGCACTCAGGAATTACTCCTGGTGGTGCTCAGGGGACCATATGGGATGCTCGGAATAGAACCCGGGTCAGCTGCGTGCAAGGCAAACGCCCTACCCTCTGTGCTATCGCTCCAGCCCCTGGGGAACAATTTTGTAAATCATGCTGTTTAAGTAAAGTTTGAAAAAATACAGTTTTCATTACACTTGCCTTGTAGGCAGTGGATCTTGGTTCTGTCCCTGCCACCACATATGGTCCCCTGAGCACAGAGCCAGGCCCCAAAGCTGGTCTTTGATAGCCCCTAAGCTCCACTGGGTATGTCCCCCAAACCCAAAACAACCCAAAACCAAGTACATGCATGCACCATGCATCTTCCATTTATGAAACAACCTAAATTTAAGAATAAAAAAGTAGCCTGCTGGGCTGGAGAAGATAGCACAGCGGGTAGGGCATTTGCTTTGCACGCGGCCGACCCGGGTTTGACTCTCAGCATCCCATATGGTCCCCTGAGCACCGCCAGGAGTGCAGAGCCAGGAGTAACCCCCTGTGCATTGCCGGGTATGACCCAAAAAGCAAAAAAAAAAAAAAAAAAAAAAAAAAAAGTGCCTGCTTCTTCTATGTGCGGGGATAACTGGGGCCCTCGGGAGTTTGTTCCAGGACATCTGGTATGAGTCTTGCCTCTCTGTAAGTTACCGGCTGGTGTTGGAGTTCAACTAATGGGTCTGTCCAGCCTTCCCCCCCACCCCGCTTCCTCCTAAGAGGCTGGGCTCCCCACTCCATGGGGATCCTCTACTTCAAACTCCTCACTTGTCTGTGAGCTCAAAGCTTCCCAATTCATCCACCTCGCAGCTTATCCGAGCCTTTTCTTTCAGCTCCACTGGCCACGGCTGGCAAACAGGCGAGTCCATGTAGTGCAATAGGGGTGGATAAAGCAGGAAGGCAGATAAACTGGAAAGACACTCTCAAGCTGGGGTCACGTGTGCAAAGTGCCCGGGGTGTCAGCCCCTCTTGGGAGGCGGACCCCAGCAGCTCCGAGGAGGATGAGGCAGTTTTCATTACACGTTTATAAACAGAACTATCCAAAATAAATGTGAGACTGACACTCCCGCCTCACGCCTGTGTGTGTAAAGGCAGGACCCTGGGGGGCATTTATCCCCACAGCCTAAGGCTGAGAGGCAAAGACAGGCTGTCTTCAGCTTGATGGGGACAAAGGAGCTCCCAGTGGACAAAGCCGCTTCCCTGAGGAGGGCTGGCAGCTGTGCAGGTTAAAGGCACATAATTGGCAAAATCGCCCCGAGGGTTGAGAATAAGGACTCTCTCTGGCACCAACGATAATGTTTACTGCTGGGTAGAACATTGTCAATCTGAGGGCAAAAAAAAGAGCTTTATCCATAAATCTCTGCTAGTTTCTCATTCTCTGATCCGTAGAGTTGAAAGCTTATTTCTCTCTCTCTCTCTTTTTTTTTTTTTTTTTGATTTTTTGGTTTTTGTTTTTTTGCATCTCTGTAGCTCACAGTGGAGTTGGTGGCTTGTTGTGTTGGGGGGAAAAAAGGAATATTTGGCAAGAGTGGGGCACAGTGGGGTGGTAGCAGCCCAGAGAGACTGGGATCACGTTCTGTGGGCTGGCCTCAGGAGGTGGATGAGTTTCCTGCAGTGCTTGGCGGAGGCCGGCCGAGGCTCGCTGGGTGGCAGGAAATGGGGGCCCAGGGCGAGCAGGGCTAACTTCTCACTGGCACCGAGGGACACCAACACCTGCCGGAGAGAGCGGGGATGTCAGCAGACCTGTGGGGGACACTCACTGGACCCAGCACTTCCTGCGGGGGAGAAAGCTTCCAGTGAGGAGCCCCAGGTCGAGAGGTCTGTGTCCCTTTCACCCTTGATGATGGACTTCCAACTATCGTGAGACCCCTCCATGTTTCCTCGGAAAGGGAGTGTGTATGTGTGTGTGTGTGTGTGTGTGTGTGTGTGTGTGTGTGTGTAGACTACAGATGTTAAGGTGTTGACCTGGTCTTATTCCTAGCACCATGTGGTCCTCTGAGCATCACACAGTATAGCCTCAGCACCGGTGGGTGGGGCCCTGATGGTCCCTAGCATCACCCGGGTAGCCTGGGTATTCCCCCACCGCAGGATCCTGGGCAGTGTCACATCCTCAAGCTTCTGAACTGAACCCACAGCCCGGATGGACGAGAATCACCAGTGGGGTCCCTGGACCTCATGAGCACTGCTTGGGAGTCCACAGAAGAAGAAAACAGAGGATGGGGAAGCAGCTCAAGATGCGTAGGAGGACCCCGGTGCCACTGGGAAGGTATTCTCTGTTTGCCTCAAGAATGTAAATTTTCACAGCGCAGTGGTTTATTTATTTATTTTTTTGGAGGGGGGACCCCACCTCGTGATGCCCAGGAACCACTTTGAGCAGGGTTTTGGGAGACCATTTGGGATGCCAGGGATCAAACCCAGGTCACTGTATTCCAGGGAAGCTCCCTACCCACTGTATTATCATTCCTGCCCTGGGGGGAGGGGGGCTGTATGAGCTCCTGACCTTGTGCCGCCCAAGTAGCTGGCCACAGGGGCACCGTGATCCCAGGCACCGCCCACCCAGTCCCCAGACTGGAAGTGAGATGTTAACTGATCACATCTTAGAGACCCTTCCCTGGCTTCCAGTTCCCAGACTAGGCACAGCCCAAGTTTCTAGACACTCCAACTCCTCAAACACCCGGAAACCCAGTCTCGCCCCACCCCATCAACCAACCCTGGAGGTACCTGGTGGACACAGGGTTCCTGGCAGAGGCTCCGCAGGGCGATGAGGGCAGCTTCCTTGACGCTGGGCTGGGGGTCCCCGCACGCCACCCTAAGGAGCCGCTGGGGGACCTGGCACTGGAGCAGCTCCTCCCCCAAGCCCTCGGAGCCCAAGTTGCCCAGGGCTGACGCAGAGTTGCGCCGGATGCCAGCCTGGGGGTCCCCCAGCAGCTTGGTGAAGCCAGGGATGGCTGCGGCCAGGGCCAGCCGCAGGGGCCCCGCCTGGTAGGTGGCGTTGCCCACCGCGAAGCTGGCGCTGCGCCGCACGCTGGGGTCCTTGTCCCTGAGCCCCAGGAGCAGCAGGCTAAGCAGGCCCGCCTGGCTCTGCAGCGCCCCCCGCAGGGCCCTGCTGTGCTGCAGCAAGTGTCCCAGCAGCCCGTAGGTGCGGGCACGCACGGGCGTATCGGCGTGGCCCAGGAGGCTGCGCAGGGGCCTGTAGGACTCCTCGGGGCCGGCCAGGAGCTCCTGGACAAAGGACAAGTGCGCCGGTGGCAGGACCCGGGCTGTGTGGGCCAGCAGGGAGAGCAGGTCGGCGGCCAGCAGGGGGTGGTCGCTCAGGAGTGCAGCGGACAGGAAGGCCAGGCTGGCCTGAGGGGAGGCCGCCACAGCTGCCACAAACTGGTGGAGCGAGGCAAGGTCCATGAGAGCCAGGCGCGACAGGAGGCTGACGGGCAGCTCGACCTGGGCCAGCGGAAGATGATGGCAGCAGGCCTGGTGTTCGGGGAGACAATGCACAACCACTAGAGCACCCGAAGTCCAGTACCTCCCCCACCCCGAGAGAGAGAAGCCCGGGGATGAGAGCCAGCAAAACTGATCCTCAACACACCACTCCAGGGGGCTGGAGTGATAGCACAGCGGGTAGGGCATTTGCCTTGCACGCGGCCCAACCCGGGTTCTATTCCCAGCATCCCATATGGTCCCCTGAGCACAGCCAGGAGTAATTCCTGAGTGCACAAACCAGGAGTAATCCCTGTGCATCGCTGGGTGTGACCCAAAAAGCAAAAAAAAAAAAAAAAAAAAATCACACACACCACTCCACAGGGGGGCCCCAGGGACGGGTCACGCTTGGAGGCCTCTGCCCCTCTGTCTCGTCACTTTGCGGGAGGTGGAGGGGAGGCCTTGGGCCCTACTCAGTAGTGCCTGCAGACTGCTCTTTGCTCAGGGATCACCCTTGATGGGGACTTGCGGGGGACTCTTAAGTGGTGGCAGGGATTGAACCGGGATTGGCTCCCCTGCCCTCCCATCTCTCTGGCCTCCCACTGCCTCCTCAGACCTGCTCACTGTCCAATGCCAAGAACTGCCAGGGAAGTGACTCCTGCCCACATGAGGCAGCTCAAGCCAGTTGCAGCAGCATGCTGGGGGATGGGCAGGGGGGGCGCCCCAGCACCCCCACTCCCCTTGCTCCAATCACAGCCTCTGCCGGGGCCTGAATGTTTGCTCCCTCCCTCTAGGGGGCTTTGAGAAAACCCTGGGACAGTTCAGGGTGAATCCTCTCCCCAAGCCCTCCTCATACAACCCCACATACACACTGGCCCGGGGAATTTCCCAGGTACCTGCAGCAGGTGGGTCGCGACATGCGCGTTGGTGAGGTCAGTCAAGATACCTTCCAGGAGCTCCGCGTCCACGTCCAGGGCAAAGGGGAAGCAGAGGAGCTGGCAGGTGGAGAGTACCAGGACGGGGAGAAACTCAGCCCCACGGTGTCTGCAGCGGCGAGAGTGGGAAACAGTTCGGGCCGGCCCGTTCTCCCATTCCGCCCCAGCTGGCAGCGGTGTCCTCCCCAGTCCCACGGCATCTACCCTGTCCCTGCATGTGCTCACTCACGCCTGGCCCAGCTGCTGCAGGAAGCCTGGGGAAAGCAGGTGCTCCAGGGTGGCCATGAGCAGACTTCCGCGCTGGGACAGGTGGTTCAGGCACAGCTGGGGCTCCTGGGAGAAGGCGCTCATGGCCAGGCTCAGCAGGGCCACCATGCCTGCAAGCGCCCAGAAGGGAGGTCCCGAGTGAGCCCAGCCCTACCACGCCTGAGCATGTCCAGCGCCCACCCGGGGCCTGCAAGGAGGCTGTTCCTGGGCAGGGTGCTGGGGGTGGGTATAGGAGAGCCTTAAGGGCCTGGGGGGCGCTGGGGTGACTGGAGTTGGGGTTCCCTGCATGCAAGCAAATGCTCCAGTCCCGAGAACCACCTCCCCCAGCTCCAGGCTGCCTCCTGGGGAGGGAGGGTAAGACCCGCCCACCCGCATCCAGGGCCCGCCCGGGTGATGGAGGGATACCGTGAGGCGAGATGAGCACCCAGTTTGGCTGGGGACGTTCTGCTCCCGGGAGAGGGGGCGGCTCCTCTTCCTGCGGGGACACTGTGGGGATCCGCAGCGCCAGCCACAGGCGTTGCCACAGAATGGTCCACATTTCCGAGCTGATCAAGTCCCTGACTGGGCCTCCCTGGCCCTGCTGGAGTCGAGACTGAAGGCGGGGGTGAGGGGTCCAAGTCAGCGGGTGGGGAGGGGGAGGAAGGGTCTTTTTTTTTTTTTTTTTTTTTTTTTGCTTTTTGGGTCACACCCGGGGATGCACAGGGGCTACTCCTGGTTCTGCACTCAGGAATCACCCCTAGCAGTGCTCAGGGGACCATATGGGATGCTGGGAATCGAACCTGGGTCAGCCACATGCAAGGCAAACACCCTACCCGCTGTGCTATTGCTCCAGCCCCTCACTCTCATCTTTGAGCAGCGAGGGATACAGCCCCAGGAGCAACTCCTCCGGGGCCAGATGGATGGCGCTGTGGGCTGAGCGAGTGCACATAGTGGACTCAGGTTCCACCCCCAGTTCCAGATCCTCCACCAAGGACTGCAACCCCTGCCCTCAAAAAACAAAGGGAAGAGAAGTCCTTTTGGCTTTCTCCGAGTCCCCATGGCCTGGGTTCCCTTTCTGTCCTATTGTTTTTGTTTTGGGGCCACACCCAGTGATGCTCAGAGCTTACATCTGACATAGTGCTCAGAGAGCAATCCTGGACCATATGGGGTTCTGGGTCAGCCATGAGCAAGGCAAGCGCCCTACCCGCTGGACTCTCTCTCCAGTCTGCCCGACTTCCCTTTACTATCATGTTTTCGGCCTCTCACCTCTCAAACCTGCCCTGTGCACGTCTGCTGGAACCCAGAAGGGACAGCTTTGCGGTAGCTCCCGAGAGAACCCTTAGCGACTGGTGGAGCACTTGCCTTGCCCATGTGAGTCTCTGGGTTTGATTTCCTGGAACCCCACACACGTAGGGAATATACTGATAGCCCAGAGCAAGGAGTCAGGCGGTGCATCGGCAGATTGCTTTGTCAGTAGGCAATGGCAAGTTCAATCCCTGACGCAGCGCACATGCCAAGCACAGTCCTGGCCACTGGTGTCGGGTCTGGAAGTTCAGCCGCCACCAGTGAACCCCCCACCCCCACCCCTCAGCACTGTGAGTGACTCCTGGTCCAACCGACACCAGAGAGGTGTGACTCCAGGTGAGCTGAACTGCCAAAAAGCGTGCCCTTTGGTGAGCAGATGTGTGCGCCCTGCCCCATACCCTGGCACAAAGCCAAAAAGGGCAGCCCTCTGGAGACCCCACACCACAATAAAAAGGGGGTAGTGCCAGTACCGCCACCTGATGTGAAGCCCCCAGGGGGTCCGGCCAGGACATGTGTGACTGCCACACCTGGGAGAGTGGGACCCCAGGCAGCAGGGCAGCCACAAAGGGGAGGGGCAGGGTGAAAATAAGACAGCTTGGGGCCAGAGAGACTGTACAGAGGTTAAGGTGCTGGCTTTGCATGCCACTGACCCTAGTGTAATTCCCAGCACCGCATGTGGTTCCTTGGAATACCACCAGGGCTCATTCCTGAACACAGAGCCGGGAATAGTCCTCGGGTGCCATTGGGTGTGGTTCCAAAATCCAAACAAATTAAGAATAAGAACTGGGTGGTTGGAGTGATAGCACACCAGGTAGGGCGTTTGCCTTGCATGCAGTTGACCCAGGTTTGATTCCCAGGATCCCATATGGTCCCCTGAGCACCGCCAGGAGTAACTTCTGAGTGCAGAGCCAGGAGTAACCCCTGTGCATCGCCAGGTGTGACCCAAAAAGCGCGCGCGCACATACACACACACACACACACACACACACACACACACACACACACACAAGAATTGGGCCGGCACCAGAGTACAGAGGGTACGGCGCCTGCCTTGCATGTGGCCGACTGGGGTTTGATCCCTGGCACCTGCAAACGCCCAATTTCTTTCTCACCCCTTTGGGATGTACCTGTTCTTGGCTGAAGAGCTGCAGCAGGAGGACGAGGAGGCCGTCGTAGAAGCCACAGCCACCCGGCGGAGTCAGCTGGACCTGGCGGGAGGAAGCCAGCAGGTAGGGGCCGAGAGGAGAGCGGGGCCTTGGGGCCCGTGCACGCGGCGCTCGGCGCTCAGACGGCAGGAAGAGCTTGTCACAGACAGGAGGCAATGGGAGAGCACGAGACTTATTCCCTCCTCTACCCACTTAAGTTTAAAAAAAAAAATATATATATATATTTTATATTTGCTTTTGGGGGCCACACCTGGTGATGCTCAGGGTTGACTCCGGGCTTTGCACTCAGGGATCACTCCTGGAAGTGCTCAGGGGCCCATATGGTATGTCGGGGATAGAACCTGGACCGGCTGTGTGCAAGGTAATTGTTCCTACCCACTGTAACCGTTTCTCCAGGCCCCGTACCCTTTGTTTTTAAAGCTTAAAGCAGCAGGGCCCGGCCAGAGTGATAGCTGAGCAGGTAGGGCACTTGCCTTGCATGAGGCTGACCAGGGTTTGATCCCTGGAACCGCACATGGTCCCTGGAGCACAGCCAGGAGTGATCACTGAGTGCAGAGCCAGGAGCAAGCCCTGAGCATAGCGGGTGTGCCCCCCCCGCCCCCGCCCCCAAAGGAGCAGGGTCTGGGAAAGAGCTCAATGGAAAAAGTGTGCGCTTTGAAGGCAGGAGGCCTCTAAGCACCGGCACAGGATGATCCCTCGAGCACTACTGGGAGCAGGCTCTGAGCACGATGCCAGGAGTAGCCCACAAACCAAAAGATTTAATAAAGTTTCAATGGCAGGCAAGAGAGAGAGAGGTCCTTGCGTACCACTGACCCTGGTCAAGGTTCAGTGCTACGCAAGGTCCCCCAAGAACTGCCGGGGTGGGGGGGTCTCTACTGAGCCCTGGCCCAGAAATGCCCCCGCCACCTGATCACTACTGGGGATGGCCCCCAAGACCAAAACGAATAAAATGTCCTTTTTCAAAGCAGGGCACTGGAGAGAGCAAGCGAGCCCTGGGGTTAAGGCGCTTGCTTACACACGGACAACGGTTTTGGCCCGCAATACAGGGTCTTCTGAAGCCCGGCCAGGAATGACCCCTGAGCACTGACAGTTGTGCCCCCCCCAACCCTGCCCCCACCCCCACCCTTCCGCTTTGAATAATCTAAATAAATTTAAAAAAAATAAAAGGAAACAAAGGGAGAGCATCAGAAGTGGAGGCTGCACTTCCGGAAGCACCTTCCATGGCCCAAGACCCTCACAGAGCGTGAGGATTGGTCGGGGCAGCCCCGCCCACCTCTAGCGCCTCACACACTGGCCCTCTGGCTGGGGCACCCCTCACCTCCGTGGGGGCCGACAGTGCGTGCGTGGCCGCGGCGATCCACTCGGCTGGCCGCAGGTGAAAGGCCACGCCCTGCTGGCCCAGCTGGCCCAGGAGACAGGCAGCGGCGTTCTGGGGGAGCAGGGGGCAAGGGGGTCGGTCTGAGAGGCCGCACCACCCAGCACCCCCGTACCCTGTCCCGAGAGGACGGCCGAGAGCTCACCACAAGGGAGACGACAGGTGAACGGGTGAAGAGGGTGGCGATCTCAGGGCCCAGCTTCTCCATTCTGGAAGAGGGGACGGCCAGAGATGCCCCGGGCCCATCTGGAGGTCACACACACACACAGACACACACCCCTGCCCAGAGGACACACAACATGCCCATGCACACACACACACACACCCCTGCCCAGAGGATACACACATGCCTACACACACACACACACACACACACACACACACACACACACACACGGCCTGTTCCTGGTAGGGAAAACAACATTCTTCCCAGTCCCTCCCAGGGAACAGGCCACCCCGTGGAGGGCGGGGGAGACACCTACTGCCGTACTCACCCAGAAGGCAGATCTTGGAGCCGGATGACCAGCAGGGTCAAGAGGTAGAGGGTTGCTTCCATGGACTCTTCACACTCCACCATCTTTACCTGCAGAGAAAGGCGAAGACATCAGGGTGGCCGCTAAAGAAGGCGGCGTACCCCGCTGTACCTACCCCCTGAGCCTGCTGGCACGCCTGACCTACCTTACCCTGGACCAACTGCAGTAGGGACTCCCAGGCCAGGGGGTCCTGAGCCAGCAGCTGGCACAAGCGCTCGCTCACGTGGCAGCAGGAGTAGAGGACCTAAGAGGAGGGGAGTCTCCCCTGAGGCAGGGCGCCCCCCCCCACCGTACCCCCTGCTGCTGAAGGGCAGACTGGACAGAGGCAGGCAAGCCTCTCCACACCCTAGTGTCTCCGCTTTTCTGGGCCAGGAACAACCAGGACTCCTCAGGGACAGCAGAGACAGGAGATTCTGGTCAGGTGGGGGCGGGCGAACCACAATTCCACCTGATTTAAAAGCAGAGAGGGGATGCCGGAACAACAGCACAATGGAGAGGGCGTTAGCCTTTTTTGGTTGTTTTGTTTTTTTTGGGGGGGGGGGCACACCTGATGATGCTCAGGGGTTACTCCTGGCCGTGCACTCAGGGATCACTCCTGGCGGGGCTCAGGGGGCCATAAGGGCCCAAACCCAGGTCGGCACATGCCAAGGCAACAGGATGCTTCACTCGAACCCAGGTTCAGTTCGATCCCTGGCACCCATGTGGTCCCCCCTCCCCCACCCCCGAGCTCCACCAGGAGTGATCCCTACAGGCAGAGCCAGGAATAACCCTTGAGCATCACCAGGTGTGGCCTGAAAACTAAAAATAAAATAAAAGCAGAAAGGCCCTCCTGGGGTGGGAGGGGGTCCAGTCTCCTCTGGTCCTGGGTGAGGCTCACGGACGCAGGCGCAGTACCTTGAGCAGGGGCAGGCACAGGACAGGATGCTGCAGGCCGGAGACGAGGGATGCCCTCAGCAGGCTGCCGTCTTCCGTGAGCTGCTCGGCCACGTACTGCGAGATCTACAGGCACGGCCGTGACTCTCAGTCCCTGACTCAACAGGACTCTCGATGGCCCTGTGGGTCGCCTGCCCCCAGCCTCCACCCGCTTTCCCAAGAACACTCGAGGTCCTATTGCAGCCTGAGGTCTCTGGGCGGGGAGGGAAAAAGCCAGAGCTGGAGAGGCCAAGAGCCAGAATATGGGGTCAGCCTCGTCTCGCCCACAGTCGGCCCTGGCTCTATCCCCACGCCTCAGACGGTCCCCCGAATATGCATGCGCAAAACCCCACATCATGTGCAAAACCTTACATTAACAAGCTTTCAAAAAAAAGAAAAAGGCCTCTGGGCTCTGGGCCCGAGGTTAAGGGAGGGCGCCCCTCCAGCACCCCATGCCCTGGCAGCATGGGCATCGCTCTCACGTGCGGGCTCCAGCCTACAACAGTGCTGGCTACTTCAGGGCCTCCAAGGGGCACAGGGAGGAATCGTGGAGTCGGGAGGCAGACAAGCCTCCTCCTGACCCTGGGGCCCCCATGCCCAGCCCCCCGCCCCGAGGCTCCCACCTGCTCTTTGGCCTCCAGGCAGCCGGGCATCCCCACCGGAGCCATGCACACGGCCGCCAGCACTGTGGAAAATGTGGCCTGCAGGTCCTCGTTCTGCTCCCGCGGTGGCTGGCTCACCTGGGGGGCTCCTAGGGAGAAAGGCCAAGAAGCAGGGGCCGGGGCCCAGGCAGGCTCACGCCGGTGCCCACACGTGCTGTCAGCGCCCTGCCATGGGACCTGCCCGGGGCTGGCGCTCTGGGGAGAACGGCAGGGCAAGCGGCAGGGGGACCGGGGCCGTGGCCCGGGCAGAGGACTGGGCTCTCCAAAGCGCCGGCTACCTGGCGGGCTGTGGGAGGGCAGCCGTAGAACCGTCAGGCCGTGCAGGAGCCCGTCCACCACGGCGTGCCGTGAGCTCAGCAGGCTGGCGTAGAAGGCTTTGGAAATGGCCCCACCATTGCCGTCCATGGCTTCGCACAGGACAGCAAAGCACTGTAGAAGACACATACACAGCCATCAACCGGATGGCAGGGAAGGACCGAGACTCCAGAGAGTATCTGAGAAAAGCAAAAACAAAACCAACAAAAAACACAAAAAAACTGGGACCTAGGACTGGAGAGATTGGGCGGGGCAGGGTGCAGCGTGCAGGGGCGGGAAACACTTGCTTTGTCTTGCATGTTGTAGTTAACTAGATTCCATCCCAGACACTGCATGGACCCCCAAGGATTGCTAGAAGTCCCCTGGGCACCGTCAGGTATAGAACACCCACCCCCCTCAGAAAACAAAACAAAACAAGAAACCCAGGGAGTCAGCACTTTAATTCCTAGTATTCCTAGCCCAGAAAACACCTCTGAATTGCCTTCATAGTTCAAGATCAAAATTTGAGGTATCCATCCCCATCTCTGGTCAGCTGTTCCCTCACAAGATGTTCCTCCAAAAGATGTTTCTAGATCTTGAAGATAAGACTTCCCGGGGACTTTCTGAGTCCCAGCCCAGTCTGACTGAGCCAGAACTTTGGGGTATGGAAAACCGACTCCCAACTTTACGTGGCATAGATTCAGCTGAGAAGCACTGGGCTTGCGAGCCGCAAGGCAGATGTGTAAAGAAAGCTTCCTGACTTGTGCCAGAAAGATCTCAGTGGGCAGAGCACAGGCACTGTATGTGGAACCCGGGGTCTGACCCCTGCACGTGCATGGTCCCTGAACCCAAGGGCAGAGCCAGGGAGTAGTCCCTAAGTACCACTGGGTATAGCCCCAAACCAAAGCAGAAAAGAACTTTCCTGAGCTGAAGGAGTGGGGGATGCTGAACAGGTGCTCAGTCTCGAAGGGACGGAAAGGAAAGTGAGCTAGGCAGGAATGAGGCTGGGGAGATGGGACAGCAGCCAGGGTGTATGCCTGTACTCAGTGGACCGGGGCTCAACCCCTGCTACTACATTGGTTCCCCTGAGCTCCACCAGAACTGGTCTCTGAGTGCAGAGCTAAATGTAAGTCTGAGCACTGCTGAGGGTGACCTCCACCAAAACAACCCTCCTGGGGCCAGAGCGGGAGTACAGTGGGATAGGCCTTTGCCTTGCACACAGCTGACCTGGGTTTGATCCTTGGCATCCCATATAGTCCCCGCCAGAAGAATTCCTGAGTGTAGGGTCAAGAGTAAGCCCTGAACATTGCTGGGTGTGCTTCCCTCCCTCCCCACCCCGAAAAAAAAAACCACAATAAAAACAACTCTCGTGGCAGGGCTCAGGAGATCATATGCAGAGCCAGAGATCGAATCCAAGTCAGTCGCATTCAAGGCAAGTAAATAGCCTCACCACTGTATTATCTCTCCACTGACCACCCCTCCAACAATTTTTAGTTGAAGTTGACAGGAACAGATCTTAAAGGACCCAGAATGGCCAGTGTGACACTGATAGCCAGCTGTTCCCTTCTGTGCCCATCCCTATCTCTCAGAGAGCTGCAGTCATGACTCAGAGACCCAGGAGTCAAAGCGTTAGTGTAGGTAGGATGTTTGGCTTACATGCAGCCGACCCAGGCTTGATCCCTGGCACCCCATATGGGCCCCCAAGCACTGCCAGGAGTAATTCCTGACTGCAGAGCCAGGAGTAACCCCTAAATACCACAGAGTATGGTCCCAATAAAACCAAAACAAACAAAAAACAAACTCAGTGACCCCTGTTCCCTCCTCTCGCCTGGCTCACAGGACAAACGAGGCCGGAAGCAGGCAGATCTGCCAGGTTCTCCAGAGAGAAACACCTCCACCACTGCTTCCGGAGATGGGCATCCTGTTTCAGGCTGCTGGGCCCGTGTAGGCTGCATCTTGCCTGCCACATCCTCCCCACTGTCCCACCACACGCACCAGGCAACCTTCACTTCCGCTTCCAATTGCTTGGCGGTAGATTCCTCCTTCTCTGACACTTTGTGTGGCCCTGAGCCTGTCTTCTCCAGGAAACCTTTGGGATCTCATGTTAACTTTCCATGGGCTCTCTCCATGACTTTTTTTTTTCTTTTTCTGGTTTTTGGGTGACATCTGGTTCTACTCAGGGACTAGAGCAATAGCACAGCCGTAGGGCGTCTGCCTTGCACGTGGCCAGCCAGGTCGGCCCGAGTTCAATTCCTTCGCCCCTCTCGGAGAACCCAGCAAGCTTCCGAGAGTCTCTCACCCCACAGCAGAGCCTGGCAAGCTACCTGTGACGTATTTGATATGCCAAACACAGTAGCAAGTCTCACAATGATGGAGACATTACTGGGCCTGCTCGGGCAAATCAATGAACAACAGGAGGACAGTGCTACCTGGTTCTACTCAGGGCTGACCTTGGCTCTGAGTTAGGAATAACTCCTGGTGGTGCTTGGGGGACGTTACGGGGTCCTGGGGATCGAATTTGGGTCAGCCAGGTGCAAGGCAAGTGCCCTGCCCGCCGTCCTGTCTCTCCAGCCCCACCCTCCCAGTCTCAGGCCTGCTAACTTCCATCTCTCCGTTGCCCCTGCTCCCTTCACAATGGAGTTGTTCCTTCCCTCATGCAGCATATGGCTCACTGCGGGCACTGCCAATGTGTCATCTGGTCCTGACCCCACCCTCGGCAGCCCTAAGGAAAGGGGTGACAGAGCCAGGTGGCAGTTGACAGAAAGCAGGTTACCAGGAGACTGTCCCTCCGCAGAGCTGGCTCTGAGTCGTCGGGCTGGGCCAGGAGTTTCCCCAGATGGTCCAGGAAGAGACTGGAGGCCTCTTGGAATACCTGCAGGCTGAGGGAGAAAGAGGGGCCCCCAGTTTCTTCTCCTTTCTTAGCGAAAAGCCCACGGCTCTGGCGGGCAGAGGAACGCCTGCACACCCTCCACCCCGCTGCTTGCTGGGCACGGCCTTCCCCACACACTGCAGCCCTTCCGTGCCACCCTCTCTCGGTTCTGCCCCTCTTCATCTGTCCACGAGGGTCCTACTGATGGCCGATCCCTAAAACCTGAAGGTCTTGTGGGAAAAGGCTGAATGGTACCTCAGGGTCCTTAAATATACTAGTTGGGGGCCAGAACAATATACAGTGGGTAAGGCACTTGCCTTCCATGTGGCTGGCCTGGATTTGATCCCTGGGATCCAAGAGGGTCCCCTGAGCCCAGCCAGCAGTGATCCTTGAGTGCAGAGCCAGGACTAAACCCTGAGCACTGCCAGGTGTGACCCCAAAACAAACAAAAAACCAAAACAAGGACAAGTCAATGGGCCAGAGCGATAGTATAGCAGTTAGGGCTCCTGCCTAGCACGTGACAGTCCTGGGTCTGATCCCCAGCATCCCACAAGACCCCCAAGCCCACCAGGAGTCACTCCTGAGTGCAGAGCCAGGAGTAACCCCTGACCATTGCTGGGTGTGGCCTCAAAACAAACTAATTAAAAAAAAAACCTAACTGGGGAGCCAGAGCAATAGTACAGTGGATAGAGCACTCGCTTTCCAGGCAGCCAACCCAAGTTCAATCCTGGGCAGCCCACATGGTCCCCTGAGCCAGCCAGGGGTGATCCCTGAGTGCAGAGCCAGGTACAGCCGGATGTGTTCTCCAAACCAAAAATAAGCATGAGACTAGTTGGACCCCGAAGGGTCGATCAGCAGAACCTGTCAGGGCCCACGGTTCTGACCCCCTCAGCTGCTCCCGAATTGGGGGGATGGGGACTATGAGGGCGGATACTTGAGCCGAGTCTGGACAGCAGGGTAGCCCTGCCTCTTGTCCTACCTGTCCCCCGTCTGGTTCCTCTCCAGATTGAAGGAGCAGGCGAAGTAGGCCTGGATCGCAGCCAGCAGGTCCCTTAAGAGGCCGCCGTACCAGCATTGCTGCCAGGAAGGAGGACAGAGAGTCAGGTGAGGTGGGGGTGGGAGAGGAAGAGTGGGAAGGGCAGTAAAGAGCCAGAGCAGGCCCCAGCCAGGTGAACCCAAAGGACGAGGCTCGGGAGCTGGAGGGGACGACGTCCTCAGGCAACGAACAGCTGAAAGGGGTCTTGCTTGGCCGATCTGCATTTGGGAATGGCAAGTTTGGTTTCTCAAAGGAGCTCAAATGAGGGCTGGAGCTGCACTACAGCGGGGAGGGGCTTGCCTTGCATGTGGCCAACCTGGGTTCGATTCCCAGCATCCCACAGGGGTCCCCCAAACTTGCCAAGAATGACACCTGAGTGCAGAGCCAGGAGTAAGTTCTGAGCACTGCTGGGTGTGTACCACCCCAAGAAAAGTCCCAATTCTTTCCTAAACGCATTTGAAGGTTCAAAGCTGGGGGCCAGAGCAATAGCACCGTGGGTTGCCTTGCATGCGGTCGACCTGGGTTCTATGTTCTATTCCTGGCATCCCATATAGTCCCCCAAGCAACACCAGGAGTAGTTTATGAGTGCAGAGCTAGGAGTGACCCCTCAGTATCTCTGGGTGTGACCCAAACCCCCCCCCCAAAAAAAGAAAAGAAAAGGTTCAAAGTTCACACAGCAAAGTTTTGCAGTTCTCCATGCAGTGGGAGTTGTGGGTCCAGCAGGGCCTCCACACTAACCCTTCCACGGACCAACTCTGTGGCCACCCACAGGCCAGTGCCTGTGCAGAACTGCAGGACCCTGCTCTGGAAATGGGTCCCAAAAGCCCAGGATTTCCTGGATTTTCTTTGGTGGGGGGTCCCAAACAGGGCTCAGGGGACCTGGCAGTCACTCCTACTCATACTCGGCCAACTCGGACAATGCCAGGGGTCTGATCCGGGTCTCATGTCCCTGAGCCCTGGGCTGTCTCCCTGGCCCAACAGAGTTAACATTCCAAAGCACAGTGCTCTAGGGGTCAAAGAGGTAGTAAGTGAGACAGGGAGACATTAAGCCTTGCATGCGTAGTTTGATCCCTGGCGTGGCATGGTTCCCCTAAGAATTGCCAGGTGTGGTTCAAATGCCTGACCCCCGCCCCCCAAAATAAAAATAAAGCATAGTGCTCTAAATATTAGAAAACAGCACAGAGGAATCTAGATTTCTAGGGCCAGGGAGACAGGACAGGGGTTCTGGTGCTTGCCTTGCACAGTTATCCCAGGTACTACACAGGCTCCCCTTAGCACATCCAGAAGTGATCCCTGAGCACAGAGCCAGGAGTGAGCCCCAAGCATACTGACTGTGGCCCCAAACAAAATTTAGATTCTGCGCTTCTCCTGGAAAGCCGGAAGATCTGGAGGCACCAGGGCCCCATTCCCACATCGTGGCAAGAAGGGGCAGGAGCAGGGGAGAGGACAGTCCGAAGCATGGGCCTGCGAGGCCGACTCTCCCCTGTGCTGGGGACGCACCCAGTTGGCTTCCAGGACAGACCTCAGAAGGCATCGGATTGGGCCAGCACCCTAGTGAAGCGGGGAGGACGCTTACCTGGCACAAGGTCGATCCCAGGCACCCATTAGAGCCTCCCTGAGCACCGCCAGGAGTGATTTCCTGAGCACAGCACCAGGAATAAGCCCTGAGCACTGCCAGGTGTGGCCCCAATGTTAAAAAAGAAGAGGAGAAGAAAAAAGAAGGAAGAAGGAAAGAGGAGGAAGAGCAGGAGGAGGAAGAGGAAGAGGAGGAAGAGCAGGAGGAGGAAGAGGAAGAGGAGGAAGAAGAAGAGGAAGAGGCAGAGCAAAGAAAAGAGAGGGCAAGTGGCAGAGGCAGCACTGTGACAGGCAGGCGGGCGAGCCCCCCAGGCGCGGCCTGGTACCCACCTGCTGGATGCTGCTGCTTTCCTGGCTGTGTTTGAGGAGGCTGAGCAGCAGCTCCGGGAGCCCCACCTCACGGCAGAAGGGGTACAAGAGTGCCGAGTCGGCGCAGCTGGCCAGCAGACTGCTCAGGACGCGGAGCGCCGGGAGGATCTGGGCCGCTCCCTCCAGCAGGCCCTTGAGGATCTGGTGACACGGGCACACACAGCAGTCAGGACAGAGGACAGGCAGGGGCCCTGAGCTCCAGACTCCCCAGGGAGTTGGGCCTTAGGGAGTCTAAATCCCAGAAGGCCATCAGGACCAGGGGACACTGGACTGAAAAGATGAACCGGGAGGGCCGGAGCACCGCATACCTGACAGAGGAAGAGTTCGACTCTGGACAGACTCACATCCAGGCCAGTCCCCTCTGCCAATGACCTAAAATGTTACCCCTTAAACAGAATTTTCTTCTTTGTTGTTTTTTTTTGGGGGGGTCACACTCAGTAATGCTCAGGGGTAACTCCTGGCTTTGCCCTCAGTAATTATTCCTGGTGGTGCCTGGAGGACCATATGGGGTGACAGGAATCAAACCCAGGTTGGCCGCATGCAAGGCAAGCACCCTACCTGCTGTGACCCTTGAACAATCATAGATCACGATAAAAATGTGTGGGACTGGGGCCGGAGTGATGGCACAGTGGGTAGGGCATTTGCCTTGCACGTGGCCGACCCAGGTTCGATTCCCAGCATCCCATATGGTCCCCTGAGCACCGCCAGGGGTAATTCCTGAGTGCAGAGCCAGGAGTGAACCCTGTGCATCGCTGGGTGTGACCCATAAAGAAAAAAAAAAAGTGTGGAACTGTGTTTTCTCTTATCCTAAGAAATAGTAATTTTAGTGTTTGTTTATTTTGACCTCATAAGAGCTATTTATAACAGGAGCTGGACCATAGTACAGCAGATAGGGCACTGGCTTGCAGGCAGCCAACCCAAGTTTGATCCTGGCATCCCACCTGGTCCCCTGAACACTGTAAGGAGTGATCCCTGAGTGCAGAGCCAGGAGTAACACCTGAGCATCACTGGGTGTGGACCAAAAAAAAAAAAAAAAAAACCAACCCAACTATTGGGGCTGGAGAGACAGCACAGAGGGTAGGGCGTTTGCCTTGCACGCAGCCGACCTAGGCTTCAATTTCCAGCATCCCATATGGTCCCCTGAGCACTGCCAGGAGTAACTCCTGAGTGCAGAGCCAGGAGTAACCCCTGTGCATCGCCAGGTATGACCAAAAAAGAAAAGAAAAAAAACAACTCTTTATAACAGCTTCCACTTGGGCCTCTAAGCCCACAGTACCCATAAAGCCAGAGAGAGAGAGAGTGCAGGAGATGAGGCGTTTGCCTTGCACATGGCTGCGGTGGCTGCAGTGGCTGCGACCCCAGTACCTGGACCACAAAGTCCCTTGAGCAAAGTCAGGAACAGCCCTTGAACACTGCGGGGTGTAGCCTAACCTCTCTCAAAAAATTATTTTTGGTGGACTCCTGTTCTAGATGGATAGTTTTGTTTTCCAAAAGAGCAATTTGAGGCTTGTCCTTGCTGAGTTTCTAAATGAAGTGGATGGGCAGGGGAGAGTACTAACAGGCCGAGCACAGCCCTGCTCCATCCTTGGCAAAAACCTGAGAGTAGACCTGGCATACTGGTGGATCTGGCTCAAAAAATAAAACAGGGGTCTGGAGCGACAGCACAGCAGGGAGAGTGTTTGCCTTGCATGTGGCCGACTGGGTTTGATTCCCAGCATCCCATATGGTTCCCCCGAGCACCGCCAGGAGTAACTCCTGAGTGCAGAGCCAGGAGTAACCCCTGTGCATCACTGGGTGTGACCCTCCCCCCCCAAGAAAAAGCAAAAATAAACAAACAAATAAATAAATAAAACAGGGGCCAGAGAGACTACTGTGGGTAGGGCACTGGCCTTGCAAACCACTGACCCAGGTTTAATCCCCGGCATCCCATATGGTCCCCTGAGCCCACCAGGAGAGATTCTCGAGTGCAGAAACGGGAGTAAGCCTTGGGCATCATGGGGTGTTGCTCCAAAACAAAATAAAAAAAAAAAGAAGGTTGGCAAACCCCCTTAAATTGAACGGGCAGCCTTGGCGGTGAGTGGAAAGGGACCATTTCCTTCTCCTTTTGTCGGGCGGGGCCTTCCGGGGCCTCGCTCTGACCTCACCTGCTCTGCCGTGTCCTGCAGCTGATTCTGGAGGTGCTGGCAGAAGTCGGGGTTACAGACGAGCGTCAGGGGGGCTTTCAGCTGGATGGGGACAGGCTCAGAGGTCTCGAGCAGCCGCTGCCACTCGCTGTCACTGTCTTCCTCCTGGGCGGGGAGAGAGAGAGAGGAGGAGGACAGCAGGTCCACGGGCAGCAGCGGCCAACCTGAGGATTCATGGCAGGCCCACAGCACTAGCACTGGGGCTGATGAGTGCCTGCCTGGCAAGCGTATGGTCCCGAATTCAACTCTCAGCATCCCACATGGGCCAAAGCACCATCCTAGAGACTTGGGCAACGGATCCTGGCAGCTCTGCCGTCCAGCAACCCTAACACTGTGAGTGTGTCCCAGTCATGCGGCCACCCGGTGCAAAGGCATCACGTAAAGGGGTTTGGCTGTGGTGAGCACACATGTGAGGACCAGAACCTAAGAGCCTCAAGTAGAAGTGCGACATCTAGCAAGCCCGGGTGCGGGCAGCACAGCTGGAGGAGAGCAGCTCAGGGAGCACTGCTGGTGGGAGAGGCGAGAGTGCCATGGTCAGGCAGGGTGCCCCCCCACCCCGCCCCTGGTCACTGCAGCAGCCGTGAAGGGAAGAGGCGGGGGTGGGACAAGGGAAAACTGCTAAATCAGGGGCTCTGAGGGCACAGACATGCGTCTGCTTATGTTTCAGCGCTGGTCTGGTTTTCTGCCTTTCAGTGGTTCAGGAGCTCAAACTCTTGGCTTCACATGCACAAGGCGAGTGCTCTACCGCTCTGCTCTGTCTCTGGCCCCGAAGCCACATTTAAAAAAAAAAAATTGTTGGGGCCGTTGTGATAGCACAGCGGGTAGGGTGTTTGCCTTGCATGTGGCCGACCCAGGTTCAATCCCTGGCATCCCATATGGTCCCCTGAGCACTGCCAGGAGTAATTCCTGAGTGCAAAGCCAGGAGTAACCCTTGAGCATCGCTAGGTGTGACCCAAAAAGGAAAAAAAAATTTGTCAAAAAATTGTTTATTTATTTTGGCTTTTGGAGTCATAGCCAGCGAAGCTGAGGGGTTATTCCTTCCTAGCTCTGCATCCAGGAATCACTCTTGGTGCTTGGGGGACGATATGGGATGCTGGGGATAGAACACTGGTTGATCATGTTTAAGGCAAATGCCCTCACTGCTGTCCTATCACTCTGGTCACACTTATTTATTTATTTATTTTCATTTAAAAAAAATTGATGTTCTGTGATTTACAATACTGTTAATGATGATTTCTCAGGCACATAACTCCAATATCAGGTCCATCACCATTGTACCCACTTGCCACCACTTCTAAAAGGTGCGGTTGGGGGTGGAGAAATGACTCGAAGGGCTAGAGTTGCTTTCTTTGCATGCTGGAGTCCCCAGTTCAATCTCCAGCATCTCTAGGAGTGATTACTGGGTATGGCCCAAGACCAGAAACTCAAACCAAAAGACCATAAAAAAAAAAGATGGAAGGTACAGTTGGCAGGACGTTAGGGGTCTGTTCCTGATGTCTGTGGGAAAACACTGGCACACGTGTAAAACGGCATAGAAAAGTGCCCACTGTACACTCTTTACAATAGCCAGAATCTGGAAAAAACCTGAGTGCCCGAGAACAGATGACTGGTTAAAGAAACTTTGGTACATCTACACAATGGAGTACTATGTAGCTGTTAGAAAAGATGAAGTCATGAAATTTACATACAAGTGGTACTACATGGAAAGTATGTTAAGCGAAATGAGTCAGAAAGAGAGGGATAGACATAGAAAGACTGCATTCATCTGGGGAACATAAAGTAACAAAACAGGAGACTAACACCCAAGAGTGGCCGAGATTAGTACCAGGAGGTTTGCTCCATGGCTTGGAGGCCAGCCACACACTCTAGGGAAAAAGGCAGCTCAGATAGAGAAGGGAGCACCAAATAAAGGGTGTTGGGAGGATCCTCCTCCCAGGATGGGAGAAACATGCTAAAAGTAGACTACAGACCAAACATGATTGCCACCCATTGCCTCTTTTGCAAACCACAACACCCAATAGGAGAGAGAGAACAAAGGGGAATGCCCTGCCACAGAGGATGGGGGGTGGGAGGGATACTGGGATCCGTGGTGGTGGAAAATGGGCACTGGTGGAGGGATGCGTACTCAATCATTGTATAACTGAAACCCAAGCACAAATTTTGTAAGTCTACAACTGTACCTCATGGTGTCTCACTAATAAAAATTAAAAAAAAAAGTATCTGCTGTAGTACAGATTATAATTAAAAGCAGGCAGAGATATCCTACATCCAGACTATAATAGAACAAACCAGGGCCTATCCCTGGCAGGGAAACACTCTGAAGGGATGAAAAAGACTGTGGCGGCAGGCGGGGAACCCTGGTGGAGGGAAGATGAAACAGCTTGGTGGTGGGGTTGGTGATGGAACACAGTTGAAAACCTCTCTGTGCTTTCATAAAATAAAACTGGGCAGCAGGGATGGGGGGAGGAAGGGGGAAGGTAGGGGGCAAGGGGTGGGAGAAAGGAAAAAAAAGGTTTGATCCCTCGAGCTCTACCTGAAATATCCCCAACTCTGAGCTGGACATAGCCCCTACGCACATCTGGCTGCAGCCTTGCCCAAATATGGGAGTGCGAGGGATCAAACCCGGGCCTCCTGCTTGGAGGCTCAGATGGGAGGTCTCTCCCAAGCCCAAAGGAAGCATTTCTTTTGGGTCTTGTTATAGTTTCTATATAACAACCTGGCAGTGCTCAGGGCAGATTCCTGGCTCCTCTGCTCAAGGATCACTCCTGATAACGCTCGGGGGAGCCACATGGGGTGCAGGGGATGGGACCCAGATGGGCCCGCTCTATAGGCTGTGCCATCTCAAAGGGAGCTCACGGTGGGAGAGTGAGGGCTGTCTCCAGCCACAGTGGTCGCAGCCAGGACAAGGCCAAGACGGGCCCCGGGTGCTGACCTCGCTCTCCGGGTCTTTGGCACTGGTGCTCCGCTGCTTGCTCTCCACTGCTGGGCCCAGCTCAGGGAGCGCACTGGGGTCGCAATCCTGTGTGATCCGGTTTTCCCTGCCAGAGGAAGCCGTGAGGAGGGTGAGTCTCAGGGTGTCTCCAGTGGGGGAAGCAGACATCCAGGATGGGAAAGGAGTGTCCTTCTAGGACATGTTGCCCAGGACACAGGCAGACATCTGCGCCTTCCCCCTTTTTTTTTTTTCCTTTTTGCCTTGAAGTCACACCGAGCAGTGCTGGGGGGGGGGGGGGGGGTGTCAGTGGGGGGGTGGGGTGGGAACTGTGAGGTACCAGAGACAGAACCTGAGGCCTCCCATGCAAAGCATGAGCCCCACTCCTTTGAGTTCTCTCTCTCTCTGACACCCCCACCCCACTCTGGATCAGAGTCTCAAGTTCCCCTCAGTAGATTTTATCTGTGGCTCTCAACCCGGTTTTCCCTTTGACTGCTGCAGGTCCAGGTTCAATTCTCAGCACTGCACGCTACCTAGTAGACCACAGCCCAGGAGCAACTCCTGAGCACTGAGGCAAGGAGCAGCCCTCCCTCCCCAAGTAAGTATGCTTCCCTTTTCTTTCTTCCTTTCTTTCGTTCTTTCTTTCTTTGATTCTTGAGTCAGACCCAGTGACGTTCAGGGCTTACTCCTGGTTCTGGGTTCAGAAATCGCTCCTGGCTTGGGGGACCATTTGTGGTGTCAGGGATCGAACCTAGGTTGATGACATGCCAGGCAAGTGCCGTACAGCTGTGCGGTTCTCTCTCTCTCTCTGGCCCTAAGATTTCCTTTTTATTTCCAGGCTACACCCAGTGGTGCTCAGGGCTTACTCCTGGTCTGCACTCAGGGATCACTTCTGGGGAGGATGGGGGATCTTATGGGGTACTGGGGGCTCAAATCCAGATCGCCTGTGAGCAAGCAAGTGCCCTACCTGCTGTACTATTGCTCTGGCCCCCTAATCGTCCCTTTTAGAGATGGTTCTTGGGGTATAGGGAAGCGGCTATAGAGGCAAAGCACTTGCCTTGCTCATGTGAGACCCTGGGTTTGATCCCTGGCTCCCCAGAAGGAAAAAAAAACCTTAATAATAGCACAACCGAATTCATTAGTTCATGGATGATTCTTTCCCTTTCAGTCTCTGAACTGAGGCACAGAGAAAGCACTGCCCCCGAATCTCCTGATGAATCAGGAGGAAGCATGTGGAATTTGAACTCCAGAGCCCATGGCAGACCCCCAGAACTCCGGCCACACTCAGGCCTGTGAAGCATCTGCTCTGGCGAGAGTCCAAGAGGCACCAAGGTAGCCGCCCCCATCCCCCGCCCCCAGCCCAGCCCCTTACCGAGGAGCAGGAGGGGCTTCTCCGGCCCCCCACTCAGCCCAGCTGCTCCTCACGTCTGAGGGCAAGGCTGCAGGCACGAGGCCCGGCTCCTGAGCCAGGAGCTGGGGTTTGGCCGGAGGGGCAGTGTCCCGGGGCCCCTGGCCAGCCTTGTCCTCATGCCCCCGGCCGGGGTCGGCACGTGGCTCTTCCTGTGGGCAGCAGGCAGGAGATGGTCAGGATGAGGGGAGTGCCCAGCGGGCGGCTGGGGTCCTCTCTCCGCGGGCCCTGGCAGGTTCCCATAGCACCTCATACCTGCGGGTCCAGCTCCTCGGCCATGTACTTGCAGGCCTGTTGCAGGATCCGGGAGCGGGCGCCCGTGGGGGTGAGCTGCTGGGCCTGCTGCTCCTTTAGGATCTGGAGGTCCAGAGGCAGGCGGCTGGTGAAGGGGGTCGCTGAATCCGGGCCTGCTGGCTCCGTGAGTACTGAGGGGACAGAAGATGGGGCGAGGCCCGGACACGGGAGCTCGGGCCCTGCTCACTTCGGCCAGCGACCCAGACAGTGTCCCCAGGTGACAGAGAAGGAGTAAGGTCCTGGATCAGAAAGACTCACTAGTGACACGACCAGCAATGAAGGGGTGATACAGGAGGTCTGGCCAGGACAGCCGCTGCCTGGGGTCTTTGGTGAGCAATCCTTGCAGGAAGCTCTGTGGAGAGAGAAAATCCCGCGGGCCCTCGCAACTCTGCGCACAAGCTCCTGAGCACCTTCCTGCAGCAGCAGACGAGGTGGCCGGGACCGAACCCTCTCTAGTCCTGTCCTCAGATATCAGATGCTGTCACTGCCTTGCTGTGGGAGAGCCCCGACTCCCAACCGCGGACAATCATACAGAAGTCCCGATGTCACCAACTTTGTGAATAAGGGAGGGAAGACGGGCCCGAAGAGGGATGGCATCCGCGCTGTCCCTGCCAGTCAATAGTCCAAGGACTCCCGGAGGACCCCCGCTGCCGCCCGCGCTGTCCTCCCTCCATCCCGCACAGCCGGACACGAACAGAGGCCCTGACTGCAAGAGCAGACTCAGCCGAGATGGTACAGAGAGGGGTAAGTTGCTTGCCTTGCCAAGGCTGATTTCGGGTTGGTGGCCGGCTCCCCTCCTCCAAACCCTGCTAGAAGTGATCCCTAAGTGCTGAGCTAGGAATTAAGCTCTGAGCATGGCCAGTGGTGGTCCCCCCAAGCACCCCCCCCCTCTCACACACACACACACACACACACACACACACACACACACACAAACCCAAATCAGTAAAAGCACACTGGCACGTGCAAGTCACTGTGTGGAGAGGTACTGAAGAACATCAAACAGAAATCGCACATCTTCAGTAGGAAGAGAGGCAGAGAACAAGTAGCTAAGGAACACCATGGTATACTCACTTCGATAGCACATATACTAAAATTAGAACAGTGCAGAGATTAGCATGGTCCCTGCACAAGGGTGACACGCACATTCGTGAGGCGTTCCTTATTTTTCTGTAACTAAACTAATGACTTTATAAAGTCATTTTTTAAAACACAGAAGAGGGGCTGGAGTGATAGCACAGTGGGTAATTTGTCTTGCATGCAGCTGACCCGGGTTCAATTCCCCGGGTCAGCTGCATGCAAGACAAATGGTCCCATGGTCCTATATGGTCCCATGAGCACCACCAGGAGTAATTCCTGAGTGCAGAGCCAGGGATAACCACTGGGCATCGCTGGATATGATCCAAAAACAAAATATAACAAACAAACAAAAACACAAAAGAGCAACACCATGGCTCCTCAGGGAGGCACCAGAGACCACCTGAAGGAGAGCAAACCTCCAAGGACATTTCTTCACTAAGTTTCCTGGGAATGCAAACGTCTTTCCTTTGGATTCTGTTGGGCCTTCAGGAAACTGGTCTCTTTCCAGTTTGGGCTTTTGTGTGCGTGTGTATGTGTGGAGGAGGGCACACCCGGCAGTGCTCAGGGCTTACTCCTGGCTCTGTGGCTCAGGGATCACTCCTGGAGGGTTCGGGGGACCCTGTGGGGTGCTGGGGAATTGAACCTGGATCAGTCACATGAAAGGCAAACGCTTTACCTACTGTACTCTCACTCTGGTCCCCTGAAAACAGTCCCCTTTCATCTAAGCTAAAACTCAGGGAAGTCATGAGATTTTATTCTAAGAAAGGGTGCCTTTAAATTCCACTGAGTGCCCCAATCTTGCTCTAGATAATAATAGGGTCACCTCCTTTTCCTCTCTCCTTCCCTCCTTCCTTCCCTCCTCCATCCTACTGGGAATTCACTGTAATGAGCCAGCACCGCCCTCACTGTCTGCCCCGATCAGCCCAGTGTTGCCCCCCTTAGCCTCTGGACCTCAATCCTATGGCTCTCTGAAGATGCCTTCTTCCAGGGAGAGAAATACAAACTGAGAAGGTACCCTAAATAACCAAGACCCCACAGGTCAGAGGACATTGGTGGGACCAGGGCTAAGTAAAAGGACTAACTGGTTTCTGATGTGTTGAAATTACTTTTTTCTTCGGGGAAGTGGGAAGGGGCACACCGATCGGTGCTCGGAGCTTACTCCCGGGCTCTGTGCTCAGGGATCACTTCTTGGAGGACTTGGGGGAACCCTATGCCGTTCCAGCAACTAAACCCACAACGGCCACGAGCAAGGCAAGCACCCTGCCACTGGACTCCATCGCTCCTGCCCCAGATGGCCTTCCTATTGGGATCAAGACTAGAGACCGAGGAAGTGCCACTATTTCCGAGTCTAGCAGCCCACAGAATTCCTTCCCAGAACCAATCCCCGCAGGAGACAAGCGGCTAGCTCTGACCCACTCATTCAGTAACAGCCAAGGAGCTGTACCAGGCGTGGGAGAGATCTTGAAGAGGAGAGAGACAAGGTTCCAGGGGCAAAGGTAACCTCCACCTCCCGACTCATTACCTTGAAGCAAGGACTCATGGTGGGGGGCCAGCGCACGGGGTCCTTGAGGATGAGGCTGACCAGCTGGAAGATGCTGGTGGTATAGAAGGGAGGGGTGCCGACAGCCAGCTCATACAGGATGCAGCCCACGGACCAGAGGTCAGCCGTGTGGTCGTAGGGCCGCTCTTCCACCAGCTCGGGAGACATGTAGAGCGGTGTGCCTTTGATGGATGTCAGCACCATGGTGTTGGTGCTCATGGCCCGGGCAAACCTGCGGATGATGGAACGGACATGCAACCGAGGAGTGACCCGGCAGAGGGACCAACCAACTGAAGCAGGACAGAGCGCACTTAGCCCCAAGAGCCTGTAGGGCAGAGCGCACTTAGCCCCAAGAGTTTCCAGCTCAGGCACGCACACAGACACACAGACCACCCTCAAACTGCTCCCTCTTCACACACACACACACACACACACACACACACACACACACCCCACCCTCAAACTGCTCCCTCTTCACACATACACACAACACCCTCTGACTGCCCCCTCTTTTCATGAAAGCCCAAGGTCAGGGTGGGCCCCCTCACCCAAAGTCACAGAGTTTGATGCCCCCGCCCTTGGCAAGCAGGATGTTCTGAGGCTTCATGTCTCGGTGGAGGATGCGGTGGGAATGCAGGTAGTACAGGGCCGACACCAGCTGGGCCGCGATGGCCTGAACCTAGGAGCCAGAGGAAGGGAGCAGGGCCGGTCTGGAGAAAGCCTGAGGATGAAGACTCCTCCCCCAAACTTCCATGAGCATGATTTTTTCCTGGTGCTTGCTCCTGGAGCTTCATGTGCTGGTCACCTGCATTCTGACTTCTCTGTTCATCTTTATTTTGGGGGTGGGGTCACACTGGGCAGTGTTCAGGGAGTCGCTCCTGACATTGCGTGGGAGACCAGTGAGGCCCAGGATCAAACTCAGTCCTCCCACATGGACTCCGGCCCATTAAGTTATCACTCCAGCCCTTGTCCATTCGTTCTTTTATTCATTTCAAATTAGAAAAAAAGGGGGTCGGTCACTCTCAGAGGTGCTCAGGGATCACTCCTGGTGGTGCTCAGGGGCCATAGGGTGGTTCTGGGGATCCAACCTGGGTCAGCCGTGTACAAGGCAAGCACCTTCCCCCTGTACTATCTCTCCAGTCCCTTCCTTCAAGTAAGATGTATCGACTCAACTAGATGCATTACCACAGGCAAATATACTGCATCGTGCCTCTCAGATGCATCATCTCTAAGGCGATGATAATGATATCCCCAACCACATTAGACTGTGGTGAGTATAAGGAGTGTCCTGTGCAGAATGAAGCAAGGCATTCAACAGAAGCTAATGCTACTGTTAAATGAAACAAAGTCCCCTTTCTCCAGAAAATTCAAACAAACAAACAAACAAACAAAAAAACCCACAAATTCAGATACAAGAACTTCAAGGAATCTGTCCTGATAAACAGGAATGGTATCCACTTGCTAGGACACTGCACAATCTCTAGAGTATGGTCAAAGAACGTTCTGAACCAAATCCCACTGCTAATCACATCTTCCGTTCAACCCTGTTAACTCCTCCTCCCTGTCTCTGGTTCCATCGTACCAACCTTTCTTCCCTAAAGGTGGCTGACAACAAACAGCAGCAGCACCACCACGAGAATAATAATAGTCAACTTCAAACCTATGCCAGGCATTCTTTTCAAAACTTTACTTTAGGGGCCAGAGAGATACTGCAATGGGTAGGGATGCTTGCCTTGCATGTGACCAACCTGGATTAGATCCCAGGCCTCCAGAGATGCACCCAGTGGTGCTTGGAGGCCTCAGGTAAGCTGCATGCAAAGGATGTGCCTTAACCCCTTGTACTTTCAGTCCCTACCTGCCTCTTCTTTTTAGGCATCCCAGGCATCCCATATGGTCCCCAAACCAATTCCAGGAGTAATTTCTGAGCACAGAAGTGACCTCTGAGCATTGACAGGTATGCTGTCAACACACACACACACACACACACACACACACACACACACACACTTTGATTGCTGGTTTGGGCCACATAGGCTGATGCTCAGGGGTCACTTCTGGTGGTGCTCAGGGAACCATGGAGTATCAGGGATCAAACCTGGGCTTTCAGCATGCAGAGTACATGCTCTGCCTCTGAGTCATCTCCCTGAGCACACTGGCTGTGATGTCAAAATTAAAAAAAACTCATAAAAAAAAACTTCAAAATGATGGTGAGTGGTGCCAGAGTGATAATTCAGCAGTGCTTGCCTTGCATGCAGTCAATCTGGGTTTGATCCCTGGCACCCCATATGGCCCTCCACGCCTGCCAGGAATGACCCTTGAGCACGGAGCCAGGACTAAGCTCTGAGGACCAAGTATGGCCCCCAAACCAAAAAATAATGAAATACACTGATGGTGAGCACCTGCCTCTCATGTATAAGACCCAGGGTTCCATCCCCAGGACCCTCAAAAGATAACCTAAAAACTGGACGTGAATTAATCCTTTGTCTTCACAGGAGTCTCATGAGGTCGACATTATCATCATATCTGACAAATAAACCGAGGCACAGAGGGGAAAGCAGCTCCCCCGACTGCTCGGGGCCTCCAGAGATGCACCCAGTGGTGCTTGGAGGCCTCAGGTAAGCTGCATGCAAAGGATGTGCCTTAACCCCTTGTACTTTCAGTCCCTACCTGCCTCTTCTTTTTAGTTTCTGGGCCACACCCAGCAGTGCTCAGGGCTTACTTCTGGCTCTGTGCTCAGGAATTATTCCTGGTAGTTCTCAGGGGACCATATGGGATGCTGGGGAGCAAACCCAGGTCGGCCACATACAAGAAAAACCAGTCTACTTGCTGTACTACGGCTCTGGTCCTACTGTTCTGTTTTGTTTTGGGGCCACACTGAAAGGTTCTTGGGGCTTACGCCTGACTCTGGGAGCTCAGGGATCACTCCTGGTGGTGCTTGGGGGACCCTACGTGGTACTGTGGATCGAACCGAGAGTCTGCTGTGGGCAACTGCCTTAAGCCTTGTGCTATCTCTCCGGGCCAGCCTTCCTGATCTTAATGTGGAGAGGAGTGTAAGGCTGGCAGAAGTGTGAGCAGGGCACACACCTGGTCTTCAGGAAGCTTTCCGTCATCCTCCAGGATCTGAAAGAGCTCACCCTCGGCATAGTCTGTCACCACCACCACCTGAGGAGAAGGGAAGCAAAGGCACTGGCCCTGACAGCCCCCGGTACATGCAGCTGGATGGGGAGGGGGGACATTTCTGGGACCCCCCTGGCCCTGGAAGTAAGGTGATCCAAACCAGTCAAAGCGCACCTCTTTGTCCGTCTCAAAGCTGTCAAGCATATGCACGATGTTGGGGTGCCGCAGACCCCGCATGATTTCGATCTCTCGCTGCAGATTCCGCAGTTCCTTCTCAGATCGCCCCAATTTTGGAATGAACTTCAGGGCCACCACCTGTCAGCGGCCAAGGAAAGACTCACGAACACGCTACTGAAATGGGCCGGGTTCCAGCATTCGCCGTGGCACACCACGACTCGGCCTTCACATCAACTGAGTGATTCTCATTCTTCCTGATCATCCCCCACTGGGTTTCCTCCTCACATCCACACCTTACCTAGATTTTCTCTCTCTCTCACCCCAAGAGAAACAGTGACTGGAAGGATCTAGTAGAAATGTTGTTTTGGACCAAGAACCCAAGATTGGGGCTAGAGTGATAGTACAATGGAATGGGTAGGGTGTTTGCCTTGCATGTGATTGACCTGGGTTTGATCCCTGGTATCCCATATGGTCCCCTGAACACTGCCAGGAGTGATCCCTGAGGACAGAGCCAGGAGTAAGGTCTATGCACTACTGAGTGTGGCTCAAAATCAAAACAGAATAAAAAGGGGCTGGAGAGATAGCATGGTGGGTAGGGCGTTTATCCTGCATGATGTGGCTGACCCGGGTTTGATTCCCAGCATCCCATATGGTCCCCCGAGCACTGACAGGAGTAATTTCTGAATGCATGAGCCGGGAGTAACTCCTGTGCATCGCCGGTTGTGACCCAAAATTTTAAAAAAATGATAAAAAATAGAACAAAAAAGAACCCAAAATCAGGGTAGGAGGGGTGGTAGCGCTCAGAGGCTACTTTCAGTTCCATTTTCAGACAGGGGTCACTCCTGGTGGAGCTCAGGAATCCATGTGGTGCCCAGGGAATGAACCCAGGTGTTGCACATGGAAAGCATGTGGATCCCCACATCACCTTTACACTATCTTCCCAGCTCAAAGAATTCTGAACTTAAAGAGACTTAAGGGAAAGACAAGAGAAAATGAACAGGGAAAGAATGCCAATGATTTCTCTTCCTGCATGACTTGTCCCAAAATAACATGCAGCTCCTTACTTGGTGACAGGTGTTCTGAGTGATTCAATGAGACATCACTGCTCAAACCCCAGTTCTATAGACAGGGAAGCTGAGACAAAGGGACTTGCCCAAAGTTCTCAAGCAAGAAAGTGATGTGAAATAGACTTTGAACCCAAGTAATCCAACATCAGGACCTCATACTCCATCAGCAACATGAGAGGAGGCTGGAGAGTCAGTGTAGTGGAGAAGGCTTTTGTCTTGCAAGTTGCCCACCCAGGCTGGACCTCCCAGCACCTGATGTGGTCCCTCTTAACCTGGTCCTTGAGCCCAGTCAGGAGTTAAATCCTGAGCACACTTGGCCCCTCTACCCAAAACAAAAAAGGATAAGGGAGTCAGTGTCTCTAAGACTACAAGCTGGTATATAATGCCTCCCTTCTAAACCCTAGTTCTCACTAGAGTTTTGGGGTGCGAGCCTGACCCAAGATACACCTCTAATTAGTTCACCACCTGGGCACTGTATTTCCTGCGACCTTTGTACACCCTCCCAAAAGAGCCTTCTCCGATCATCTCCAATACGTGGTACTTTTCCATGACAGAAGTTTCTGGATCCCTCTGAAGGAAGGAGGTAGAGATGGAGAAGGGCTACAGTTCCAGCGCCAGTTCCAAACATCTGGGGGCCCTGGTTGGGGGCAAGGGAGAAGGATTAGCTGCCTTGCCTCTTTTTTTTTTCTTTTCTCTTTTAATAATCCAGACCTCAAACGTAGGGGAAAAACGATGAACTCTTGGGACAATTCGGAAGCGGCTCCGCCTCCTTTCCACCCAACCTCGCACCCCATCCCACTCTATGCCACTCTGCCCTCCGCACCCAGTCTCGCCCACTCGCCTGACTCCCCCCTCTACAACCCCAGCCTCCTCCCCGGACCCCTTGCCCCGACCGACTCCAGCCCGCGCTAACCTCCCCCCGTTCCCGTTTCCCTTCATCCCTGACCCCTTCCCTTCCAGACTCCTTCAAGTTCCCGCCGCTGCCAGCATCCTCAGCATCCCCGCCCAGACCCCACTGCCAGAGAGTTTGGACCCCTCTCAACACCCAGCCTAGGAGCTTCAAGCTCCCCGGGCCAAGGGACGCGGGCGGGTCCTTTCGCCCCATCCCGCTCCCCCCTCCCCACCACCGGGGCTGTCCACGTGCTTTGCCTGAATCCAAATTCGTCCCCGCCGCCACAACTGCTCTCTCGGGACTCGCATTCCTAACCTCTTCCTCCTCGTTACGACGAGGGGGGAGGCTCCGAGTCCGAGAAACTCCGAGGAGTGGAGGGGCCGGCCGAATTGTCGTTAGACACTGGCTCAGGCACTGGCTCGGCCTCCCCGGGCCGGTAGGCCCCCCCTAACTTGAGGCCCCGCGGTTGCCTGGAGACGGCCGCCCCGCCGCTCGCCGTGTTCCCGCCCCCTTTCCTCTGCGTCCCGGAGCACTTCCGGTTCCGCTGTGGGCCGGAGAAGACATGGCGGCGTCTGCGTCGGCTGCTGCAGCGGAGGAGGACTGGTAACTTTGGGGCCGTGGGCTCCGGCCGTTGACCCCCCGCCCCCCGGGCCGGGACGCTGGCGGCGGCGGCGGGTGGGCCCCGGGGAGGGAGCGGAGAGCGCGCGGCGGGGTGGCCGAGCCGCTGACAGCTCTCCCGGAGGGGGCAGCTGGCGCCGGGACGCGGGGCTTCGGGGACAGGCGAGCGGAGGGGCGCGGGCCTCGGGGTTCGGGCAGCGCCGTGTGTGTGTGTGGGGGGGTCTCTCCTCTCCCCCCTGGACGCACGCCAGCCCGTTTCTCTCGGCATGGGTTGTCTGAGGGTCCCGGGGCGGGGATGAGGTTGGGGTGGGGGGGAGGCCACGCGTGCTCCTCGGACCCCCCCCCCCCGCCTCCCTTCCGCTCCCCGCCACCAGCTCCCGAGCCCCCTTTGCGCCCCAGATCATCCTGTTCCCGCCGGGGCTGGCCCCCCTAGACCCCTCTCTCCCTCCGTGGCCTTGCCCCGCCCCCCCCCCCCCCCACCCGCCACTGCTCTCCTAGGCCTTCGCGCCAGTCTTCTCGAGAGGCCCGAACCTGGAAGGACCCCGGGGTTTGGAAGGAGGCCAAGTGCGGGGCTTGACTCCCCGTTTATGAGCTGGGCCATGGTGGGGGCCCCCATCCCCGGGCCGCTGTGAGTCAGTAGAATATAGTAGCTCAGCCTGTTGCGAAGTGGGTGTGGCGCCCACTTCATAGAGTGAGGGAGAAGCTGCCGCCGCCGCCGCCGGCTGTCACCGCGGCTCCAGATCACAAATATAGGGTGATGAGGCTCCCGAAGAGATGACGGGAGAGACGGGGGAGTCTGGGTCGGAATCAGGCCGGTCTCTAGGCGAAACCTTTTGTTCTTGGTACTTGGCGAATGTCCCAGAGCCCTCCCCTTTCTTGGTCATCCCTTCGGTCACCTCCTTCTCTTCCGTCCCTTGCACCCGCAGCTCTGGCTGGTGAAGGAGAACTGCCCCCGCTGGAGGTGGCCAGCCCCACCTCCTGGTCTCATGGGTTCAGGGAACGCAGCTGCTGCGCGTCCTGCTTGACAATAGAGCAGAGGAGCCCAAACTTTTATCTTTTTAGAGATAAAAAGCACCCAGTGTCCGCCTCCCCCAGCCACCTTGTTTTGGAGCCACACCGAATAGTGCTCAGGGATCACTCCTGGTGGGGCTTGGGGGACCTTGTGGGGTGCTAGAGATTAAACCCAGGTCAGCTGCATGCAAGGCAAACCCCCTACCCACTGTACTATTGGGCTCCCCAGTCTGCCTTTTGTTTTTGTTGTTTTTCTGGGCCACACCCTGCGATGCTCAGGGGTTACTCCTGGCTCTGCACTCAGGAGTTAAGCCCGGCAGTGCTATTTTAATAGTGCTTGGTTATTAAGTAAGTATAGGATGCTGCGGATCGAACCCAGGTCTGCCGCATGCAAGGCAAACACTCTCCCCGCTGTACTATGGCTCCGGCCCCAGCCCCGTCTACCTTTTCAAAGAACCAGAGCACCCAGTTGTACCTTATGCCATTGTCAACAGTCATGCCACACCCCCGGCGCACCTTGTTGCTCACTTTGGGCAACACTAGTATATGATCTCCGTTCTCTGTGTGTTTCCAGCCTGTTCAATGGCTCTGTTGAGGTGACAGGGCCTTGGGCCACAGAGATAAAGCAGCCATCACTGTTACCTGTTTTCTAGTCTGGGGTGTCTACCTTGCACTAAAAAGTCTTTAGAACTACTGATACATACTGAGTTTGGGTCACATTGGAGTGCCTGTATATCTGCAGGCACAGGGGCCGTCTGCTCCTGGTGAAGAGGCGCCCCTCTAATGAAACGGATTGGCTGTTCACTGCCAGGATAGCGTCATGAACTCATGCCAGGCACACAACCCTCAGTTTCAGCGTCAGCACCTGTGCTGTTTCTCTCTGGTGTTTTCTATCAGGGCACACCCCACCACCACCACCACCACCACAACACACATACACACACACACACACACACACACACGCAACACACCTCTCATCCTGACCTGGACAGGTCAATGTAGATCAGACAGCAAAGAACAGATACTACGTCATCTTTTGGAAGAAGGGTATATATAAGCAGAAGTGAGATTTATAATAGTTAGGGCACTGCATACTATATATCTGTACGTGCGTATGTTTGTAAATGTTTATACACACTATCATATGGCCAAAACACTATTATTTTAAATAGATTGCTTTTAATCCTCACAACAACCCTAAAGAATATCTAGAATAGTCTGGTAGAATAATAGCCTTACTTACAGAGCTGAGTAACTACTCGGATCACTTACATAAGTGCTGGTTGACTGTTTTGTTTTTTGTTTTGTTTTAATAGTGCTTGGTTATTGCCTATGTTTGATAAAATAACTCTGCCTTACCACACTAAGTACTCAGACCACCTAGCTGACGTAGCTAGTGATTAGTACCTAGTCCTAACCTATTCCTAACTAGCTGGTGTGGGCTGATGGCTCCTTCAGTGCAGGACCCCCTTTCCACTCTCCACCTATTGTTCATTGTAGGCTGGCATCTCCGTCCATGACTTGGGTGGCTCTTGGCATTTGCAGGTTACCGACAGTAGCCAGGGTGCCGAGATCCTGTGATTGGTGGGCTAGAGAAACCCAGGAGCAGTTCTAGAAATCCCGCTGCTAAGGAACAGACAGCATCTGTCCAGATGGGTGGGGCGGCTGTGGCGAAACACTCCCACAAGGCCTGGGAACCTGGCATTGGGCTGGTGCCGCCTCACTGGCCAGTTTGGTCTCTGAGAACCTGTGTCCTGCCATGCTAGCAGAAACAGGCCCCATCATTCCAATCTCTCAGGCCGCTTCCTGGGCACCTTTAAGAAACGCCCTGCTCCCATTTTCCGAGGGTGAGGGGCGACTCAGACCGGGTGTCAGTGTTCTGCCCAGCGGGCTTTGGGGGCCCTGGCAGGCTTTCCTTACAGGGAGGCTGTGATGGTCAGCGAGTGTCCCCTGTCTCTAGGGTCCTTCCCTCTGAAGTGGAGGTGTTAGAGTCCATCTATCTGGATGAGCTACAGGTGGTTAAAGGAAATGGCAGGTATGTATGGTTTATGGTTTTTTTTTGGAGGGGAGGGAGTTACGGGGGTTGGGAGAAGGAGGCATTTTATAACATGAGGATTCCATATGCGATCTCTCTGGAGTGGTTGAGATCTTAAATTCGGAGAGAATGTCGTATAGACAAAGGCTTTTCTGTTGCCCCCCCCCCCCAGGAAAGCACCCCATGCTCACTTTTCCCCCCTGTGTGACTATCTTTGTTGCCCCCCCTTCCCTGCCCCCTACCATCCCCAGCCCCGAAGACCCTGCCTGGTCACAGCCCAGGCCTTACTTGGTCCCCCGCAGGTCTTCGCCGTGGGAGATTTCCATCACCCTCCACCCAGCCACTGCCGAAGACCAGGACTCCCAGTACGTCTGCTGCACCCTGCTGCTCCAGGTCCCGGCACAGGTGAGGCGCCCGGGTAGGGGCCGGGGGTGGGAAGGGCCCAGGCCCCGCCTGAGCTGTAACTGGGACTTCCCTTTCCAAAGTATCCCCACGAGGTGCCGCTCATCTCCATCCGGAACCCCCGTGGACTCTCCGATGAGCAGATCCACAAGTAAGTTGGGCTGGTCCGAGCAAGGGGGCTGGGTGCTGGGGAGGGAACTGGCCAGGTCTGATGTGCGCTTCACCGTCTCCCTCCAGGATCTCCCAGGCACTGAGCCACGTGGCCACTGCGGGCCTGGGCACTGCCATGCTCTATGAACTCATCGAGGTAAGCGGTGTGCTGGCCTGGGCAAACATCCTTCCCTTAAGCTAGAGCATTCGCCCCCCCGAGGGAGGCCGGGGGCCTCCGTCTGGCCCATCTCTGGAGTCCACCACTGAGCGGCGGAAAGGTTTAGGTAAGGTCTCAATGAATCCCGAAAGATGACACTTCCGTTTCAGAACGTGTCCCTTCAGGCCAGCTCTCCCCAGCAGCCTGTGCCAGCGTCTGGGACCATTCCTCTCCCCTGTTAACCGCCTTCTCCTGGCTGCGGTTTCATTACCTCTCTTGCCCTTGGTCCTGTTTGCCAAAAGCAGCTGGAGACAGGGCGCCCACCGCCTTGCAAGGTCTGAGCTCCAAACAAGTGTTTGAAAGCTCCTCTGTCATCAGGGCAGGCCAGTAAAACACCAGCCTTGTCCTGAGTTTCTTCCCCAGTGGGGGGGAAAAAAAAACATTCATGTAAAGCGTTGCCTAGAACCGCTGTAAGACACCCCCCCAGCTATGGCTGCCGGAGAGTCAAAGGCATGCGCTGTCCTGTACTTCCCCGGCTCTGGGTGCTTGAGGAAATGTGGGGGCAGGCCCAGAAGAAAGCTCTGACGCCCACCCCGCAAGCAAATGGTGGGGAGTTTAATCCCCCATTGCTGCCACGTGCTCAGAAGCACTGCCCTGGCAGCCCTGCCGGCTGTGACCCTGGGCACCAACGAGCAGCTTCTGGCCACGCGCACAACTGTGTGGCGCTGGTGACCCAACCAGGGAGCGTGCCTTGGGGTGAGCATCCCGACTAAAGGACAGAAAGGTGTGCGAGGGTCACAGTCACAAGTGCAGCCTCTGGTGAGCACAGGGATGAGCCCCACCAGAATGCCTGAGCATAACCCGTGCGACCCTTGGCGAGCACCATGGCCGGGCCTAGGCGCAGCCCCTCGTGATCACAGCAAAATCAGCAACAGCACACCAGGGGCGGGAGAGATCACAGCAGCTGGGGTGTGCGCCAACCATGCACCCAGCCCAGTTCATCTATCCTGGCCCCTCATACTCCTTTTAAACACCACTGATATAGCCTGGAGGCCCCCCAGCCGCCATAGTGGCCTGGGTGTCCCCAGCACCCCAAGGTCTGAGCAGCGTCCTTGGATCCTCGTGTTGAACCAGTTGACTGAGAATCGCTTGGGATTCTGAGCACTGCTTTGTGAGCGCCTTCTCCCCCTATCCCCCCCCCCAAAAAGAAGAAATGTTCTAGAGAAGGAAGGTGAGGTAGCCTGGCGTTAGGTGGGAGCTGCAGACCACCATGACCCTCTTGATAGAGCCTCCCCCATGCGGCGTGTTGAGTTCTGTGAGGTTGAGTACCACCTAGGCAGACAGCTGTGCACAGGTGCATTCTGTGATTCAGTTCGATGCTTGACTTCCCAGCCGCCAGAGCCAACGCACAGCCCTGGGGTGTTGAGGGAATGGTGCCCAGAGCAGGAGGGGGAGTCCAGAAAGGCGCGGGGATGACATGGGGTCTTCACAGGCCACTTGTTTCCCGTATCCCCGAGGCCCCGCACATTACAGGCGGCTTTCATGAGCCGGGGGACCAATTAGCTTGTGCCGTCCGGCAGCTCTGTTCGGGCAGAGGAGAGAGCGCCCCCCTCTCCCCCCCCAACCTCGGAAGTGCCTGGACCCGAGAAAGAGCTCTGGGCACGGCGCTCAGCTCTCAGCCCTGCTCCTTTCCGCCTCCAGAAAGGGAAGGAGATTCTCACTGACAACAACATCCCCCATGGCCAGTGTGTCATCTGCCTCTACGGGTTCCAGGTGGGTGTCTCTGGGGAACTGGGGGTGGGGGTCTTGGGGAGCCCTGAGTGACCCCCGGCCCCCCGCCTGCCCACCCTGCAGGAGAAAGAGGCCTTCACCAAGACGCCCTGCTACCACTATTTCCACTGCCACTGCCTGGCGCGCTACATCCAGCACATGGAGCAGGAGCTGCAGAGGCGGGAGCGGGAGCGGCAGTACTGCGCGGCCTCCGCCACCAAGCAGGTCTCCCCACCAGCCCGGCACGGCCCACGCTCACTGTGTGTCCAGAGAAGGGGCATCTCTTCGCAGCGCATGCGGTTCCGGGGCTCCCCAGGAGACCTGCGCGCTCTGTTTGCCGATCTCTCCTGCCTTTTGGTTTACGTTTGGATCTGGGGGGGGGCCACACCCGGCAGTGCTCAGGGTGGGGGTGGGGGCTGTAGGGGGGCCCTGAGTGAACTCCAGCCTGCCGTTCACCCGCCCTTCAGTAGGAGGAGGCCTTCACCTTGCTCCTGACTGCACTCAGGGCTCACCCCTGGTGGGACTCTGGGAACCGAGGGCGGGTTGGGAGGTTGCGAGGCAGGCGTGCTCCCCCCATCAGCCTCGCCTTCCTTTCTAGAAGGCAGCTGGCGTGCAGTGTCCCGTGTGCAGAGAGCCCCTCGTATACGACCTCGCATTGCTGAAAGCGGCCCCCGAGCCTCAACAGCCCATGGTGAGGAAATTCCCTTCCCTTCTTTGGTTCTGGGATGCACACCCAGTGTGGCATTCCCTCCTGGCTGTGCTCGGACCCGGCAGTGCTGGGGCTGGAACCCAGGGCTCCCGCGTGAAGACCTCTGCTCTGGCGCCAGGATCTCCCCCACGCTGGGCCAGGCAGGAGGGCCCTTGGAAAGGGACCGCGAGACCCTCCACCTGTCACCCGCCACCTGGTTCTCCCCAAAACCAGAGAGGAGTTGGAAGCCATAGCATAGCGGGCGGGGCGCTTGCTTGCTTTAGGTGTGCCCAACTGGGTTCAGCCCCCGGCACCCCATAGGGTGTCCCTCCCCAATCCCCCAAGTGCCACCAGAAGTGACCCTTGGACAGAACCAGGACTAAGTCCCAAGCACTGCTGCGTGTCTGCCCCCTCCCACCGAAACCCCAGCCAGTCTCGCAGAACCTAGGCAGAGGCTGGCAGGCGGGGTCTGGAGCCAGCCCTGCTTCCCGCCCTCCAGGAGCCGTACCAGCCCAGCGCCGCGAGTCTGCGGGAGCAGGAGGAGCGCCAGCGGCTCTACCAGCGGCAGCAGGAGCGGGGCGGCATCATTGACCTGGAGGCTGAGCGCAGCCGCTACTTCATCAGCCTCCAGCAGGTGAGCGCGCACACACACACTCTCTCTCTCTCTCTCTCTCTCTCTCTCTCTCTCTCTCTCTCTCTCTCTCTCCCTCCCTCCCTGCGTGCTCCATCCTATACACGCGCACTCCGTCCTATTCTGGCCAGCGTCCCCTTGACTACTGTTATCTCTACACTCCAGCCTCCCGCCCCCTCGGAGCCCGAGCCAGTCACGGCTGAACCGGCCACTTCACCCACTGCCCAGCCTGCCCTGCCAGCTGCGCTGCCCATGGCCACCCAGAACGTGTGTGAGAAGATGCCAGGGCCCGAGCCAAATCCGCCGAGGTTGGGAGAGCCCCTGAAAACCATGCCGGAGATCCCCCAGGCCAGCCGAGGCCCGTGGAGACAGCCAGAACCGAGACACCTCAAGGGACGGGTATGCAGTGTCCCCAGAGGGACCAGTGATCCTCATGAACTGGCCCCTCCTGAAGGCCCCCTCAAGGACCGAAAGCCAGAACCCCGGAACCAAGGGCTTGGAGGGCCTCCCCGAGAGAGGGGACCTGGCACCTGGCAGGGTCCCCCGCCCCGCAGGACTCGGGACAGTGCCCGCTGGGAGCGTCCCAAAGGTCGGACCCCGGCAGCGGCTGCTTCCTACCCTCGCCTGCCTCGGGGCCAGGGTGCCCACCAGCCTGGCACCCGCAGGGAGCCCCAGAACTTGGAATCTGAGGATGGTTCCTAGCACTACCTGGGGGAGTGGGGGGACAGGGGACTTGGGGTGGGAAAGGGGGACAATAAAGAGATTTGGCCTTGTTGGGCGTCCTTGGATCAGAAGTGGGGCCCAGCAGAGCACTCAAGGCCGTTCTCTCAAGAGCTTGGCATCAAGAAGCGTCGGACACCTCAGCAAGTGTGGTCGATTGGCAAGACAACCCCAGTGAGCACGGCATCAGAGCAACAAACAAGATCCACCGGGTCTCCGAGTCCCTGGGATCCACCCATGTGTCTAGGGTGCAGAATGTCACTTCCTGTTCTGGACAGGGTCTTGGAGCTGCAGCTTTTAAGAGACCAGGTGCAAAGGAAGCCGGTTTGGCCCTAGGCTAACTACTGAGACAATTCCATCCCCGTGGCATATTCCCACCGAACTCCCAAGCGCCAGAGCACGTGGAACGTAACATCCTCCTGGATGGGAGCCTGGATAATACAGTTATGTGTAGGGCATTTGCCTGGCACGTGGCCGGCCTGGATCCCCAGTATCCCACATGGTTCCCAAGCCCCATCAGGCATGATCCCCTGGTGTGGAGCCAGGAGAAAGCCCCGACTACTGCCAAGTGTGCCACCTTCCGTTTCCCCCAAATAAAAAGGCAGTCCCGTCCACTCCCAGCCCGTGGCTTCAGTTTTTGGGGCTCAGTTGGCCAGCACTTGGGATGTGACAGGATCCAAGGCGGGCGCCCTGGCTAAGCTGCCATTCTGGCAGGGAGCCACCCCTAGGCCCACACATAGGCAGGCCAGTGACGCGAACGTGCCCATTCCAAGGATGTGGAAGGAAGGAGGGATACCCAGAGCAAACCCACAGACACTGGGAACTCTGCCAGCTGGTCCTGTGTCCTTGGCTGGGAGCCAGCTGCCAAAACCCTTACCGGCGTCATTGGGGACTTGCTGTTGGCGCCTCCGTATGCCGAGGGTGGGCCTTTAGGGGGGGCTGTCCCGCTCACGCACTGGCTGTTCTCAGGCTGTGCCCACCCCCCCACCCTGGCACGTGGGCACCGCTGGGGGAGGGCAGAAGGACAGTTGCGCACGGAGGCGGTGGCAGGCGTTTATTGTGCGCCTCGTGGGCCCAGTTCCCTCTTCAGAGAGTGGAGGTTCTGCAGGGCCCCCGAGGGGTCGTTTTTGTGCAGCATGAAGTAACCCTGCACCTGCGCAGGGCTGATCTGCGTTGTGACCTGGAGGACGCGCTCGGCGAAGGTCTCGGCTGAGGCTGCATCCTGGCCTGGATAGAACCTCTGGAACATCTGGGCGAGCTGCCAGGACGAGCAGTAGCCCACATATTCCTTCAAGTCCACACGCCCGGGGCGGATGAGGGCCGGGTCCAGCCTGAGAGAAGGTAGGGCCCGGAGTCACAGCATGGTCGCCCCTACCCCCTGTGTTCCCCCAGCTCGTCCCCTGCGAGCCCCCGTCCTTCCCACCTGTCCACGTAGTTGGTGGTCATGAACACGATGCGCGCCTCGGTGGACGCCACGCCGTCCAAGGCATTGAGGAGTCCGCTGAAGGTGAGGCGCCCCAGGCCTTGGTACTTGATGGGGTCTACAAAACAGGAGCGAGGGGGTGGTGGGCAGGGAGTAGTGGGGAGGACGGTTTGCCTTCGACACTGGGTGGCTGACCTGGGTTCGACCCTCAGCACCCCATATGGTCCCCCAAGCCCCGCCAGGAGTGATTCCTGGAGCATCACTGGGTCACTGTCACTGTCCTCCCGTTGTTCATCGATTTGCTCGAGCTGGGCCCAGTAACGTCTCCATTGTGAGACTTGTTGTTACTGTGATTGGCATATCGAATACGTCACGGGTAGCTTGCCAGGATTTGCAGTACGGGCGAGATACTCTTGGTAGCTTGCTGGGCTCTCTGAGAGGGACGGAGGAATCGAACCCGGGTCGGTCGGGTCAGCCGCGTGCAAGGCAAACGCCCTACCGCTGTGCTATCGTTCCTCCATCATCACTGGTATGACCCCCCCAAAAAAAGAATAGGCCGGTAGGCACTGGCCCTACCCAGCCGCAAACCTGAGTTTGAATCTCCGCATGAAGATCCCACAAGCACCACTAGGGGTCCCTCCTGAGTACAGAGCCTGGAATAGCCCTGGAGCACCATGGGGGGGGGGGGGGGGGGGAAGTTGTGGCCCAGTTGCTCCCCACCCCAAAAACTCAAAACAGACCTCCCCAGGACCCCCTGCCCCTCGCTCACTCTCGGCCGCGAGGTCTCGGCTGAGGAAGGCCGCATCCACGTCCTCCAGCAGCACCAGGCTCTGCTGCGGGGCGACGCTGAGCAGGTGGTTGAGCCGGTCGTCGGAGAGGCTGGAGTCCGTGAGGCTCAGCAGGCAGATGCTGTGCTCCAGCTCTCCGGCCAGGGCCGTGCTGTGGCGGGGACCAAGTCGACAGGCTCGGTACCCCCCCCCAACCCGGAGCCCCACCCTCGCGCCTCCTACAGGGCTCTCCAGAGGCCCTTCCACACCCCACCTCACGGGGCCCGCGTCTGTCCCCCGCCCCGGGTCCCAGCTCCGCTCCAGTTACGGGGTTAGGAGGCATCTGGACTCTACTCACATAAAGCTGCTCTTTCCGCAACCAGGGGGCCCGTAGAGCAGGTAGCCGCGTCTGTAGGGGATGCCTGTGAACAGCCAGGGGGTGGATGGCTAGGGAAGCGCCCGCCTCGCATGCAGAGGACGCAGGTGCAATCCCCAGCGCCCACCTGGCTGTGGTCTCCTGAGCACCACCAAGAGTGGGCCCTGAGCACCGAGGGTGCCCCCCACCCTTAAAAATAAACAAGGGCTGGAGTGATAGTACAGCAGGTAGGGCGTTTGCCTTACACGTGGCCGACCCGGGTTCGATTCTTAGCATCCCATATGGTTACCCCGAGCACTGCCAGGAGTAATTCCTGAGTGCAGAACCAGGAGTAACCCCTGAGCATTGCCGGGTGTGACCCAAAAAAGCAAGAAAAAAAAATTAAAAATAAACAAGCTTAGGGTCCAGAGCCGCAATACAGTGAGTATGGTGCAATCCCTGACATCCCAAAGGGTCTCCTGAGCACTGCTAGGAGTGATTACTGAGTGCAGAGCCAGGAATACATAGACATGTCAGATATTACCTCCACCCCCAATAAATAAATAAGAACTCTAACTGTGATATGTGGGCTGGGCCCAGTGCTTAATGCCGCTGGAGAACTTTGACGTTGGCGTTGGAAATCCCCCTCCCGGGCACCTTTATCCTTTTCTCTGTAAGTTCACTCCAGCAGGGCCCGGAGACAGCAGTTAGGCCTCAGCCTCGCATGTGAGTAACCTGGGCTCAATTCCCGGCACCATGCGCTATTCAACCGGCCCCTAAATCACCGGGTGCCGCCCTAGAGGTTCCTGCACAGCTGCCTGAGCAGCCAGGATGCGCCAGCATCACCCGTGTGACAGGGGTACCCTTGGTACCACAGGGCCTGAGGATGCGACGCTGTTCAGGATGGAACGCTGCTCAGTGAGGCCTCCCAAAGCCCCCTAAGTATCGCTTGGGCGCCCCATCAGTGAATTCACCCCATCTTGGGGCCGGAGAGAGAGTGCAATGGTTAGGCCTGACTGCTTCAATCCGGGACTCCGTACCTGGCACCCCCCAAGCCCTGCCAAGCTCTGGGCACAGAGCCAATTGATGGACACCCCTAACTCCCCACAAATAAAAAAAAATAAATCCACCCAAATCGGGCCACAGAGTCTAGCTGGTGCCCCCCAGCTCCAGCGTGTCCCAACAGCCTTGCCAAGTGCCCCCAGGGCGGCTCACCTCTGTCTGTGTACCACTTGGGGTTATCGATGAATTCCCGGATATCTCGAAGGATTCGATCGGCCAGACCTTGTTCAAGGACCACGGAGCTGAGGGGCCGGCGGCGGCGTGGGTAGCCGAAGGAGCGCCATTCGGTGCCCACAGCGCTGTACATCACCGTCTTCCCTTCCTCCTGCTGCAGTGCCAGCTCCCGGGCTGGGTGAGGGGAGAAGAGACAGAGCCAGTTGCTTCCTCCTGCCACACTGTGGGCGCAGCTGGCCCCCCATCCCCTGGGCGCCCACCCCCATCAGCTCAGATGCCCTATGGCGCCTCTCCAAGCTGTTCTTCCTCTGATATTCACCACCCCCATGCCTATAGCCCCCCTAAAACCCCGATGGGCCAGCCCACACCTTCCTCCAGGATGTTGAAGAAAACCTTCCGATCAGTGCCCAGGGCGGTAAGCGTGACCGACTCCCACGGGGTGCCCGTCTGCAGGTCAATCATCTGCATCTCTCGACTTCGTTCCACTCGGATCCATTTCCCCTGATACCTGAATCCAAGGGAAGCCAGGTCCAAAGGGGTAAGGGGGTCACATCCAGATCTCCTATTTCTCTTTGTTGGGTTTGTTTTGCTCTCGGGCTTTTTTGGGGGGCGGGGGGGCAGAGCCAGTGACGCTCAGGGGTTACTCCTGGCTCTGCACTCTGGCATCACTACTAGCGGTGTTGAGGGACCACATGGGATGCCAGGATCAAACTTGGCCCTGTGCAAGGCAAGATCCATCTCTGCTGTATGCTGTACTATCACTCTGACCCTCTTATTCTTCTTTTGGTCTCTGGACCACACTCAGATATGCTCAGGACTTACTCTTGGCTCTTGGATCACTCCTGGCGGGTTCAGGGAACCATACGGGCTGTCCAGGGGAATGGAACTGGGCAAGGCAAGCACTGTACCCACTGTACTACTGCTCCACCCCCATTCCTTCATTCTTTTTCTTCTCTTGGGAGAAGGGGGAGGATTGGGCCACACCAGGTGGTATGGTGAGTGGACTCCAAATTTCTCCTAACTCCTGGCTCTGCCCAGGGATCATTCCTGGAGGTGCTCCAGGGACTATATATAGAGTGTCGCTGGGAATCAAACCCGGGTCAGCGCCCTCCCTGTGACACTCTCCAGCCCTCATTCTTTTAAAATATTTTAAATTTTTTTAATTCAATCACCGTGAGATACAGTCACAAAGCTTTCATGATTGAGTTTGTCATACAATGATCGAACACCTATCCCCCCACCAGTGGGCATTTGATACCATCAATGTTCCCAGTATCCCTCTCACCACCCCCAACCCATCCCACCCCTGCCTCTGTGACAGACACCTTCCTTCTTACTCTCTCTCTCTGCTTTGGGGCATCATGGTTTGCAATACAGATACTGAGAGGCCACCATGTTTGGTCCTTAGTCTACTTTCAGCACACACCTCCCATCCAGAGCGATCCCTCCAACTGTCATTGACTTAGTGGTCCCTTCTCCATCCCAGCTGCCTTCTCCCCCAGCACATAAGGCAGACCATCCCTCATTCTTCACCTCCCCCCCGCGCCCAGGGTCTGTCCCTGGCTCCAGGCTCACCAGACAAAGTGGTTTCCAGGGCTGGGGATGAACTCGAACTTGGTGGAGATTCGGCCGCTGTCGTGCTGCAGGTAGGACGTCTCGACGCTGAGGTGCTGTGTACGGCTGCTGTGGCGGGTGAGCCAGCTCAGCAACCAGGCATAGCTGCGGTCCCGGGCCGGGACTTCTAGCGTGATCATGTAATGACGCCGGAAAGCCAACATGCCCAGCTGGGCGCCCTTCCGGGCCAGGGCCAGCGCTGTGCCCACACCCACCAGCCCGAAGCCAGCCCCAAAGTAGGGATTGTGCTGCAGGGCCAGCACAAAGTCTGTGAGGGGCATCTTGAAGGGGCAACCGCAAACCTTACAGGCCCAGAGACACTTTGAAATCCTGGGGAGGTGGAGCGTGGAGAGGACAAAACACAAGGTTAGTTTCGGATCGGGACATGGCCTCCCTCCCCCGCTATAGGCTCAGGGTGCAGGAGGGACGAGCCGGTGCTGCTGTATGTCCAGGTGCTTTGTTTTGTGGGGGTGGGGCAGTGTCGGGGTGCGAGGGCCGACACTCCAGATTCCGTGCCCCACGCTGCCCTTCCTTAGCCTGCCCAGAGCTTACTTTCCTGCTGGACAGAGTCCTTAAATTGCCTGACAGACTCCCTAAACCTGGAAGAACAATGTAACTTCCCATTGTTCTTGGCTTTATACGAGAGTAAGAAACATGGTTGTACTCCCTGGAAGAAGCTGAGATAGATGGAGTGCCAGGGCACCCCACGGTTGGAGTTAGGAGGCAAAGGAACTACTTCTCCGGAGAGCCCGTCACTTCTCTCCACGCCTTGTTCCATAAAATGTCCTTCAAAGATCCTTTTCCTTCCGATGCTGAATTCCTAAGGACTGGCTTTGCTCATCCATACCTCCCACCTAAAGTGTATCTTTAAAAATTGATCTGAGGGGGGTTGGAGAGACAATACAGAGGGTAAGGCGCTTGCCTTGCATGAGGCGAACGTGGATTTGATCCCGATGCATCAGCAGGAGGGACTCCTTTGCTTTTTTTTTGGGTCACACCCGGCAATGCACAGGGGTTGCTCCTGGCTCTGTACTCAGGAGTTACTCCTGGCGGTGCTCAGGGGACCATATGGGATGCAGGGAATCAAACTCAGGTGGGCCGCGTGCAAGGCAAACGCCCTACTCACTGTGCTATTGCTCCAGTCCCAGCAGGAGGAACTCCTAAGCACAGAGTCGGGAGTAAACACTAAATACTTAGGAGTAAACGCCTAAACACTGCTGAGTGTGGCCCCAAAGCAAAAATGAGGAAAACTGGATTTCGTTTTGGAGCCGGCAATAACAGTGGTCTTCAGTTCCTGTTTCAATAAAGGGCTCCAGGGGTCTCCGGATTTTCCTTTTTTGTATTCTGGGACACAGGTGGTATTGCTCAGGGATTACTCCTGGCGGAGCTCAGGGACTATATGAGGTTCCTGGGATGGAACCTGGGTCAGCCCCATGCAAGGCAAGCAAGCTCACCACTGTACTATCACTTGGCCCCTGATCTGGATCTTTCTTCCCAAGGATGGACTTCAACCCTATACCCTCCCACCTCCAACACCCACAAAGGCTGAACCCCTACAAACCTTCAAGGGGGGTAGGGGGGCCTGTCTGCCTTGAAGTGCCTGGCTCCTAATCCTCCCTGTTGCACCAACAGGCAAACCCACCTCCCTTCTCTTTCGTGCTCCGAAGTTTTCTAGCTCATTCTTAATTGCCCTCATTTTCTGCACCGAAGTCTCATCCACCTGCCACTTTCTCCATGGGGATTTTCCTGAATTCCCCCCGCCCCCTTAAGTCCTCCAAAGACAGCGTGAAGCGGCTTTAATTCTAGTACGATTCCTAGAGGGCGGGGGGCCAGGCCTGTGTCCACCTCCCGCGCCGCTCTGCTCAGACCCAGGAGCGCCACATGGGGTGAGCTGACAGGTGACCTCGGCTGAGACTAAAGGAAGCTCCAGAATTCCAAAAGGGCTATGCCATGGAAAGCCAACAGACAAAGCCCTCCCCACCTTCCCACTCCGGGCCCGTGACGAACACGCAGAAGACCCCCCACCCACCACCCCGAACGCCCTCCGCACACGGCTCGCGCCACCAGCGGCGTGGTTTGCAAGCGCGCCCGTCACTCCGCCCCCTTACCCTCGCCATGACTCTCTGGCCCTCCTTCTCGATGGTTTCACCCCTCCGCGCGAGAGGGCAGCGCCGCTCGGCCCCGCCCCCGAGATCCTACTTCCCACCACGCCTACCTCGAAAGCCTGCCGCTCTGCTCCGCCCGTCTCTATGGTCTCTCTCGGCAATTCCCGGTCCAGCACGAGAGCTGAACCATAGAGTAGTCCGCCGGGCCACCTCCGAGAGAAGGAGAGAGGGTCCTCCTTCCCCTCCCCCCCGACCAAGAAGGCCGTCCTAGAGGCGGCTGGACGGGGGGGGCGGGGCGCACAAAGCGCGTCCCGGGAGGCCTCTCCAGCTGTCGGCCGACCATAGAGATGCGGCTGCAGCCGACCCCGGCCCGGGAGGTGAGTGAGCCGCTGCGGGAGGGACCTGGGGAGGGGCGTGCGGGGGAGGGGGAGCTCAGAGGCGAGAGTTTCTCGAGCCGCCGAGGGAGAGCGGAGCTTCGCCCGTGAGAACCCTCGGAGGAGATGCCCAAAGAGCACGCACACGCCGAGGAGTGGGGCTCCAGCGCATCCCCGCAAGCTGCAAGGCGCCCCCCCGACGCGTCCTGACTCGGGACTGCGCCCGGGGTGGGAGTGGGGGTGGGGTCCCCACTACTTCGGCCCGGGACCGCAATCCCGACCGTGCTCCGTCCAGTGAACGGTGATCCGCCCGCGCAGCGGCGTGGACGCTGTCACCGCCTCCGCTTTGCAGAGGGGACAGCTTGAGGCGGCCACCCGTGACTAAGGAGGCCACGCGCGGGGTCAGCTCCCGCAGGCGAGTGGAAAACCCGGGTGCGGAGCTCCCCGTGCTTCCTCACGGCTTCTCACTTGTCCTTTGTTTTCCTCCACGCCCCAGCCCCGAGGTTGAGCTCCTTTCCAAATCCTGGCTTCATCTGTCACCCGGCGCACCCCTTCATCCACCTGCTGGACGAAGGGTCTGCGGACCCTTGGGCTGGACTGTTGCGCAGCCTCCCGGATGCCCCCATGGAGGTGGACCCCGACGAGCTGGAAATGCCCTCCCCCTTACACACACACACACACACGCCCCCAGCACCGATTGTCACTTTGCTAGGCCCAGAATGACAGCCCTGCCCAGAGCCAGCCTGTCACCCCGGAAAGGCCCTTCCTGCATTCTGACACCCAGATGCCCAACGTGCTTCTCAGCTTTCACTGAGCCATTCTCTGTCGGTCTTCCTTGTGACCGCACACAACCGGTTTCCCCTGGGTGTCACAAGACCCGCCAATCATGGAACGTTCAGCTCTCAGTGCTTTGGGCTTGCAGAGTCCAGGGGTTTGAAGTTTCTAGGAGCTCAGGAATGGGGTGGGGGCGAGGACCCCGCTTCTGCGTCCATGCATCCGCTGTGTCTGCAGCTCTGTTGGTGTGACTTGCATAAATTGTTGATATAAGTCCAGCCAAATGCCCATATACTCCATCTGGGGAGGAGGGAGGCTGATGGAGACGCAGCAGGCCAGTGGGATGCGGCCGTTAGGACCCAGACAGAAGAGGAAGTCCATGAGCCTCAGGAAGGTTGCCCAATGGCAGTGACGTTTAGAGTGTTGGTGGACATTCGGGTATTGGTTAGCTGGACTGAGAGAGAGGAATGGGGATGCCAGAGGCATTTGTGAAGGCTTGGAAGCAAAGGAAAGAGATGCCTGGGTCACACACAGTGGTACTCAGGGCCTACTCAGCTCAATGTTTGGAGTTTCCTCCCGGAAGTCCTAGGGGTTTGGATGGTGCCGGGGATCGACTCAGGGCTCCTGCATGCCAAACATGCACACTAGCCTTTTGCTCCACCTCCCCAGCTGGAGAACGATTCTCTCGGCTTGAAAATGAGGAAGTGACAGATGACTAGCTGCATGGCTTTGGAGGAGCAAGATGGATCTGGAGAGGCCAGCCGGAAGAGCCTTAAGTCCATGTTAAGGGACAGTGAGATCATTATACCCAGAGGGGCACAACCTTCCAGATCCCTTCCCCCACCCAGAGAGATGGTTACAGGGATTAAGACACTCACCTTCCACAGCGTAGACCCCGGTTCAATCCCAGCCCTGCCCAGGGATCCCCCAAGCACCCCTGAGCACCGAGCCAGGAGTAAGCCCTGAATATTGCAGGGTATGGCTCCCCCCACAGAAAGAAAGAATATTGAAACAGGGTCCAGGATCTAGCTCAGCAGTAGAGATTGTGCCTTGCTTGCTTGTGGGAGGCTCGGAGTTTGAAGAGAGTTAAAAAAAGATTACAAGACCCGATTACTTGCTCACTGCATTTCCATGCATTATTGTCGCAGATTTTATGCCAAGTTTATTTTGAGAAAAAAAAAAAAAGAAAAAAGTGGTGTGCCCAAGCACAGCCAGGAATGATCCCTGAGTGCAGAGCCAGGAGTAACCCTTGCGCATTGCCAGGTGTGTCCCCAAAACAAACAGAAAGGGGCGTGGGGTGGCTGGAGCGATCACAAAGGGGTACGGTGCTTGCTGCCTTGCATGTGGTCAACCTGGGTTTGATCCCTGGCATCCCATATGGTCACCCGAGTTTGCCAGGAGAGATAATTGAATGCAAAGCCAGGAGTAAGCCCTGAGTACTGCCGGTGTAGCCCCAAAACCAAAATATAAATAAACAAGTGGAGTCTGACCACTTTTTGCTTAAAAAACAGTGTGGTGATGAGGAAACTGTATGAAACACAGATAACCACTCTGATGAAACCTGGTCACAATTTGACCACAGTCACTTAGCTCCCAACAACATAACCCACAACCTTGAATTGACTGATCAGAATTTGTGGGCTCGCTTCTAATGTATACCCTTGGCAGCATTGTCGTTTGCTCTTTTTCTTTTTTTTTAAATTTATTTATTTTTTTAAATTTTATTGAATCACCGTGAGATAGTTACAAGCTTTCATGTTTGGGATACAATCACACAATGATCAAACACCCATCCCTCCACCAGTGCACATTCCCCACCACCACTATCCCCGGCATACCCCGCTTTTTCACCCTCCCCTGCCTCCATGGCAGACAATATTCCCCACAATCTCCCTCTACTTTTGGGCATTATGGTTTGCAGTACAGACCCTGAGAGGTTATCACGTTTGGTCCTTTATCTACTTTGAGGCCACCCCTGGAGGCGCTCAGGGGCTACTTCCGGCTCCATGCTTAGGTGCTGGAGGGGAGGATGGTGTGTGCTCAGGGTTGAGCCTGAAAACGTCCCTCCTGGCAAAGCATATGCTCAAGCATTTGGTTCCCTTTCTCTTCTGGTTGGCTCCTCGGCACCTAAGCGGTCACGGCATCCACACGCGGGGCAATGGCCAATGCAGTTTTGGACGCACAGCAGCCAGCCGGCAGCACGGGGGACCTGGATGGCCTCTACCCAGAGCTGCTTCTCATCCCCCCACCCCTCCCCACGCGGGGGCTCCTGGAGCCCATTGAAAGCGTCTCTCCTCCGGAGAACCCTGCGCCTGTGACAGCTGACCCAGGCTGCCTGCTGGTGGAGGCCACGGCCGCAGATGAGGACCCTGGGAACATGGAGATCATCGTGGAAGCGGTTGCCGGAAATCTGTCCCCAGGTGCCCCCGGAGAGACCCCAGGTACCGCACTGGGTGCTCGCAGGCCAGTGGGGTGGGCCGCCCCGAGCTCTGGGCTTGGGTCGGTTTGGACCCTTCTGCATCAAGAGGGTTCTGTTTTTATGTTGTCCTGTGATGAGCAGGAGGGGAACACGAATGGCAGCTGGCGAGGAGGGACACAGCCTGCTGTGTGGCGCTTGGCAGTGTCTCCCTGCCAGGGCGGCATGTGTGTGCGTGTGTGTGTGTGTGTGCGTGTGTGTTGCTTGTGTGTGTGTATGTGTGTGGCCATGGTCTAGAGTGGAGACCTTCCTTCACTCTTATCCTTGGGGCACCTCCCTGCTGCTCTCCCCTGCCCCTACCACGCTCCCCTTCCCCCACCTCCCACCAGCAGCAGCGGGGATTGGACAGAAGGCCCCCTCTGGGTGGGGCAGCTTTGCAGAGGTAATCTGGTGGCCTCCTCTAGCCCCAAAACACACAACCATCACTTTTTTTTTTTAATTAAAAAAAAAATTGGCAGGGGTGGGTCACAACCCGGTGATGCACAGGGCTTCCTCCTGGCTTATGCACGCAGGAATTACTCCTGGTGGTGCTCGGGGGATCATATGGGATGCTGGGAATCGAACCCGTGTCAGCCGCATGCAAGGCAAACGCCCTACCCGCTGTGCTCCAGCCCCAATTTTTAAAAAAATTTTTAATGAATCACTGTGAGATACAGTTACAGACTTACAAACTTTCACACCACCACTTTCTTGCACTTGATATGCTTAACCTTCCAAGACCTTGCATTATGGAAGTAGAACATTTAGGCTAGGAGAAAGATTTCTGCTTTTTTTTTTTCTTTTTGGGTTCACACCTGGCGAGGCACAGGGGTTACTCCTGGCTCTGCACTCAGAAGTTACTCCTGGCGGTGCTCAGAGGACCATATGGGATGCTGGGAATCGAACCCGGGTTGGCCGCGTGCAAGACAAACGCCCTACCCGCTGTGCTATCTCTCCAGCCCCAGATTTCTGCATTTAGACACAGATTTCACTTTATCTAAAGCCCCTCGTTTTTTGTTTTTGTTTGGGTGTCATACCCAGCTCAGGGATAACTCCTGGCTCTGCACTCAGGAATCACTCCTGGAGGGGTCAGGGGACCCTGACTTTTCCCAAAAAGGATGGTCTCTCTTCGTGAGTGCTGTGTCTCGGAAACTCCCTTTACTGAATAGAAAAGTAACACTTAATCATAGCTAAGTTTCTCTGTCTCTGTCTCTGTCTCTGACATATTGGGATGTCAGGGATTGAATTTGCAAAGTAAGTGCCCTACCCACTGTACTATCTTTCCAGCCCCAGTGGCCCCTCATTTGGGGGTAATTCTCCTGTTTTTTGAGTTTTTTGTTGTTTCCTAACCTTAACCTCCATGTGCTGTCTTGCCCGATCCTTCAGACACCAGTACAGGCAAGACTGGGATTTGACTGTTTTTGTTTTGGGGTCACATCTGGTGTTGCTCAGAGGTTATTCCTGAGCTCTGTGCTGGGGAGCTGGGGATTTAGGCCAGCACCTTACTCGCTGCATTCTCTCTGGCTCTCTGTGATTTGACTTTTCTCAGAACGGATGGTGTCTCTTTGTAACTGCTGTGTCTCGGAAACTCTCTTTACTGAGTAGAAAAGTAACACCGAGTCATAGCTAAGTTTCTGTCTCTGTCTCTGTCTTCTATCTCTGTCTCTGTGTCTCTCTCAGTCTTTCAGTCTCTCTCTCTCTCTCTCTCGCTCTCTCGCTCTCTCGCTCTCTCTGTGCTGGGGGTTAGGGTAACCCAAGGCCTCATGCAAGCACATTGCTGAGCTGGTTTTTGCATTTGTTGTTTTTTTTTTCTTTTTCTTTTTTTCTTTTTTTTTTGTGTGTGATTTTTATACATTTTATTTTCAGAAAGTAGTCCACAATAGTTCATTACAGATAATTCAAACACTGACCCCACCAGCAAGCATCTCCCACCACAATAAGAGGGAAGCGTGTGAAGGTTGTTGTATTTCATTCTGGGACCATTTAAGCCCATATATAGAAGAATACAATCAAGTATGTTAAAAATCAAACAAATGTTTGGTACTTTAAGTACATCAGTGGGTTAGGGTTTAAGAGGTTGCACAAATGCGGCATCGCTCTCTTCTGGGAGCTTTATTTTATAGTCTCTGGATCTTGGCCATTGATAAAATGATATGGGGGGGGTGTTGTGGGTGTGATTGCTAAGCTACTGGAAAACTGGGTATCTGGGGGGAGGAGGCCCAGTCCCGATCTGAGCAGGCTTGGAGATCTCAGCCACGAATCACGCATACCTGGGTTCCTCTGCCGGTTCCTTCATGCATGAGGCTCGTCTGCTCATGTGGAGGTGGCCTTGAGTATGGCTGCGCCTGGGTTCTGCTTTGGGAGAGGAGGGAAACTCAACCCGCCCCCCTCCGAGGTGCCCCGGTGAAGACAGCCTGGTGCGGGGGCAGGAGATTCTGCCTGTTTTTTGTTTGTTTGTTTGTTTTTCAATTAAGACACTGATTTTCAAAGTATTCCTAAGTGAGTGTTTGGAAGACTATATATTCCAGCACCAGTCCCACCATCAGGGTCCTCAGGGTCCCTCCCCAGCGGCCTCTTTGACAGGCCCATTGTTAAGCTTGGTTTGTTGTGGTTTGGGGTTGTTCTTGCCTCTGTGGTTTGGATACACGTGGCTACTACACCAGCTATGGACCCAGGGCCCTTGCCAATGCCCCTCTTACTTCCCATCCACCTCTTACTTCTTCCTCTTCTTAGTGTGGGTAGCATAGCTTGCCTTCCGGTTCAATGCTTTCTGGATGTGGTTACAGCTTATTAATGTTCGTTTAGCAAATATCTACTCAGCACCTATTTTAGTTTGGTCTTTTGGGCCACACCTGGCGATGCACAGGGATTACTCCTGGTTCTGTACTCAAGAATTACTCCTGGCAGTGCCCAGGGAACCAGATGGAATGCCGGGGATCCAACCCCGCAAGGCAAACTCCCTACCCATGGGACTATCGCCCTCACCCCTCCACACCTAGTGGATGCCAAGTTTTAGGCTAGAACCTGGGAATCCGGTCATGTGGGCAGTTCTGTTCCTGGAACCATTAAAAAAAAAAAATGGGGCCGCAAGTAGGGAGCTTGTCTTGCACGTGGACATCCCTTGTTCGATCCTCAGTACCGCACACAAGGTCCCCTGAGCCCTGCCAGGAGTGACCCTGAGCACAGAGCCAGGAGGAAGCCCCAAGCACTGCCGGGTGGGACCCAAAACCCAAAACTAAAAGCCACAATTCTCCAAACATGTGTAAAATAAGCCTCATGTGTACCTACTGTAGGTTTGATGCCCAGCACCCCCTGGGATTCCAGTCATCACTAGCTGCAGGCTGGCTGACCCTGGTCTCCCTGTCACCGTAGGACCCCCGAGCACTGTATCCTCAGGCACTTGCACTGAATTGCCAGGTCGGTGGGCTGAGAGTTGCCAGTGGGGACCCCTAGACCGCCCAGGGGCTTATGGTCCAGCTCTTAGGTCCTTATAAGGGCTTATACTTCAGGTCTCTGATAATCTAGTTCCGGCACCAGACTTCAAGTTCATGTCTCTCCGAGGGGTCCCTGATTCTCTGGTACATTCCCCCCTCTCTCCCTCATCGTATTCCGCCTGATTCTCGTCCCTCTGCCCTGCAGGTGTGCTGGTGAAGGTGGTGGAGGTGTACTTCTGCGAGCACTGTGAGCGGAGCTTCGCGGAACCGGCCCTGCTGGCCCTGCACCAGTGCCCCGAGTCCCTCCCGCGGCCCGGCCCGAGCCCCGCGGAGCCCAGCCCCACGCAGAGCCAGAACCCCGCCGCTGCGGCTGACGGCCCCCTGCCCTGCCCTGTGTGCGGCCAGGAGTTCACCCAGCCCCAGGCCCTGAAGAGCCACTTCAAGGCTCACCGCAGCGCCCCCGACACCTTCCCCTGCCCGGAGTCGGGCTGCGCCTTCTCGGCGGCAGCGCGCCGGGCACTGCAACAGCACCTGAGACAGGCGCACGGCGCCGTGCCCGTGCCCTGCGCCTTCCGGGGCTGCCCGCTGCTCTTCGCCAGCCAGCAGGGCATGGAGCGCCACCGGCAGGCCCACTACCCTTTCCACTGCCGGCTCTGCAGCTTCGCGGGCTCCAACATCAAGCTCTTCCGGCAGCACCAGCGGAGCCACGTGGTTGCGCCGCCCCGAGCACCTGCCGGGCCAGGTGGGTGATGCGGCGCCCGGCCCCGAGTGCCCCTGGGGGCGAATGGCACTGTGGCAGCTGCTGTGCCCCCTGCCAGGGAAAGAAGGACAGTTTTTGGAAGCTGGGGGTGGGCTGGGGGGCGGTCTAGAAAACCTGGGAGCAGGGAGCCCAAGAGAACAGCGGGGAGGGTGCTGGCCTTGCACTCGGTTGACCCGGATTCCATCCCCAGCATCCCATGCGGTCCAGGAAGGATCCCTCCGTACAGAGCCAGGAGTCAGCCCTGAACATCGTGGGTGTGGCCAAAAAAAAAAAAGAAAAGGGAGAAAGAGGGCCCCCCCCCCCCATGGGTGGACTTGGTCGCCTGCCTGGTGGAGGTGTCTAGGGAGAGGAGGGGTGGGTTTGACTGGACCTAAGTCGGTGACTAGGCTTACCCAATAGAACATTCTACTGGGTTTTTTCCTCCTCCTCTTCTTCCTCCTCCTTCCTCCTCCTCCCTCCTCCTCCCTCCTCCTTCCTCCTCCTTCCTCCCTCCTCCCTCCTCCTCCTCCTCCTCCCTCCTCCTCCTCTTCCTCTTTTGTGATTATGTTTCAGTCATAAAATGATGGAGCACCCATCCCTCCACCAGTGCCCATTCTCCACCACCAATGTTTTCAGTGTCCCTCCCGCCACCCTCACCCCTTCCCACCCTGTGTCTCTGTGGCAGGCACATTCCCTCTTTCTCTCTCTATTTTGGGTGTAAATGTTTGCAGTACAGTTACTAAGTGGCCATCATGTTTCGTCCATACTACTTTCAGCACGCATCTCCCATCCTGAGTGAGCCCTCCAACCATCATTTACTTATTGGTCCCTTCTCTATTCCAACTGCCTTTTCCCTCAGCATGTGAGGTAGGTTTCCAAGCCATGGAGCGATCCTCCTGGTCCTTATTGTGTGTAGGAGTATTGCTATTTATTCAGCCATTGATTAGGGTGATTGAATTGGGCATGAACTCCACCTTACTTTTTTTTTATGTATATAAGTTTATTTATTGAATCACCGTGAGAGCAGTTACAAAGCTTTCAGGTTTAAGTCTCGGTCATACAATGATGAAACACCCGTCTCTTCACCAGTGCCCATTTTCCACCACCAAAAACCCCAGTATACCCTCCACCAATACCTCACCCTACCTGTGGGGCAGATGATTTCCACATTTCTCTCTCTACTCTGATTACATTCAATATTTCTACACCAGACCCATCTTTTTTGTTTGGGATTTTACCCCAACAGCGGTAGGGCGTTTGCCTTACAAGCGGCCAACAAGGCCGACCCAGGTTCGATTCCTCCGCCCCTCTCGGAGAGCCCGGCAAGCTACCGAGAGTATTCGATATGCCAGACACAGTAACAACCAAGTCTCCAATGGAGACGTTACTGGGCCTGCTCGAGCAAATCGACGATCAACGGGAGGGCCTTTACTTTACTTTACTTTTACTCAGATCTGCCGAAAAGGCAACAGTAGACACTGATTATGAATAACATATGATGTCACGTGGCCGCAGTAGTGGCCGTGCTATTTTGGAATTCCGAAATTTTAACAGTTAATTCTGGAGGGATTTCTGCCAAAACCTGCTGGGTTCCGAGATTTGTTCCTGAGACTCTTGGATCATGGCCATTAATCAGCTTGATCAGGAGCCAAAGAGGCCGTTTGTGGGTGGCAACTCGGGGGTCTCGTTGGGGTGGGGAGGAAAGGGTCAGTTCCACCCCATCCCGTGAGGCCTCACATGTCTTGTCACTGTGGGCCCAAACCTGACTGTCCAGTGGCCTCTGGGGGATGGCAGCCACCAAACTTCCAAGGGGGAGCGGACAGAGGGACAGTACCCTTCCCACCTGGGGTGGTCCAGCGCCGGTAACCCATTGCGGACACTGGTTGCATCTCTGCCAAAAGCCGCTGGGTTCCGAGATTTGTTTCTGTGTCTCTGGGATCATGGCCATTAAGCAGTTTGATCAGGAACCAGAGAGGCCTTGCCTCCAATTATATAGGTGAGCCACAGGTGGCTTGTGGGTGTGTCTCCCACATACCTAACTTTTACTTTCTTGGTAAACTTGGCCCCAAGTTGTGGGGGTCTGGTCAAAAGCACAGCAGCTATTTTTGGATATCTGAAAGTCTGAAGGCACCATTAGGCTCCTGATGCACTTGCTTCACGGGTACAAACTGACCTGCTGGCGGTACCATACCCCATTAGTCTCTTCTTATGTTACTTTATATTTCCACAGATGAGTGCAGTCCTTCTATGTCTGTCCCTCTCTTTCTGACTCATTTCACTTAGCATGATACTCTCCATGTCCATCCACTTATATGCAAATATCATGACTTCATCTTTTCTAACAGTTGCGTGGTATTCCATTGTGTACAAACCAGTTTCTTCTGTTTTTTTTTTTTTTAATCCTCTTGGTTTTGGCCACACCTGGCATTGCTTGTAAGACTGGGAGGTGGTGGGCGGGGGGGGGGGGGGGGGGGGTCATGTGGTCCCAGCGATGAAACCCGAGCCTCAGCCTTAGAGCTCCTTGACTCAGCAGAGCCTTTGGTGGTCAGAATAGGGTCCCCTGGACTGAGCCACCAGCCATTAGCACAGGGCCCCAAAGTTATCTGCCCACAGGTACCTCTGAGCCCCAGACCCCAACTCTGGTGACCTTGACTTTCTGCTTGTTTGTTTTGGGGTTACATCTGCAGTGGCCATATGGGATGCCGGGGATCGAACCTGAATTGGCAAATACCCTGCCTGCTGTACTATCGCTTCCAGCCCCTTTTGTCCCTTTTTTGGTTTTGCTTTTGGGTCACACCTGGTTCTGCACTCAGGAATTACCCCTGGTAGTGCTCAGGTGGCCATATGGGATGCCAGGGATTGAACCCAGGTTGTGTGCATATAAGGCAAGCGCCCTCCCCACTATACTGTCCCTCCAGTCCCAGGTTGTTTTCAGTTTTGTTTTGGTTTGATTTGTATTTTTACGGTGCTAGGGATGAAACCCAGGCTCTTACACTTGCCGGACAAATGCAGTGCCTCAGAGCATCATCCCAGGCCCTGCTCTCCCTGTTAAAAGCAGTAGAAGCTCGAACTCGGCCAGCCCCTTGGGCCCAGGGAGAGGAGAGTCCCACACATATCCCTGAGTTCACTGTGTCTCCAGGAGGGGTCACACCTTCACCTCCAGAGGACGCGGGCCTGCCCCTTCCGGGACCAGAGACCTCCACGGAGGACGATGCAGAGAAAGAGGAGGAGACCAGCCCCGAGAAGGATACCCCGCCAGCCCCGGAGGGTGGGCAGGAGGCTCAGCCCGCGGAAGGTAAGAAGCATCCCCAGACCCAGGCCTGCCCTGGGGGACCGGGCGGTGCTGAGGTCCCCGGCAGGGCCAGCCCTGCCACACTGAGTGCTGGTTCTCACCCTCTGCTCTCAGGGTTCTGCTCTGATGTGGGTGGCAGAAAACGTTGAGTGGGCCAAGACTGAAGATTCCTGGGGGTGGGGGGACAGGAATCTTTTTAGTCAGGAAACTGGGCTCAGGTCACAGGAGGGGGTGACCCAACTGGTTGCTGAGCATCCGCCTGTCTCCCTGTTTTTTTCCTGAGCCTGAAGTTCGGCTGTTGTGTCTTTCTCCACTCACCATCCCGCCCCCCAAGAAATGCAGCGGGAGACAAGTCCCAGAGTGTTAGCACAACGTGTAGGGCACTTGCCTTGTACCCGGCCAACCCTGGTTTGACCCCTGGTATCACCTAGATTTCTGAGTACAGAGCCTGGAGTAACCCCTGAGCATCGCCAGGTGTGGCCCCACAACAAAAACAGACAAGCACAACATAATGCAACAGGGGCCTGGGCCACCTGCATACCTTGGGGGTCACCAACGCACCTTTGGTTGGGTGTGAAGTTTGGGTTGGTGCACTGTCAGAAATGCTCACTGCTTCTGAAGCTTTCCCAGCACTCATACCCAGCTACCCCCCACCCCCCCACCTGGGGGCCCCACCAGCTGCAGTTTAAGACGCTAGGGTTAGGGGCTGGAGAGATAGCAGAGCGGGTAGGGCATTTGCCTTGCACGTGGCCGACCCGGGTTCGATTCCCAGCATCCCATATGGTCCCCTGAGCACCGCCAGGAGTAACTCCTGAGTGCAGAGCCAGGTGTAACTTCTGTGCATTGCTGGGTGTGACCCAAAAATCAAAAACAGAAAAAAACAAAACAAAAAAAAAGAAGCTCGGGTTAGAGGGAAGCGGGGGAGGGGGAGAGGTCATGGGGCTTCAGCTCATGCGCTGCATGTTTGAGCCCTGCACTCCCAGTGTTGCATGGGAGGGAACAGCGGAGACGCTGAGCGCCAGTCGGCGTGGCCCGGAAAACACACAAACCAGCAAAAAAGCAGCAACGGTTGGGGCTAGAGAGAGAGCACAGTGGGTAGGGTGTTTGCCTTGCACGCAGCCGACCTGGGTTCGATTCCCAGCATCCCATATGGTCCCCTGAGCACTGCCAGGAGTAATTCCTGAGTGCAGAGCCAGGAGTAACCCCTGTGCATCACCGGGTGTGACCCAAAAAGCAAAAAAAAAAAAAAAAAACAACGGGGAGCGGGGCCAGAGCGACAGTACCACCGGCAGGGTGTTTGTCTTGGATGTGTCCTACGCAGTTTCGATCCCCCAGCATCAGGGATGCACCACCAGGAATGATGATCCCTGATGCAGAATCAGGAGTCACCCCTGAGCATCACTGGGTGTGACTCCAAAACAAACAGACAAAAAGTAGCAGCGACTGGTGCAGAGCTGAGCCGGCCAGTGGAAGCGTGTAGGGGTGCTTTCTCCCCTCCCTCCCCTCACTCCGAGTGGGGTCCCTTGTCTTCCTGTTCTTCCTCCCAACCCTCCTGGTCCCTCTGCCAGCCCAGATACACCCTCCAAGGGGCTGGAGTGCTAGCCCAGGGGGGAGGGCGCTTGCCCTGTGCGAGGGTGCCCCGTAGTGATCCACAGCACCTCACATGGTGCCCTGAGCCTTCAGGAATGATCCCTGAGCACAGAGCCAGGAGTAAGCCCTGCTCCCCATTATAGCCAGGTATGGCCCCCCAAAAAACAAACGCTGCCTCCAGGACGGGGATGCTCAGAAGACTGGGATCCGTCTGTGTGCAGAGGGCGTCCTGGGTCTCTCCCTGGGAGTGCTCTGTGCCCTGGGACCATGCTGGGGCTAGTCCCTGAGCATGAATGAGCAGGATCGGCTTGAAAATCAAAAGAGGACGACTCCTCCATCCAGATCATTCTTTCAAACCACCCAAAGTCAGGGCCCAGAAATATTGGTGGATCCAGGGGTTGGGTAAAACACAGCAAGCCAGGTCTGGAGAAATAGCACAGTAGGTAGGGCATTTGCCTTACACGCAGCCGACCTGGGTTCGGTTCCCAGCATCCCATATGGTCCCTCGAGCACCGCCAGGAGTAATACCTGAGTGCAGAGCCAGGAGTAATCTCTGTGCAAAGCCGGTGTGGCCCAAAAAGTTAAAACAACAACAACAACAACAACAACAACAACAACAAAAAACAGCAAACCAACTGCCAGGGTCTCTCGACTCCTGGCGATGTTGGAGCCCCCCACTGAGGAGGCGTCCCTGTGACCCGAGGGTGGGGCCTCCTGGCGGGGCTCAGTGCCCTGGGCTCACTCCTGGCGGGGTTCCGGGAACTCTCTGCGGTGCTGGGGATTGAACCCCGGTCAACCACGAACAAACCAGGACAGGGCTGGACTACCAACCACTTGGGTCCTGGGGACAATATCTGCCTGGTCTCCCGGGCAGAAAGGCAGAAGAGGGGCTGGTCAGGGCTAAGGCATTTGCCTCGCACGCCGCTGACCCGGGTTCGATTCCCCAGCACCCCATCTGGCCCCGCCCCCGCCCCGGCACCCCCTTCCCCCTCCCCCCAGTGATGCCTTGACCTCCCCATAACAAACCAGGCGGCGGGAGGAGGCAACTCTCCGACCCCGCCTTCCTCTCCCGCCCCCCCCCCCCCCGCAGGGGGCGCGGCCCCGGGACCCGAGCCGCTCTTCAAGACCCACATGTGCCCCGAGTGCAAGCGCTGCTTTAAGAAGCGGACGCACCTGGCCGAGCACCTGCACCTGCACTTCCCGGACCCCAGCCTGCAGTGCCCCAACTGCCAGAAGTTCTTCACCAGCAAGAGCAAGCTGCGCACGCACCTGCTGCGCGAGCGGGGCCAGAAGGCGCACGGCTGCCCGCTGTGCCACTACCGCGCCGTGGAGCGCAACGCCCTGCACCGCCACATGGCCAGCATGCACGAGGGCAGCAGCAACCTCTACTCGGACACCTACGCCTGCCCCGTGTGCCGCGCCGAGTTCCGCCTCAGCCAGGCGCTCAAGGAGCACCTCAAGGGCCACGCGGCCGCCGCCGCCGCCGCGCCCCCGGCCCTGGGCTGCCTGCAGGCCGGTTGCCGCTACGCCGCGCCCGACCGCAAGGCCCTGGTGCGGCACCTGCGCGAGGCGCACGGCGCGCGGGCCGTGGAGTGCCGCCACCACGCCTGCCCGCTGCTCTTCGCCACGGCCGAGGCCATGGAGGCCCACCACCGCAGCCACTACGCCTTCCACTGCCCGCACTGCGACTTCGCCTGCTCCAACAAGCACCTGTTCCGCAAGCACAAGAAGCAGGGCCACGCGGGCAGCCAGGAGCTGCGCTGCCCCTTCTGCTCCTTCGCCACCTTCAACCCCGTGGCCTACCAGGACCACGTGGGCAAGATGCACGCGCACGAGAAGATCCACCAGTGCTCCGAGTGCAACTTTGCCACGGCGCACAAGAGGGTGCTCATCCGCCACATGCTGCTGCACACGGGTGAGTGAGGGGGCCGGGGAGGGGTGGGGGCAGGCCATCTCTGCCCATTAGTTCAGTCCGACCTCTGTGGGGGGAGCCTTGGGCCAGGGCGTCACTCAGCCGACAAAGGGCCTGCTTTTGTGACAGTTGACAGGGTTTAGGGCCAGGCCGATAATACAGCAGGTGTTCCAATCCCCGACACCACATAGGGTCCTTGAGTGCCACCAAGAATGGTCCCTGTGGGGCTGGAGTGATAGCACAGCAGGTAGCGTGTTTGCCTTGCACACGGCTGACCCGGGTTCAATTCCCATCATCCCATATGGTCCCCCCGAGCACCACCAGGAGTAATTCCTGAGTGCATGAGCCAGGAGTGACCTCTGTGCATTGCCGGGTGTGACCCAAAAAGCAAAAAAAAAGAATGGTCCCTGAGTGCAGAGCCAAGAAGAAGCCCTGAGCACTGCCAAGTGTGGTCTAAAAACCAAAAAAAAAAAAAAGAAAGAAAGAAAGAAATGACATTGTATGACTGAAACTCAATCATGAAGGCTTTATAACTATCTCATGATGATCCAATAAAGAGAAAAAAAAGGTGGGGGGCTGGAGCAATAGCACAGTGGGTAGGGTGTTTGCCTTGCACACGGCCAACCCGGGTCCAATTCCCAGCATCACATATGGTTCCCCGAGCACCGCCAGGAGAAATTCCTGAGTGCGTAAGCCATTAACCCCTGTGCTTCGCTGGGGTGACCCCCCAAAAAAAATTTTTTTAATAAAAAGAAAAAGAAATGACAAGTTTTAAATGTTCTGTTTCTATGAGGCTGGAGAGATAGTACAGCGGGTTGGGCACTTGCCTTGCATGCGGCCCAACAGATAAATACCCAAACACTGCCAGGAGTAATTCCTGAGCACAGAGCCAAGAGGAATCCCATAGGAATCGCCGGGTATAATCTCAAAACTAATGAATAAATGGCCTGTTTCCCGGGGTTGTAGAAACAGTGAGTCGGGGTGCTTGCCCTGCATTCAGCTGACCTGGGTTCGGTCCCCAGCACTTCATAGGGTCCCCCCAAGTCCCACCTGCAGTGATCCCTGAATGCAGAGCCAGGAGTAAGCCCCAAACACTGCCAAGTGTGGCCCAGAAACAAACAAAAAGAGAGTAATTTTTAAAAATTCTAAATGTTCGGGGCTGGAGTGATAGCACAGCAGGTAGGGTGTTTGCCTTGCATGCAGCCGACCTGGGTTCGGTTCCCAGCATCCCATATGGTCCCCTGAGCACTGCCAGGAGTAATTCTTGAGTGCAGAACCAGGAGTAACCCCTGTGCATTGCCGAGTGTGACCCAAAAAGCAAAAAAAAAAAAAAATTCTAAATGTTCTATTTTCGGGCTACACAGCTATTAATGGGCCCTGGAGTCCGAGTTTTGGGGCCAGCACCCAGCCTGAGGGTCAGGGCCTGGCCACAGCCACTCGCCCTTGAGCTCGCACCGGACACGCTGAGCACTGTGCCAGCCTCTCTTCCTCTTGCTAGCCGTGCAGGGCCAGTGTTTTCATTAGTGGCTCTCCCTTTGGGAACAGAGAGATGGATGGAAGTGGTAAATGACCTGCTAGTGCATACGTGGTCATAAACTGGGATTTTTTTCAGGGACCCATAGCTGGTGGTGCCGAGGGCTCACGCCTGGTGGTTCTAGAGGGATTGTACGCAGGGCCGGTATTCTGACCAGGGTCACGGCTGCAGCCACGAGCTAGACAAAACATCTTCCCCTCTGGAGTATCATGCCAGCCCCGGAAACTTGGAATTTGAACCACCACTTAAGAGCTCTTTGATTCCCCTAAGCCTGTTTCCTCCTCTGCAGATGGGCTCCCTTGGCGTGTGCCTCCTGAGGCTAGTTGTCAGGATGCCGAGAGAGGCGGCATGTTTAGCAGGTGCTCAGGGAGGTCTCCGGAGCCCTTACTCTGCAAATGTGGCATAACCACTGGCCTGTATTGATTTTTTTTTTCTCTCTCTTAAGTGCATCAGTTGGCCTTTTGCATTAGCAAGCTGGATCTGTTTGTTTGGGGGCCATACCCAAAGTTTATTCCTGGCTCTGTATATAAGGATTACTCCTGGCACACTCAAAGGGAACCCTTGGGGTCCCAGGACCAAACCCAGGTTGACCACATGCAAGGCAACTGCCCTGCCTGCTGTACTATCATCTCCCAGGCCCTCTAGTGTGGATTTTATTTTGTTTTTGTTTTGGGGCCACAGCTGGCAATGCTCAGGGCTTACTCCTGGCCCTGCACTCAGGAATTACTCTTGGCAGAGCTCAGAGGACCCTATGGGATGCTGGAGATGGAACCCCGGTCAGCCACGTGCAAGGCAAGCGCCCTCCCCACTGTACTGTTGCTCCAACCCTTACTACGAATTTTATCTACTTATTCTTGGCTTTTTGGGTCACATGCAGCGATGCTCAGGAGTTACTCCTGGCTCTGCACTCAGGAATTACTCCTGGTGGTGCTCGGGGAACCATATGGGATGCTGAGAATTGAACCCAGTCGAGTCGGCAGCGTGCAAGGCAAACACCCTACCCGCTGTGCTATCACTCCAGCCTCACAGCATGAGTTTTAAAGGGGCTGGGAAGGAGGCTCCAAAGGCTGGCTTGCAGACTTTGCGGCCAGGTGTCCTGGCTGCCCTGAGCCCTGCTGGATGCCACCCCCAAATAGGACGTGGCCCTTCTGGGTCATTTCGAAAGCTCAGACTTCACTTGCTGCCTTCACTGGGGAGAGTGGCCGGAGACAGATGTGACACCCCCAGCGTGGCCCTCTGCACCTCAGGGCGCTGGGCAGGTTGGAATGCGGATGGCAGGGGCGTCCCTCCATCACGCCCTTGACAGGCACCTTCTCCCCTCTCTCACCCCCTCCTCCGCACCGGAAGGCGAGAAACCTCACAAGTGTGAGCTGTGCGACTTCACGTGCCGGGACGTGAGCTACCTGCCCAAGCACATGCTGACGCACTCGGATACCAAGGACTACATGTGCACGGAGTGCGGCTACGTCACCAAGTGGAAGCACTACCTCAGCGTGCACATGCGCAAGCACGCCGGTGACCTCAGGTGCGCCCCCACAACCCCAGACTCCCTCCCAGTGGCTTGGCATCTGCGGGGCGGGCGCTGTTGGGGCGAGGGAAGGAGAGTGGCCAGGAGGGTAGGCCTGGAGAAAGTGTCACTTGAGTATCAGAGCCCCCAGGGCCGGTCACTCCCAGCTCCGGGCAGCATTTCCGGTCTGTGGGCACAGCTGGCCCGGAGCCTGGGAGAAGAGGATGTCCTCTGGATCATTCAGGCCCCCTATTTCCATGGGAAAAAGGAATGAAGGTTCCAGTCCCATTGCATGCCATGGCCAGGCCAGGTGCTTATAAGTGTCCGGTGGGTAACAGCCAGGACACCCGCCCTTTTGGGAGCAGCGTGGAGGCGGAATTAGAAGCAGGCCCTGGAGGCTGTCTCTGCCCTCACTGTCCCTGTGACGCTTGGGAGGGGCTGGGTTCTGTGTTCTCCTCCTTTTCCCTGTGCGTGGAGATGCCTTATACAGAGATGGAATGATGAAAGCAGGTGATGCAGCTACCCAGCCGCATGGAGAGCCTGGCCCTGGGGCTTAGCAAAACCATTAAAGTTGTGGGCTGAAAATTTAATAGAGTGGGTAGGACACTTGCTTGGCTTGGCATGCACCCGACCCCCTGGATTTGGTTATTGGCATCCCATATGGTCCCCCCCCCCCAAGCACTGCTGGGAGTAATTCCTAACTTCAGAACCAGAAGTGACCCCCTAAGCATCTCTAGGTGTGACCCCAAAAATCTGAAAAAATTAAAATAATTAGAGTTATGGGGCAAAAGAGATAGATCAGTGGACAGGGTATTTTCCTTGCATGCAGCTGACGTGGGTTACATCCCTTGGCAGCCATTATGTTCCCTAACCCCTGCCAGGAGTAAGCCCGGAGCATCACCAGGCATGACCCCCCATAAATCTGAAAAATTAAAAAGGAAAACAAAAAATTAGAGGGGCTGAAGCGATAGGACAGTAGGTAGGGCATTTGCCTTGCATGTGGCCAACCAGGGTTTGATTCCTGGCATCCCATATAGTCCCCCGAGCACCGCCAGGAGTAATTCCTGAGTGCAGAGCCAGGAGTAACCCCTGTGCATCGCCAGGTGTGACCCAAAAAGCAAAAAAAAAAAAAATTAGAGTTGTGGATAGGTCAGCAGATAGGGTGCTTGCCTTGCATGCAGCTCACCTGGGTTCCATCCCCATCAGCTGTTATGTTCCCTCGCCTCTGCCAGGAACAAGCCTTGAGCATCGCCAGATTTGGTCTAAAAAACAAACAAACTAAACCCACTAGAGTTGTGGGGTTAGAGAGATACTACAGCAGATTAAGCCTTGTACATGGCCAACTTGGGTTCCTGCCTCTACATTCAGAATTAACTCTTGGCAGAGCCCGGGGGGCCATATGGGATGCCCAGGATGGAACCTGGGTCAGCCAAGTGCAAGGCACGCACTGTACTATGGCACTACATATGGTTCCCGGGAGGACAGCCAGGACTAATCCCTGAGCCCCAGGCTCCCCACCCACCCACCCCCGCCCCCGCCACCACCACCCCAAAACTGAACCAGACGACTAGAATTCCGATCTCGTGCCTCCACTTCTCCCCCATCAGGTACCAGTGCAACCAGTGCCCCTACCGCTGCCACCGGGCCGATCAGCTGAGCAGCCACAAGCTGCGGCACCAGGGCAAGTCGCTGATGTGCGAGGTGTGCGCCTTCGCGTGCAAGCGCAAGTACGAGCTGCAGAAGCACATGGCTTCCCAGCACCACCCGGGCGCGCCCGCGCCGCTCTACCCGTGCCGCTACTGCAGCTACCAGAGCCGGCACAAGCAGGCGCTGCTGAGCCACGAGAACTGCAAGCACACGCGGCTGCGCGAGTTCCGCTGCGCGCTCTGCGACTACCGCAGCTTCAGCAGCACCACGCTCTTCCTGCACAAGCGCAAGGCGCACGGCTACGTGCCAGGCGACCAGGTCTGGCAGCTCCGCTGTGCCGGCCCGGAGGCAGAGAACGCCGCCAGACCTTGCCCCAGCCCGCCCCAGGACTCGGAGCCCTCCCACCCACCGGGCACCCCGCCTGAGGGGCCCGCTGGCGACCCGGGGACCCAGGAAACCCCCAGCCTGGAGCCCGCCCTGCCGGAGATCGGCGAGGACAGTGCGGGCCAGAGCAAGGAGCCCGAGGCCCAGGGCAGCCCCTGCCCGGCGGCTGAGGTCGAGGAGGGGGGCTGCACGCTCCACCTGGAGGCGCTGGACGTGGAGCTGGAAGCCGTGGCCGAGCCCCAGTTGGAGGCACTTGCAGAAACGGACCCCATGGAGCTGGGGCCGCTGGAAGGGCCTGGGGGCCCCTCGGAAAGCGCCACTCCGCCTCCGCCACCTCCACCGCTACCCCCGGACCTGGGGCCGGAGCAGGCACCCCCGGGGACCCAGCCAGCCCCCGATAGTCCCAAGCACGCACCTGCCTCGGAGGAGCCCCCTAACCCTTGGGTGGGAGCCTTGGAGGCGGCGCCCCCGGCCGAGACGTGTTCCCTAGCCCAGCCCCCTGAGGCGGAGTCCCTGCTCCGGGCACTGCGGCGGCGGGACAAGGAGCAGGCCGAGGCGCTGGTGCTGGAGGGTCGCGTGCAGATGGTGGTGGTCCAGGACGAGGCCCCGGCCTTCCGCTGCCCGCACTGTCCCTTCGTGGCCCGCCGGGAGAAAGCCCTGAGCCTGCACGCCCGGGCCGCGTGCCCGGGCCGCCGCGCGCCCCTCCTGTGCCCGGAGTGTGGCGCCAGCTTCAAGCAGCAGCGCGGCCTCAGCACCCACCTGCTGAAGAAGTGCCCCGTGGGGCTGGGCAAGAGCAAGGGGTCGGCTCCGGACGCCGCGGGCGGGGGGACTCCCCCTCCCACACCCGTACCCACGGAAGGCGAGCCAGGTGCCCACCGAGATCCCCCCTCGGCCCTTCCGGAACCCGAGGAACCGGCGGCGCCTCTCGCCCCGCCCCCGGACCCTGCAGCGGGGCCCGCCTCCTCGCCCGCGGAGACCCCCGAGAAGTTCCACTTCGAGCAGGGCAAGTTTCGCTGCGCCGCCTGCCCCTTCCTCTGCTCCCGGCTCTCCTCCATCACCTCGCACGTGGCCGAGGGCTGCCGCGGGGTGGGGCGCGCCAAGCGGGGGGCCTCCCACCCGCCGCCGGCCGGCTCCCCCAGGGACCCCGAGGGCCAGTCCGCAGACGGGCCGCCCAAGCCGAAGGGGGCGCGTTTCTCCTGCCCCACCTGCCCCTTCAGCTGCCAACAGGAGCGGGCCCTGAGGACGCACCAGGCGCGGGGCTGTCCCCTGCAGGTGGCGGCGGCGGCAGCGGGCGAGCCTCTCCGCTGCGACCTGTGCCCCTTCACCGCACCCGGGGCCGCCGCCCTGCGGCTCCACCAGCGGCGGAGGCACCCAGCGGCCGCCGCCGCGCCCCCGGCCCGCGGCCCCCGCCCCCCGCTGCAGTGCCCCGACTGCGGCTTCACCTGCAAGCAGAGCCGCTGCCTGCAGCAGCACCGGCGCCTCAAGCACGAGGGTGTGAAGCCGCACCAGTGCCCCTTCTGCGACTTCTCCACCACGCGCCGCTACCGCCTGGAGGCGCACCAGTCGCGGCACACGGGCGTGGGCCGCATCCCCTGCAGCTCCTGCCCGCAGACCTTCGGCACCAACTCCAAGCTGCGCCTGCACCGCCTGCGCGTGCACGACAAGACCCCGACCCACTTCTGCCCGCTGTGCGACTACAGCGGCTACCTGCGCCACGACATCACGCGCCACGTCAACAGCTGCCACCGCGGCACGCCGGCCTTCGCCTGCCCCCAGTGCGAGGCGCAGTTCAGCTCGGAGACGGCGCTCAAGCAGCACGCACTGCGCCGGCACCCCGAGCCCCCCGCGGACGCCGCCGCCGACGCCACCGATGCCAACGCCAACAACGCTGCCACCGCCGGGGCGCACGAGGGCCCGCTGCACTGCGCGCGCTGCGGGGTGCAGTGCCCCAGCCCCGCCAGCCTGCGGGGCCACACCCGCAAGCAGCACCTGCGGCGCCTCGAGTGCGCCGCCTGTCAGGCAGCCTTCCCCAGCCGGCCCGCGCTGGAGGCGCACCGACGGCAGCAGCACTTCAGCCACCGCTGCGGCATCTGCGACTTCGCGGCCCGCGAGCGTGGGGGCCTGGTAAAGCATTACCTGGAGCGGCACGAGGGGGACGACGACGGGAACGGGGAGCCGCCGTCCCGGCGCTGCCCCTTCTGTGACTTCGCCTGCCGCCACCAGCTGGTGCTCGACCACCACGTGAAGGGCCACGGCGGCACCCGGCTCTATAAGTGCACCGACTGTGCCTACAGCACCAAGAACCGCCAGAAGATCACCTGGCACAGCCGCATCCACACCGGCGAGAAGCCCTACCGCTGCCACCTCTGCCCCTACGCCTGTGCCGACCCCTCGCGCCTCAAGGTAACCAGCCACGGGGCGGAGGGTCCCCAGTGCCCCGGGGCTGGGCACCAGGGAACACCCGGAGTCCAGTTCAGTGTGTGATGGGGGAGGGGAGAACACATTCAAAAGTTGTGGCCTTGCAGGGCACACAGCGCTGCTCGGGGCTGACTCCTAACGCTGCCTGGGGAACCCTAAGGGATGCTGAAAACCCAACCCAGGTGGGTCAGGTACAAGGCATGTGCCTGATTACACAAACATGGTTTTATATTTATAGGGACAGACTTTTTGTTTGGGGGCCATACCTGGCGCCGCTTGGGGCTTACTCCTGGCTCTGCAGTCAGGGATGACTCCTGGTGGGGCTCAGGGCACCATATAGGATGCCAGGGCTGGAACCCAGGTCAGCTGTGTGCAAGGCAAGCACCTCTCTCTTTCGCTCTCTCTCACTCTCTCTCTGTGTGCCTGTGTGTGTGTGTGTGTGTGTGTGTGTGTGTGTGTAGAAATTAATAGGAATTAAGTGCTTACCTTGCACGTGGCTGACCTCAGTTTGCTCCCCCAAACACAGAGCCAGGAATATCCCGTGAGAACCAGTGGGTATCCTCTCCCTCCCCCCCGCAAAAAAAAACAACACCCAGAAATAATGTTTCATTTCAGTCAGTGATTTGTGTGACTGGTTTATATATACCCAGGGCAGCCTCAGAATTTCTCAGGTGGCACGGGGTCATGGCTGGGAGGGTTGAGGCAGCCCTAGATATGGATGTCATCCGTAACTGTGTGTGCCTCCAACCTTCCCAGCTAGTGGAGTCACTTTGGCTGTTTCCTGTTCCATGGATGACAGAGCCGTGCACTGGGGCTTGGGCAAAGTGGCAAGACCTGAGCTGCTCAGGGGGGCTGGGGGTGGCCATGGGGGCCAGCTTGGGACCCGTGTCAGTCGCAGGAGCAGGGATTACACCGGGCAGAGGGAGCCGGCCCCTCCAGGAGCTGCCCTGCGGCCCCTTCCCCCACCCGTGCACACCCCTTTTCCCTCTTCCAGTACCACATGAGAATCCACAAGGAAGAGCGGAAGTATCTGTGTCCGGACTGCGGGTACAAGTGCAAGTGGGTCAACCAGCTTAAGTACCACATGACCAAGCACACGGGTGAGTTGCTGGAAACCCCACCCCCAACCCCCCTCACTACTGCTGCTTTGGGAAGGACCTGACCTTGCTCAGATAGTTGCAGGGTAAGACCAGGAGTGCCCACCAGGGCCAGATTAGCTTTCTGGAACCCGAAACACCCATCAGCCACAGGGGGAGGTGGACGAGGATTCCCACAGCAGTCACGTGGGAAACCTTCCTCTCTGTGGGTGAGGCCAAAGGCGGGCCCAACTCCCTACAGGTGCCACTGAAGCAGGGCAGCCTGGACACGCCCCCCCCCCCACACACACACGCCATTTCTCATTCAGGCTGGAGTGCTTGGAACTAGTGCCTGTAGCCCCCCAGGAAGAGGAAAAAGCCCAACCATGGCCCCCCCATTCCAGAACCTTACCGCTCTTCCCCTCCCCCCACCCGCCCCTCTTAAAGCATTTTTTTTTCTCACACTAAATGAGTGGAATCGAGGCAGATCCTCATGCCCCAAGAGCACCCCTTGACCAGGTCAGGGTGGAAATCTCCCTCGTGGAAACCCTGTTTTCTGGGTCCTTCAAGGGTCCCTAGGTGGGTTGTCAACTGGCCACTGAACCCCAAAAACGTGCAGCGGGTAAAGCGTTTGCCTTGCATGCAGCCAGCCCGTGTTCTATCCCCGGCAATCCCATATGATCCCCCGGGGCACCGCCAGGAGTGATTCCTGAATGCAGAGCCAGGAGTCACCCCTGAGCCATACTGGGTGCGCACCCCACTCCAAAAAAAAAAAAGTCAGCCACAGCGGGAACCGTCAGCGCCTGCGGCTTGGTGTCCACCGCGTCCCGCACTCACCGCCCTGCCCTCCCCCCCCCGCCCACGCTGGCTCTGCCCCTCAGGACTGAAGCCGTACCGGTGTCCCGAGTGCGAGTACTGCACCAACCGCGCCGACGCGCTGCGCGTGCACCAGGAGACGCGGCACCGGGACGCGCGCGCCTTCATGTGCGAGCAGTGCGGCAAGGCCTTCAAGACGCGCTTCCTGCTGCGCACACACCTGCGCAAGCACAGCGAGGCGCGGCCCTACGTGTGCAACGTGTGCCGCCGCGCCTTCCGCTGGGCCGCCGGCCTGCGCCACCACGCCCTCACCCACACCGACCGCCACCCCTTCTTCTGCCGCCTCTGCAGCTACAAGGCCAAGCAGAAGTTCCAGGTGGTCAAGCATGTGCGCCGCCACCACCCCGACCAGGCCGACCCGAGCCAGGGCGTGGGGAAGGACCCCAGCACCCCTACGGTGCACCTCCACGACGTGCAGCTGGAGGAACCCGGCCCTCGCGCCCCGGACGCTCCGCCGACCGGCCCCGAGGGTTGACTGTTTGCAACCCTCCCTGCTCCAATTGCCGCGCTCCCCACCCAGGAGGAGGAGGAGGAGGAGGATGGGTGCCTGACCTCGCCTGGGCACAACGTCCGATCCCGAGCAAGGACTGATTTTGGAAGGGGTCAGGGTGGCCAGCGTCCGCCAGCACTCGGGCCACGGAACTTGGGGGCCGATGGCCCCGGGAATGAGCACCACCGACCGCCTGGGCGCCTGGGCTACTGGCAGAGGCTGCACGCTTTTTGCATCCCGCGCTGTCACCCGCACCCAGGTCTCCTGCTGGAGCTGGGCCTTCTCCATCCCGTTGGCTGTCCTTCCCGCCTCCCAGCTGCCGTGTCTCACGGTTGCATGTGCTGCTGTGCGGTGCTCCATAAAGCGTATCCAACAGTGGATGGCCAGAGACTCCATCACTGGCAGGCCGCCCTGCCCCCTCGGGGAGGTGAGGGTGGGATGGGAACACACACACACACCCACACACACACAGCCTTCCAGGTCTGTGTCCCCGCCTCCCCGTCAGATGAAACTCTGCTCTCTAATCCTGTGAGCACCTCGAGGTGACTCCGATAATTTATGGAATAAATCATCCACACTTTCTGTCTGCCAAGGGGGCAGCAGACAAAAATCAGAGCTTAGGGCGGTGGAAGGCACAAGGGACTGGAGACAAGCATCACTCCCCACCCCCATCCCCTGCCCCCAAATCCCAGTTCAAGCAAACGCCTCAGGGTTTGGGGATCCCCCCCCCAATCCTCAGTCCCCTTGAGCCCTGGCCCTTCAGAGCCAGGCTTCCTTACTTTCTACTGAGCACACGTAGAGGGCCCCCGAGAGCCCGTGTTTTGTTTTCAGGGATCACTCCCAGCTCTGCACTCAGGAATTACTCCCCACAGTGCTCAGGGGAGCATAGGGGATGCCAGAGATCCAAACTCAGGTGGGGCAGGTTAAAGGCAAGTGCCTTCCCCCACCGTGCTATCTCGCCACCCCCAAGCACCCGTGTTTTTCACCTCTGCCCCCTCCTCTGCACAGCCGCTATACCCCTGCTCCGTGATCAATAACGACAGGCCAGACTCAGACCCAACTAGCAAGGGAACTTCTGTTTATATCCCCGGGGGGCAAAGAGGGGAGAGGGGGCAGCTGACAGGGTCTTCCTTGCTCTGAGGGCTATGTGGTGTGGTCTCTTAGGGGTACGGGGTGTCCACTTTCCCAGTCTTGGCCTGGGGAGCCTGGAGACGGGGCTTTGAGGAAAGTAAGAAAGATGCTCTTGGGGGGTCTCCAGCCCTGGCCCGCTCTGGATTCCCCGCTGCCATCTCTCTTGGAGTCAGGAACGGGGGAGCACTTTAGTCCTTGGCCCCCGGGGGTGATGTGAAGTCTTACAGCCCGAGGAAGGAGGGGTGGTGGCAGTGAGCTCCCCAAGGCTTGAGCGAGGCCCAGCTCCACTGCTGGCCTGTCGGGAGAGGGAGATCACGGTGGGCTTCGGTCGGAACCACCATGAGGCTTTGCCCAGCGCGGTTCTCCGGAGCATCAGCCTGGCAGCTCTCAGCAGCTGGGCATCCCCTTCCCTCCAGTCCCTGCACCTCAGGACTCAGCCTCTTCTTCCTCCTTGGTCCTGATGTGCACGAAGATGGAAGCCGGGTGGAGGCTGAGGCCGTCCTTGGAGAGCAGGTGGATGTGGCGGTAGCCTGTGGGGTGGGATGGCGGCGTGGGTGGGGGACCCCGTGGGGGGGATGGTGGTGTGGGTGCGGGCCCCCGTGGGATGAGATGGCGGCATGAGTGGGCCCCCCCCCGGGGCAGGATGGGTACCCCTGTGGGGGCAGGATGGCAGCATGTGGGAACCAGGACCACCGTTCACCTTGCTGCATGCAGCTCCAGGGCACCGTGAACTGGCCCACGAACTCGTGCCGGATGGTCCAGTTGTAATCCTTCACCACAAAACGCAGGAGGGCCAGTTCTGGCACCAGGACCCGGAAGGTTAATGTCTCTCCCCAGTATGGGTTAAAACCTGAGGCAGTCGGGGGCGGGGATGGGGGAGAGATAGACAGGGAGGGGTTAAGGCCCTTGCGTCACGAGCAGTCAACCCACTTGGGTCCCCACCGCCCACTGTCTCCAGCGGTGCTCAGGGGTCGCTTTTTGCGTGGCTCAGGGAAACTGGGCCTTGGCTGAGCTCTCACAGGGACCCCTGACTCTGGTTTCCCATGCGCCACCCCCCGCCCCCGCCCCGGCTCGGCCCAGCCTCTCACCGTTGTTCTCCACGTAGTTGGTCTCCTGGTAGGTAGTGTCCGGGCGAACTCCGAAGACCTCCACTCTCACCAGCGGGTCCAGGATGGACTGCTCTCGGGACTTGGCCCCTTTCGGGAGCTGCTGACCACTAATCACCTGCAACCGGGGCCACAGACCTCACTCAGGACCTTGGGCCTGCTCAGCCAGCCCCCTGCAGTGCTCACCCCCAGGAGGGTAGGAAGAGGCTCATGGCCCCAGCACTCGAGTTAACGCGGTCGGCCAGGCTAATTCTCCGTGGAAACAATCATCTCCCCGTAATCATCTGACATCTCTGGGTCATGGAATGGGTCACAGAGGGAGCTCAGGGAGGCAGGCTCAAGGACCTAAGTTCAAGCCCTGACACCACACATGGTTTTAAATGGAACAAAATTAGAAATTTGGAGGAGTGTGGGGGGGAGGGAGGAGGGGCGGAGCACAGCACTAGGCAGTGCTCCGGCTCTACTCTGGGGACTCTGGGGATATCGTGCCAGCAAAGCATGCACACAGCCCGTTGAGCTTTTCCCCCCTCCCAAATAATTACGTTAATGACAAGCAGCACCTTCTTTAGAAGGTGCTGGAAGTGCTTTCTAGTCACTACCCACAATCCCGAGAGGGATGGAGTATTATTATGCCCATTTTGCAGATCGGAAGCCTGAGGTTAAAGCTCCCGTCCACCATGCACAGTCTGTGGTATCCTGCTGCTCACCGAGGTTAGGAAACACTTTCCACATCCCCCTCCCCCGGCACCTCAAGACCTCCCTGTCAGGTCTGCTGACTCTCGGGCCTCTCTCCTCTCAATGTTCCCAGAGTCTTACCCCCAGCTTCTCTTTTCCCCCCATACCCACCCCCAGGATTCTGGATATTTTTGTTTGTTTTCAGGCCAAACCCAGCGGTGGTCAGGGGTTACTCTTTTGTTTGTCTGCACACTCAGGAATTACTCCTGGAAGTGCTTGAGGGACCATACGGGATGTCAGGGATGGAACCCAGGTCAACTGTATGCAAGGGAAACACCCTACCAGCTCCCAACCCCTTGGCACCTGGACTACAAGTTTCTGAGCTTTGAAAGGGCTGATGGGCATCTCCGGGTGGAAGCTGCTCTGAATGTCACGCAGGAAGTCTGGCTTCAGCACATAGCCACAGCCGCCGTTCTGGCGGAAGAGGCCGTCATAGATGTCCATCTCCAGCCCTGCCGTCTGCATATTCAGAGCCACTGAGAAAAGGGGGTGATGGTGGTGGTGTGGATTCACCTGAGGGGGCCAGCCAGTCCCTCCTGCAGGGAGCCCCCAAGATGCTGGGTGCAGCCTCAGGGTTAGTCTCTCTGTCTCCTCGGGGCATCCCAGGTCTCTCCCCACCCCCCTGCACCCTCTCACCCAGCTGGCAGCCGGCGACCCACAGCTCCTGGGGGTTGTAGTTGGACGAATCCGTCCTCAGACCACTAGGATAAATACGGGTTAGCTGCCAGGCATTGTGCTGCACGAACTCATTGCCTAGGAGTGGGCAAAAGGCAGGGATGGAAAAGGACTGTCCCCTCCCCACTCCCCCGGGCCTCCCGACTTCATTCGTCTTCCCAGCATCTCAGCCTGGCTTAAAAACACGGTTCACTGGGGAGACTGATGCTACGAAATGTACACTGGTGGAGAGATAGGTGTTGAAATACTGTATGACTGAAACCCAGTCATGAACCATGAACAGCTTTGTAAAGGGTCTATCTCACAGTGATGCAATTAAAAAGTTACCCAAAAAAACCAAAAAACAAAAAAAAAAAACACGGTTCACAGCTCCTTGCCCAACCTTTTCCCTGCCTAGAACCAGGAGACCCTGGAGGTGTCAACTCCTCCTTTTTCCTAGAGGGCTCTGACCTGCCACTGTAGCCCCGCCCACCGTCCCCGCCCCCCAATCCCCACCCGGCGCTTCAGGCCCCGCCCCATACGGCGTGCCCCGGCCCCATCTGGTGTGGCCAAGCCCTCAAGGCCCCGCCCCCGCCGGTGTGACCCCGCCCACCAGGCCCCGCCCCTCCTTCCAGGTCCTGACCCGCCTCCCTAATAAGGCTCTTGGCCTTGCTTTCCGAGAAGGATGACATCTCATAGATGCAGTAGTACTCGCGGGAGTGAGCGAAGCTGTAGAACGGCACGGGCTTCAGGTACATGACCACGGAGGAGGGGGTCGCGCACCAGAGGGATTTGACTTTCTGGAAGGGGAGAAAGTGGAGACACAGGCGGGAAGGCTCAGCGTTGCCATTAAGGAAGAAGGGTCGAGAGCGGAACTCATCCATCTAAGCCTCTGCCCCCTGCATTCTCCCTCCTGCCTCACCTTCTGTAGAAAGAGTAAAGGCCTGGGCTTTGGAATGGAAGACTGGGTAGTAATGTGACAACAGATGGATGAACAAAACAGCAGGAACCGCCTAACCTGGGGAGAATAAAGGCAGCCTGCATGTACAGACGGGGCCCCATCACTTTCTGGGAGACAGGAGGGGTGTGGTATTGATGTGGGGGGGCCAGGGATTGAACCCAGGGTACATGCAAGACATGCGTGGGTAAGTCTTTACTTATCATTGGTAAAGGGGCATAGAAAAGGTAACCCCTACCTTTCCTCCTTTAGAACACATGAGCGCTTGGGGGATCTACTATACAGGAACCCCGACAGACATGTCAAGATACAAAGGAGTCCTAGAAATCACACTGCGAAGCCGTCAGGGGCCCAGGGGCCCACTTTACATTGGTCTGCGACTTCCCCCATTTCCTTCCTGGACAGGAAAGCAGGTTAGACACCCACAGTGGCCCAGAACAAGGGAGCCAGGAGTCAGCTGACCCCAGCACATGCACCAGAACAAGACATGGACTTGAGGGCAGGACCCTCCCAGGCCCACCCAAGGCAGCTGTGCCCACGGGAGATGATCCAGCAGCCTGGCCCCTTCCTTGAAGATCTCTGGCAATGTCTCACTCTTTATCAGACTTGGGGAGAGCTTTGTCTAAGCTACTTTGGTTCCCCTCCCTTTTTTTTTTTTGGTGGGGGAAGGGCACACTGGCAGTGCTCATGGCTGACTCCTGGGTCTAAGCTCAGGGTCACTCCTGGTGGGCTCAGGGAGCCACATGTGATGCCAGGGATGGAACCCTGTTCTCTGTATGCAAAGCCAGCACCCTATACCCTACCCATTGCACTATCTCTCTGGCCCTTCTAAGTCCACTTGGGCTGGGATCATAGAAGTCACCCCAGTAACCCAGGCTTGCCAAGGATCCTAATATGGGGCACACACACACCCCAACAGGGTTCAAACTGTCCTTCAAGGGAACTGAGAAGCGGAGCAAAGATGTCCAATGAGATGTCCAATGAGTTCCCCAGGGGACCCAGAAGTCAGAGAGACCCAAATAGGCACATCAGAGAGGACAGTATTTATCCTGAGTGCCCACAGATGTATCATCGGAAAAAACAGATTTTGAGAGCTCTGAAGATCAAGGAGTCACTGCAGCGTTTGGGGGGCGTGTCCCAATGCCTTGTTTTGTTTCGGGGCCACAGCCAGCAATGTTCCGGGCTTAATCCTGACTCTGTGCTCAGAGACTATTCCTGGCAGGGCTCAGGGGGCCCTTTGCGGTGTGGGGGTCGAACACAGTTGGCTGTGTGCAGTGCAAGCACCTTCCCCACTTTACAATCTCTCCAGCCCTGGAACCTGGGCCTTGGCTCTGCCTGCCTTTAGCCTCTCATTCCTGAGCCCCCTGAGGTCATGGTCCAGAGCAGAAAGCCCCTCTCCCCACCTACCTTATTCTCTTTATCCTGGCTCTCAGGCTCATTCTGGGCCCGTATCTGCAGCTCATGTTCCTGCACCACCTGAGGGTCGAGCTCCTTTTCTTCCTCTTCTTCCTCTTCCTCTTGCTCTTCTTTCACCCTTAACTTCTTCCCCTTCACCAGAATCTTCCTCCGAAGCGCCTAGGGGCCAGAAATAGACTCGTCTCCAGGCTGCAATATTACAGAGAGTGGCCAGGCTAAGTGATGGGTCCTAAGGCACTGGGCAGGGGCTGGAGTGATAGCACAGCGGGTAGGGCATTTGCCTTGCACGCGGCCCGACCCCGGTTCGATTCCCAGCATCCCATATGGTCCCCCGAGCATGGCCAGGAGTAATTCCTGAGTGTATGAATTGGGAGTAACCTCTGTGTATCGCTGGGTGTGACCCAAAGAGCAAAAAAACAAAACAAAACAAAACAAAAAACCAAAATAATAAACTAAGGCACTGGGCAGTGCAGGAAGTGAGGGAGCCATGGGAAATTCTGTCCAATACATGCAGGTAGGGTTCCCTAATGGTTTGGGGGCATTAGATGGTGCTCTTAAATCATGGTGCTTCTTGGGTATCAAACCATGACTTCCTTCTTGCAAAACATGCATTCTGGTCCTTTAAGCTATCTCCCCGGACCTAGCCTTGATTCCCTATTACAGACAAGTGGTACTAAATGGAAAGTATCATGCTAAGAGAAATGAGTCAGAAAGAGAGGGACAGACATAGAAAGATTGCATTCATCTGGGGAACATAAAGTAACAAAATAGGAGACTAACACCCAAGAATAGCTGAGATAAGTACCAGGAGGTTCATTCCATGGCTTGGAGGCCAGCCGCACATGCTAGGGGGAAAGGCAACTCAGATAGAGAAGGGAGCACTAAATAAAGGTGTTGGGAAGATCCTCCCAGGATGGGAGATGCATGCTGAAAGTAGACTATAGACCGAACATGATTGTCACTCAATGCAAACTACAGCACCCAAAAGGAGAAAGAGAACAAAAGGGAATGCCCTGCCACAGAGGCAGGGTGGGATGGGGGTTGGGGGTGGGAAGGATACTGGGATCAGTGGTGGTGGAGGATGGGCACTGGTGGAGGGATGGGTACTTGATCATTGTATAACTGAAACCCAAGCACAAAAATTTGTAAGTCTACAACTGTACCTCATGGTGTTTCACTAATAAAAATTTTAAAAAAAAAACAACTTTCATTGTGGGGACCTGGAGTGATAGTACCAGCAATGGGGCGCTTGCCTTGCACACCTAGGGTTCGATCCCCACCATTCCACATGGTCCCCGAACCTACCAGGAGTGATCCCTCAGCACAGAGTCAGCCCTGAGCACTGCCGGGGATGACCCAAGCTCACCCCCACGGCCACTAATACAGAGCAAGCAGTGGGCAAATGGATCAGGGGAACAGACAGGCACAAATGATGAGAAGCACTGGGCTTTGGCCAGAAAGAGGAACTGAGCAGCCACGAGGATGGGGCCCGGGGGCCCCACCTCAGGCGAGGGCAGCTGGGCCGGCAGCAGGTCGTCGTCGGTGGTACTCAGCAGCAGCTCCCCAAGGATCTCCATCAGATGGTTCGCCAGGACCACCTGCTGCTCCCAGCCACAGTGGTTCTCCAGCGACAGGATGACGGGATACTCTGACGTCTGGGGGACAGACCACAGAGTTCGACACCACGAGCGCCCTTGCCCCCCAGCTCCCACCAAGGGACCCTCTCACACACACACTAATCCCTCCAGGGGTTCTGGCTCAATCCCCATCTACCCATCTAAAAGCCACTCCTGGGAGGGACTGGAGAGATAGCACAGCGGGTAGGGCATTTGCCTTGCATTCAGCCAACCCAGGTTCGATTCCCAGCATCCCATATGGTCTCCTTAGCACTGCCAGGAGTAACTCCTGAGTGCAGAGCCAGGAGTAACCCCTGTGCATCGCCAGGTGTGACCCAAAAAGCAAAAATAAATAAATAAATAAATAAAAAATAAAAATAAATAAAATAAAGGCCACTTCTGGGAGACCAGAGCAATAGTACAGTGGGGGACGGGGCTTGCCTTGCCTGCAGTTGACCCAGGTTTAATCCCCGGTATCACATATGGTTCCCCCAAGCCCTGCCAGAAGTGATCTCTGAGTACAGAGCCAGGATTCAGCTCTGAGCACCACTGATGTGGTCCAAAAACAAAACAAAACAAAAGATTTAAATTTCTAAAACGGGTCCAGAGCAATAGTACAGTGGGTAAGGCGCTTGCCTTGCATGCTTCTGACCAGGGGTAGAGATCCTTGGCATCCCAGATGGTCTTCCAAGCCTGCCAGGAATGATTACTGACTGCAAAGCCAGGAGTAACCCTTGAGCACCACCAGGTGTGGCCCAAAACACAAAACAAAAAAAAAAAAGTAGTAAGACGTTCTTGGGACATCAGAGATGGCACAGAGGGGAAGATGCTGGCCTTAAAAGCAGCCAGGGGGCTGGAGCAATAGCACAGTGGGTAGGGCGTTTGCCTTGCATGTGGCCGACCCAGGTTCGATTCCCAGCATCCCATATATTCCCCTGAATACACGCCGGGGTAATTCCTGAGTGCAGAGCCAGGAGTGATCCCTGTGCATCGCTGGGTGTGACCCAAAAAGAAACAAACAAAAAAGGCAGCCAAGGGGCTGGTGTGATAGTGCAGCAGGTAGGGCATTTGCCTTGCACATGGCTGACACGGATTCAATTCCCAGCATCCCATATGGTCCCCTGAGCAGAGGCAGGAGTAACTCCTGTGCATCTCCGGGTGTGACCCAAAAAGGAAAAAACAAAAGCAGCCAACCCTGGTTGAATCCCAGTACTGCATATGGTCCCCCAACCACTGCCAGGTGGGGGCCCCAGAAAAACAAAGTATAAAAGCTCAGGCTTGTGTTAGGCTTACCCTGTCGCTCTGGTAGTCATGTGACATTGGTCCCTGCCATCCCCCCAGCCCTGAGTGGCCACCTTCTCTGTTTCCCCGTCCACCCTCTCCCAGGGGATGACAGAAGGAAGTTGTCGGAAGTGACAGTCCCTAACCTTGAGCAAGGACTTTGACTATGAGTCGCTAGGAATGCGACCCACCTGGCCCCCACTCAGACCCTGAGAGTCTGCGCCCCTCCCCCGCCACCCTCCCCTCCCCCCGCGACCCTCAGACCCACCCGGATGCTGATCCTGGAGCCTACCTGGAAGGCATACTGGGCCACAGAGGCCAAGACGTCTTTGAAGAGGATGCGGGAGGTGAGCGTGTGCCCGTGGTAAACGATGGGCTCCTTGTTGGGTCCGTCCCATACGTCCACCTCCACACAGCGGCACCCCCGTTTCAAGGCCCTGCAAACACCCCCAGGGAGAGGTGGGGGTCAGGGGGTGAGGCGGCGCTGAGGGCGCCCTCTCCTGGCCGCGCAGAAACCCAGCACCCTCTTCTTCAGCACCCCCTCCTCCACACTGACATCTCAGCAGGCCCCTTAGGGAAGCCCTCCCTGGACAGAGGCTCTGATGCAAGGCGCCTCTATAGCCCCGACGTCCACTCTGAGTGTGTGGTCTGATCCCTGGCCTCACAGTCACCATAATGGCAGCTACTAACACCTACGGACACTAGGATTCTCTCATCCCCACTCAGAGCCCAACCCAGGATGGGCCAGGTTAGCTCTGCCCCAGATGGGAAAACCGAAGCTGAGGGTGGCGAACTCCTTAGCCCCAGAGTCCTGAGAGAGAGAGAGAGAGAGAGAGAGAGAGAGAGAGAGAGAGAGAGAGAGAGAGAAAGGGAGAGAAAGGATTTTGTTTTGGTTGTTTGGTTTTTGCTTCTTGGATGGTGCTCAGGGGTTACTTCAGGCTCATGCACTCAGGAATTACTCCTGGTGGTGCTCAGGGGACCATATGGGATGCTGGGAATCGAACCTGGGTCGGCCACGTGTAGAGCAAACGTCCTACCCGCTGTGCTATCACATCAGCCCCCAGAATTCATTCTTGGTGGTGCTCAGGGGACCTATGGGATGCTGGGAATCGAATCTGGGTCGCCCACGTACAAGGCAAACGTCCTACTCGCTGTTCTATCACTCCAGCCCCCAGAATGCATTCTTGATGGTGCTCAGGGGACCATATGGGATGCTGGGGATTGAACCCTGGTCTACCGCTCCCCGGCCCTTGCCAGAGCCCTTCCAGGAGTGATCCCTGAGCACAGAGTCAGGTCTGTGCTCACTAAACATCACTAAAAACAACAAACCACCCAGGGACTGGAGAAATAGTACAATGGGGAGGGCATTTGCCTTGCCCAGGGCTGACCCAGGTTAGATCCAAGCATCCCATAAGATCTCCTGAGCACGGCCAGGATTAAATTTGTGAGTGCAGAGCCAAGAGTAACCTCTGAGCATCACTGGATATGACCCAAAATAAAAACAACCCCCCCAAAATAAACAAAGCAAACAAAATCCCCCAGGGGCAGAGCAGTAGCACATCAAGGGTGCTTGCTTTGCATGCACCTAACCCAGTTTGACCCAGGGCGCCTCTATGGGTTCCCTGAACCCACCAGGAGTGATCCCTGAAGGCAGAGCCAGGAGTAAGCCCTGAGCTCAGCCAATGTGGCTCAAAAAAAAACCCCAAAATTGATTCATTCAATCAGTGTCAAGTCCCCTGTGTTTAGAGCACGTGGCAGACCGTGGAAGGGAGAGAAACTCCAGCAACCCGTAGGGCTTCACCTCTCCTCCTAATCTCAGCATCTCCTCCAAGCTGTAGGGCAGCGGGACCCTCAAACACCACACACACAAACACATGCACACACACACATGCACTCACACGTATGCACACACACATGCACACACACGTACACACATGCACACACATGCATTCACATACACACACGTACACACATGCATGCACACACATGCAAACGTGCACGCACACACACGAACACAGGCATGCACGTGCATACATGCGCACAAGCACACACAGGCGTGCACACACATGCACATACATGTGCGCACATGCACACACATGCACACGCACGCACATACATGTGCGCACACGCACACATGCACATGCGCGTGCACATGCACACACATGCACACACATGCACATGCACGTACACGCATGCACACACAGCACGTCTACATGCACACACATGCACACACATGTATACATGCACACACAAGCACACATGCATTCACATACACACACGTACACACATGCATGCACACACATGCAAACATGCACACACACACATGAACACAGGCATGCACGTGCACACATGCGCACAAGCACACACACAGGCACGCACACACATGCACACGCATGCACACACACGCACACGCACACACACATACATGCAGCGCTTTCCCTCCCAGCTAGGCACCACGGCACACGTCCTTCCCGCCGTACTTTATGTAGCCCTCCACGCTGCTCTGGCCACAGAACTGGTCCCCGAGGAGGTAGGTGTTGTGCGAAGAGCTGATGAAGTAGTGGCTCAGGGGCTGAGTCATGTCCTGGTAGATGGGGAGGTACATGGGGTTGAAGATGTCGCCGTCCTTCGAGCAGAGGTAACTCAGGAAGCCGTCCAAGCTCAGGACACACCGCCTTTTGCCTGGGTGAGGGGAGGGTAGCGGAACATGAGGGCCAGGCGGCAGAGACTGAAGGCAACTGTGCGCGAGATCGCCCTGTGTTTGTCCTTTTTGTCCGGCTCACTTCATTGACATGCTAGCTGAGGGTTCTGTGCGTGTTGCAGCAAATTGCATGGTTTATATGTGATTGTTAAGAGTAACTGGAGGGGCTGGAGCACACAGCAGGGAGGGCGTTTGCCTGGCACGTGGCCAACCCGGGTTCGATCCCTAGCATCCCATATGGTCCCCTGAGCACCGCCAGGAGTAACTCCTGAGTGCAAGAGCCAGGAATAACCCCTGAGCATCGCTGGGTGTGACCCAAAGAGCAAAAAAAAAAAAAAGAGTGGGAGGGGCCTGGAGAGGTGGTGAATTGGCCACAGAGCTTTCCTGGAACGCTGCTGACCCTGCTTTAATCATGGTGCCCCAAGCATCTCCAGGAGCAATTGGGTGTTAACACAAAACAATAACAACAAACTCTACTGGACCAGAGAGAGCTCAATGGACTGACGACAATCTGCATGGAGGAAGTCCAGGTTTGATCACTCGATCAACTGATCTCTGGCAGCCATCCCTGAGATGACTGTGCACAGAACCAGCAGGAGCCCCTGAGCACATCAATGATGGCCGCTGAAGGAAGGAAAGAAAGAAAGAAAGAAAGAAAGAAAGAAAGAAAGAAAGAAAGAAGAAAGAAAGGAGGGAGGGAGGGAAGGAGGGAGGGAGGGAGGGAACAAGGAAGGAAGGAAGGAAGGAAGGAAGGAAGGAAGGAAGGAAGGAAGGAAGGAAAGAAGGAAGAGGGCTGGAGAGAAAGTACAGTGCGTAGGGCATTTGCTTTGCATACAGCCAAGTTGGGTTCAATCCCTGGCATCCCATATGGCGCCCTGAGCACTTCCAGGAGTAATTCTTGAGCATAGAGCCAGGAGTAACCCCTGAGCATCACCAGGTGTGCAGAAAGAAAGAAAGAAAGAAAGAAAGAAAGAATGAAAGGAAGAGAGGGAGGGAAGAAGAAGGAAAAGAAGGAAGGAAGGAAGGAAAGGAGGAAGGAAAAAAGGAAGGAAAGAAAGGAGGCAGGAAGAAAGGAAAGAAGAATGGAAGGAAGAAGGAAGGAAGGAAGGAAGGAAGAAGGAAGGAAGGAAGGAAGGAAGGAGGGAGGGGGAGGAAGAAAGAAAGGAAGAAAGGAAAGAAGAAAGAAAAAAGAATCAGCACACTAGGAGATAGTTCAGGGTTTAGGGAATAAACCTAGCATGCACCTGACCTGGGTTCAATTCCCGGTGCTACATGATCCCATGAGCATTGCCAGGAACAGCCCTGGTGGCCTCATCTGGTTGGTCAAAAGTCACTGGGGGAGAGGCAGGGGATGGGGCGGCCTCCCTGGTCTCCTGAGCACCACTTGCCCCTCCCCCTCCCCAACCTCACACACAAAAGACCATCATAAAAGCAAACGGAAGTCCAGGCTTCGAGGTGACCACTGGCGGCGTCCCTCAATCTATAAATCATTCTGTCCCAACACCAACACAGCATCAGCAGAAGGCAGGCAGGGCGCTGCTGAAGAGGCACTGGAGAGGGGCCGGGTGCACATCACCAGGTGCACATCACCCAGTCACTCCTGAGCACTGCTGGGTGTGCACCTTACCCCACCTCACCCCCCACAAAAAAAAGAGAGAGAGAGAAAAGAAAAAAAGACTTGGAGATATGAGAGCAGAGAAGGCGTCAGTGAGCTGTGCTAGCTAGAGCTGGACGATTGGGATGGTCCACGGAACCATGGAAAAATAAACACAGAGTCAGCTAGATGATTGGGGCCGGAAGGTAGTGTAAGGGCATGTGTGAGGCCAGGGCACCACCTGCCCAGCTCAGCGTCTGTGGCTGTGCCCCACCCCCAAATGCTAGCTCACTTGTCTCCCCCTCATCCCTCTTAATCCCCTTGTAGCTGTGGGGATTAAAGACTCAAGAACCCCTTGGAGGCCAGGAGGACTGGTCAATGGTTGGAATCTACCACAAGTGTGAGTGGGGCGGAGAGTAGGTAAGATAGAGGAGGGACCAGTCTGACAATAATAGCCGGAAATGATCTCGCTGGACAAGAACTGAGTGTTAGAAGTAGGTAAAGGGATATTCCTGATAACCTTCTAGTATCTGTATTGCAAAGCACAATGCCCAAAAGGGTTGGGGGTGGAGAAAGAGAGAGAGAGAGAGAGAGAGAGAGAGAGAGAGAGAGAGAGAGAGAGAGAGAGAGAGAGAGCCTGCCATAGAGGCAGGCTGGTAGGGGATGATGGGAGGGAAACTGGGGACGCTGGTGGAGGAATGGATTTTGGAACACCATATGACTGAAACCTAATCATGAACAGGGTCTATCTTACAGTGATTCAATGAAAAAAAATCTTGGGACGGGCTGGAGCAAGTACAGTGGGTAGGGCGTTTGCCTTGCAGGCGGCCGACCCGGGTTCGATTTCCAGCATCCCATATGGTCCCCCGAGCAGAGCACCGCCAGGAGTAATTCCTGAGTGCAGAGCCAGGAGTAACCCCTCTGCATTACCGGGTGTGACCCCAAAAAGCAAAAAAAAAAACCTGGGGAAAAAAATAAAAGAACCCCTTGGGAATTTGGCGTGGTGGCATGGGGGGGTGTGGGTAGCCCAGGAAAAGGTACAGCTGGTGTTTGTTCGCCTGTTTATTTACTATTATTTTGTTGTTGTTTTTGGGCAACACCTGGTAGTGCTCAGGGGTTACTCCTAGCTGTGTGCTCAGGGGACCATATGGGGGTGCCAGTGATCATACCCAGATTGGCCGCGTGTAAGGCAGGTGCCCTATCTGCTGTACCGCCTCATTTTCTGATTTCTGGTCTGGAGGTGCTGGGGAGACCCTATGAGACGCTGGGGAACTGAACCAGGGTGCTGGCAGTATTGCAAGGCAAGTGTCCGACCCTCAGCACTGTCTCTCTGGACCCTGGAGCTGGCATTTCATTTTTGGGTTTTGTTCAGTTTGGGGGTTACATCCAGAGATGCTCAGAAATTGCTGTTGTTAGTGGTCGAGAGACCATGTGGGATGTCACGGGTCGGAGGACCCCCTGTGTGCAAGGCAAGTGCCCTCCCACTGTATACTATCTCCTTGGTCCTGGAGCTGGCATTTAAAGGACCAGCTAGGGACTGGACAGATAGTACAGTGGGTAAGGCATTCGCTTTGCACACGACCGACCCGGGTTCGATCCCCAGTTGCCCCCGTATGAGCTCTGCCAGGATTAATTCCTGAGTGCAGAGCCAGAAGTCTGGCTGAGCACTGTTGGGTGTGCCCCCCCCCAAACAAAAACAAACAAAAAGAGAATAAAACAAAGAACCAGCCCATGGAGAATGGGCAGAAGGGAAGGTCCCAGCAGCAGCAGAAGGCAGAGGCCAAAGCAAGAGGCCACGGAGGGGTCGCCACTGCTGGCCAGACTGAGACAAAACGGACATGAGGGTTCAGTAAAGGCCAGGCGGGGTCTGCGGAATGTTCCAGCACTGCAGAGGAGCTCCCGGAAAGGCTGCCCTCCTTTAGGAAGAGGCCAGACGGGAGAAAGATGGGGAAGTTGTGAGTGGGGACCCGGAGGGAGGGAACCTGGCCTCGTTCCTCACCGCCCCTGCCCAGGCCTCTGCGGCGTCTCTTACCACTCTCAGAGGGCTCATAGCGGCCGATGAGCTCCAGGGCCAGGTCGGTTGCCTGCTCCCCTTCCTTCTGCTCCTCTTGCAGGAAATCGGCAAATTCCAGCAGGGTCAGCTTCTGTCCATCGGCCGAGAAGCTTCGGAACAGCTCGCGCACCTCCACGCGCTTGGTCAGCACCTTGTAGAACTGCACGAATTCTTCTCCCTCCAGAGTGCCGGACTCAGAGGTGTCAGCATCCTGCAGAGACGGGTGCGAGGCACAAGGGCTGGGACCTGCGACTCTCCCAGAAGGGTGATCTGGGAACTGAGGCCCCGGGCACGCCTCCCTGTGATCTCCCCACACTCAGGGCCTAGGGGAGCAAAGGTTCGGCCATAGCACTGGCTGCTAGAGACTTTTCAACTAGGATGCAATGCCCGCCCCACCCCCCAAAAAATCTCTACAAGATCTAAAGATGCCTCTTTATGTTTTAATTATTTGGGGGCGGGGCGGATGCCACACCTGGTGGTGCTCAGGGTTGACCCTTGGCTCTGTACTCAGGGATCACTCCTGGCGGTGCTCTGGGAACCATATGGGATGCCAGGGATTGAACCAGGGCTGGCCGTGTGCAAGACAAGCACCGTACCCATTGTACTATCTCTCTGGCCCCCTCAAGGCTCTTGACCATGCTCAGGGATCACTCCTGGCAGTGTTTGGGATCATCTATTAAGGGCCAGGAATCAAACTGGGGTTGGCTGCATGCAAGGCAAGTGCCTTAAGCCTCTATTTCTTTGGCTCTTTTCTTGGTGTTTTCCATTCTCCAAGGCACCTTGGGCAGGGAGTCCCTTGATAACAATGCTGTGTACCTTTCGAACAGAGTAGAGATCGAAGCGACAGGACAGTGGGGAGGGTGCTTGCCTTGAACCCGGATGACCTGGGTTGATCCCCAACATCCCATATAGTCCCCTGAGCGCCACTCATAGTAACTCCCGAGTTACAGAGCCAGGACTATCTCCTGAGTATCACTGGATGTGGCTGTCCCCCAAAGAGAAAAGTGAGGGTGGAGAGATGGTACCAGGTAAAGCTCTTGCTTGGCACATGACGAAGCCAGGTTTGATCCCCATCACCCCGTAGGGTACCCTTGAGCCCTGCCAGGAAAGATCCCTGAGCGCAGAGCCAGGAGAAAGCCCTATGTGCCACCAAATGTGGGTGAAACCAAAAACAAACAAACAAATGAAGAAGGAGGAGCAGCATGCCCTGCCCACCCACCCATCAACCCCCGCACCCATGCGGCACCTGGGGGGGAGCTTCAACAGGTGAGCACTGCTGTAAGGGACTGCATCCCTCAGCCAGGAGAGATGGCCCCGCTGCCCTCTGCAAAGCCCGGCCAGGGCCACTCACCTGGAAAAGCTGGAAGGCGTAATCTTCGTCCATGTCTATGTTCATCAGGTGCAGTAAGCGCTTGGTTTCCTGGAACGTCATTCTGCCATCCTGGTTTCTGTCTCCGCGCTGGAACAAGTCACTCAACCATCCAGGGTAGAGTTAAGGCAAAAGCACGGGGAGGCGCATGCGTAGATGCCGGGGGTCACACTTCTCCCCGCATCCTGCATCAGTCTCTCCCCCAACCCCTTGTCCACGTTAGCTTCCAGAGTCTTCCTCCCAGGCACTAGTCTACCTGGTCAGCACACAGTTCAGCCACCGACAGAGAAGAGAAGTCAAACTCACTTTCGCCCCCCTGATCTGGCTGTCCTGGGCCCCACAAAGATGCTCCCACATCCTGTGTCTGTCACTGTCACTGTCACTGTCCTCCCGTTGTTTATCGATTTGCTCGAGCGGGCCCAGTAACGTCTCCATTGGAGACTTTGTTGTTACTGTGTTTGAAATATCGAATATATCACGGGTAGCTTGTCAGGCTCTGCCATGCGGGTGAGATACTCTCGGTAGCTTGCCTGGCTCTTTGTATCTAAACTTTTTTTTTTTTTTTTTGGAGTGGGAGCCACATCTGGTGGTGCTCAGGGGAGCTTACTGGGTGATGGGAGCTGAGTCCGGGTTGGCTGTGTACAAGGCAATAGCCCTATCCACTGCTGTGCTATCGCTCTAGCCCTGAGTCTACGCTTTTAATCACACCACTCCGTCATGCAGGAGTGCCCTTTGCACCTCATTTTCATGCTCCAGTTCTACTCATTTTTCAGGTCCGGCCCAAATGCTTCTTTCTCTCTGAAGTTTTCTCAAAACTCTTCCACTAAAATGAGAGGCTTCTTGACGCCAGAGTGATAGCATAGCAGATAAGGCGTTTGCCTTACATGCGGCCAACCCAGGTTTGATCCCCAGCATCCCATATGGTCCCCTGAGCATCACCAGGAGTAGTTCCTGAGTGAAGAGCCAAGAGGAAGTCCTGAGCATCGCCAGGTGTGGCCCCAAAACTACAATAAAACAAAATTTTATGAAATGAAAGGTTTCTCCTTCGTTCAAACACTTGCAGATAATCCAGGTGCCCGGTGTTTACACTAGATAATTCTCTCTGCCAGCCAAAGCAATACCTGAGTCTGTTCGGCTACAAATCACTCAACCTGAGGGGACCTGATACACGCTGCCTAACGAATGAATTGTCAAAGGCAGGGTGGGGAAAGACCGGGAGATCTGGAAGGGCACCGCTAAGGCTAAAGGCATCTGTCCTTTAAGCCTGGCATTTGTCCCGCAGTTAATGCCACTGGCATCTTCTGATACTTTTTGGTTTGTTTTGGGGCCACTCCTGACAATGCCAAGAGCTTACTCCTGGCTCTGCACCCAGAAATCATTCCTAGCGGTCCTCCAGGGACCGTATGGGGTGCTCGGGATTGAACCCATGTCAGTGGTATTCAAGGTAAGTGTCCTACCTGCGGCACGATCTCTCCAGCCCTTGGCACCTTCTGTTCTTATGTTTTTATTCCCACCCCCCTTTTGTGGGGAGGAAGCACACCCAGCAGTGCTCAGAGGCTACTCCTGGCTTTGTGCTCAGGATTGACCACCCCCCCACCAGCCTGTGCTCAGAGGACCCTCTGCAGTGCCAGGGGTCAAACCAGAGTGCATGCTGTCTCTCCACCCTCCTACCCTTTTCTCTGTTTCTGTTCTATTTTGAGGCCACACCTGGAGATGCTCAGAGCTTAATTTCTTTTTCTTTTTAAGCCATACCCAGCGATGTTCAGGGGTTACTCCTGGCTCTGCAATGAGGAATCACTCCTAGTGGTACTTGGGGGATCAAATGGGATGCTGGGAACCGAACCCAGGTCGGCCGTGTGCAAGGCATACGTCATCCCTACTATAGCTCTGGTCCCCGCTCAAGGCTTATTCCTGGCTCTGCACTCAGGAATCATTACTGACAGCGTTTGGGGGTACATATGGGATGCCGAGGATCAAACCCAGGTCAGCCACATGCAAGGCAAACACCCTACCCACTGTACTTACTCTCTCTCTCTCTCTCTCTCTCTCTCTCTCTCTCTCTCTCTCTCTGGTTCCCCATACTCTCCCCTTTATTTGCAAGCAGAATATTTGCAGAACTATTTTTCTGCATTTCTCCCCCTTTTTCGGTGAGATGAATACATGGCAGGAAGCTGTGGGACCGTCTGTCCCTCTGAGACTCACACCTCCTAGAATCCTTCAACTCCCAGAGGTCTTTCCCCCGTCCCACAGGGTCTGAATCTTTCCCAACAACATCTTGACTATTCCTCATGCAATCCCTGCCCCCCCCCCCCCCGCATCAGACCCTAGCCCTCTGCCTCCTCCGACTCCACCTCCCCACCCACCTGCCTGCCCTACCCCCACCTCCCCCATGTCTGAACTCTGGGGCTGCGTCTAGGGGACCCCGGGCCCCTGACTGGGTCCTGGTGATACTGGTCCTGTCGCTCCTGTTGGTCCATGTTCTTGACGAAGTCTATCAGCAGCTGGAGGCCCTCCATCCAGATGTGGGCTTCCTCCACGCTATTGGCCACCAGGTCCAGGTTGTCGCGCCGGCCATGGAAGACCACGGTGAAGCCCTGAATCAGGGCCGACTCGTCCTCCAGGCTGCGAAGCAACTCGGACTCCGCGCCCAGCCGCACCGTCTCCACGTCGGAGATGGAGACTGTGGGCAGCAGAGAGATGGGGGCGGGGGGTCAGGCCCTCTGGGGATGGAGCATCCAGGACCTCTAGCTGTCTCTCCTCTGGGTGGGATGCCCAAGCTGCACAGGTTGGGCACCCCAGAAGCCTTGGTGCAGAGAGAGATGGGCCCTGGGCTGGAGGGCCCACTCTGGGTCAGTGCCTGCTGTTTCCACTGGCCTGGCGCCAGGGAGTGAGGACAGTGGGGAAGGTGCTTCCCTGACACGTGGCCAACTTGAGTTCGATCCCTGGCATCCTGGATAGTCTCCTGAGGCCTGCTGGTAGTGACGCTTGAATGCACAGCCGGGAGCAAGTCCTGAGCCCCGCCTGAGGTCGCTCAAAAACAAATCCCAAACCCACAAGTGACAGAAAAACAGAAAAAATGGATTTCATTAAAATTCAAATATTTCATTTAAATTCATCAAGGAAGACCTAAAGAACGGGTGGAAACAGTTACGGGCCAGAACGACAGTACAGAGGGGAAGGCACTTGCCTGGCACATGGCTGACCCCGGTGTGATCCCCAGCACCTAATGGGGTCCCCCAAGCCCCATTCAGAGTAATCCTGAGCACCACTGGGTATAACCCCCAAAATAAAAATGTAAAAGGCTGTGAGCTGGGGACCTGAGCCATAGTAACAGCAGGTAGGGCGCTTGCCTTGGACAGGGCCGACCCAGGTTCGAGGTTCAATCCCAGCCATCTCCTCCAGGATTGATTTCTGAGCCAGGAGCAACCCCTGAGCATCACCCGGTGTGACCCCAAAACCAAACCAAAACAGTTGTGCTCGGGGGCCATGAGTTGCAGGGGATTCAACCCAGGCCTCCTGCATGCAATATCTGCGGTCACCCCCAGGAGCTGTTCCCTCGCCCCCTGGCTCAGACCCGACAACTTCCTCTTTCCAGATGTCTAGGAAGGAGCCAGAGAAACCCTTCCAGGCTCTGCTCTCAGCGGGGGGCTGTGGGCCCTGAGCTTTGGTGTGTCCCTCATGCATACCCTCCAGGATGCATCCTCTGAGGAAAAGTACGTATTTGATCAACAGACTGCTTTGTTTTGCTTGGGGGCCATACCCAGTGGTGCTCAGGGCTTACTCCTGGCTCTGAGCTCAGGAATTATTCCCAGCAGTGATGGTGGAACCATATATGGTGCCAAGGATCAAACCCAGGTGAGCCGAGTGCAAGACAAGAGCTTTCCCATCCCTGACCAATCGGCAGACTATTCTGGTGATGTCCAGTCACTGTCACTGTCCTGTCACTGTCCTCCCGTTGTTCATTGATTTGCTCGAACGGGCCCAGTAACATTGTTACTGTGTTTGGCATATTGAATACATCACGAGTAGCTTGCCAGGCTTTGCAGTGGTCGAGATACTCTCGGTAGCTTGCCGGGCTCTCCGAGAGGGGCGGAGGAATCGAACTCGGGTCGGCAATGTTGGCCACTTGCAAGGCAAACGCCCTACCCACTGTGCTATCACTCCAGCCCAGTGATGTCCAGTGCTGAACATTTTTTTTTATCAGAATGGCTAATGTGGTGCGGGTGGGCAGGAACCAGAGGGAAACTGGAGATACTGGTGGTGGAAATGTGCACTGGTGAAGTGACCAGTGTTGGAACATTGTATGACTGAGACCCAACTATGAACGACTTTGTAAGTGTGTATCTCATTGTGATTCAATTAAAAAAAAACTTAAAAAAAACCTTCAAAATATATATTTTTTATTTATTTTTAAATGTAGGAGTATGCTATTTATTCAGCCACCGATTAGGCTGATTGAATTGGGCATGAACTCTACAAAAAATATATATATATTTAAAAACAGGGAATGGCTAACATGTCCCACGCAGCCTGCTCCCCTGGGCCCTTGAGTCCCTGTGATCGATAGGGCAGGTACTGTTTCATTCACATTTCAACCAAGGACTAGACTGACACTTAGTTTAAGTTAAGTAATGTGTTCACAGCCATTTGGCTAGAAAGTGGTCAAACCCAGGGCTTTATACCTGTCTGATGCCTGAGTCACTTATTTCATATGACGGCGATGATAACAGAAAGATAGAACCAATGATCTAGCCAGGATTTTTCTAGGTCTTTTATATTTTGTTTTATTGGGAGGCCATACCCGAACTAGGTAGTGCTAAGGGTTTATTCCTGCCTCTGAGCTCAGAGGGGCCTTTTTATTTTCTATTTATTTATTTATTTTGCTTTTTGGGTCACACCCAGCGATGCACAGGGGTTACTCCTGGCTTTGCACTCAGGAATTACTCCTGGCAGTAGAGGAGCCTTTTTAATTTTTGTTTTTGGGGGCTCTACCCAGCGGTGCCCCTGGAGGGCTCAGGGCTGCTGGGGATTGAACCCAGGTCAGCCACATGCAAAGCAAGAGCCCTACCTGCTGTCCCAGGTCTTTTAGATGAAATAACTAATTCCATCCTTATACAAGCCTTAGAGGCAAATCTGTTTTGTTTTGAGTCCCCGCCTCCCGCATGGGTGGGGAGGCATTGGGCCCCACCCAGTAATACTCAGGGGCTATTCCGGGTTCTGTGCTCAGGGGTCGCTCCTGGTGGTGTCTGGGGGACTGTATGTGGTGCCCGGAACTGACTCCGGCTGGGACCCAGACAAAGTGAGTGCCTTCACCTGTGTATGGCCTCTCTAGCCCGAGACGCAATGGCTGTTCTAATTTCCAGGTGGCAGGTTGACATCAGACCCGGGTAGGCATCAACAACGGAGTCGTGGAAAGGCAGGTCCCTCCCTCCCTCCTTCCCTCCCTCCCTCCCTCTGCACGCCCACCCCGGACCCGGACCCGCAAGGTCACTCACAGCTGAGTTTGGTGCTGCTTCCGACTTGCCGGGAATGCCACACGGTCATGCCATCTTCGTGGAGCTTGAAGAATCGCTGCTTCTTCCAGTTTTTCGACCTCACCTTGCACATCATGGTCCCTTGCTGCATCCGCATCAGGTCTTCGTTGCCAGGGAGCCCTGGGCCTGAGGACACGGGGCAGGGGGGCAGAGAAGAGGAGGATGGGGCGCCCAGGAGAAGCCGTTGGACAGGGGTCTCCGCCACATCCCCTGGATTGTCTCCCCAATCTTTTCCCCTAAGAAAAAGGGGTACTCACGCACTAGTGCGGAGGCCATCACCCACTCTTCCACCAGGTGGCACCAGAGTCACCTAAAGCAGAAGGGAGACCCAAACACCTTTGGTTGATTTTTGCAGGGTTTTTTGGTTTGTTTATTTTTGGTTTGGGGTTACTCCTGGCTCTGCACTCAGGAGTCACTCCTGGAGGTGCTCGGAGACCAAATGGGATGCCAGGAATTGAACCTAGCTCATCCTTGTGCAAGGCAAGCACCCCATCCAATGTACTATTGCTCTTACTCATCATTTTGCAGTTTTTAGAATAATCTATCCAAGCGGGAAGAAAAGGAAACTCCTGATTCTATTTACATGAGTGAAAATTATTTTTTGATTTTTATTTTGGTGAGGGGGTACAAACCGGGCAATGCTCAGGTCTTATTTCTGGTTCTGCACTCAGGGATCACTCCTGGCTGGGTTCAGAAGGGGCCATACATGGTGCCACTGATTGAACCCAGGTCAGACAGGACACATGCAAGACAAGAGCTCTCCCTCTTCTCTGGCCCCAACAAAAGTTATTTTTACTTCTAAGTTTCGATGGCTCTGAATTTGGACTCTTTAGAATTTGGGGGATGGTTTGGGACACACTCAGCAGTGCTCAGAGGCCACCAGGACCAGAGCTATAGGTGCTAGGAAAAGAAGGAGACCAGAGGTGTCAGGGATGAAATCAGTGCTTCATACATGCGAAGTATGAGTTCTACCACTAAGCCACTCCTCATCCTTCAACTCCCTACTGCACTAGGGCACTGTCCTCCCATTGTTCATCGATTTGCTCGAGCGGACCCAGTAACATCTCTATTGTGAGACTTGTTGTTACTGTGTTTGGCATATGGAATACGTCACAAGTAGCTTGCCAGGCTTTGCCGTGCAGGCAAGATACTCTTGGTAGCTTGCCGGGCTCTCTGAGAGGGGCGGAGGAATCGAACCTGGGCCGACCAGGTCAGCCGCGTGCAAGGCAAACGCCCTACCCATTGTGCTATCACTCCCTACACTACCGAGGAAACAGCTGAAGTGTAGAGAAGATCCTAGTGGTTTAGTGTCCTACAGGGAATTCTCCTCCTCCTCCCTCCTCTTCCTCCTCCTTCTCTTCCTCCTCCTTCTCTTCCTCCTCCTCCTTCTCTTCCTCCTCCCTCCTCTTCTTCCTCCTCCTCCTCCTCCTCCTCCTCTTCCTCCTCCTCCTCCTCCTCCTCTGGTTTTGGGAGCACAAAATAAAAACCCAACCCAGGGGCTGGAGTGAGAGCACAGCGGGTAGGGCGTTTGCCTTGCACACGGCCGACTGGGTTCAATTCCCAGCATCCCATATGGCCCCCTGAGCACCGCCAGGAGTAATTCCTGAGTGAAAAGCCAGGAGTAACCCCTGAGCATCGCCAGGTGTGACCCAAAAAGGAAAAAAAAAAACAATCCAAAACACTTGCTGCTGGGGCCAGGAAGTTAGTAGAGAGGTTGGGGCATTTTTCCTGTACTCAGTCAACCCAGGTTCAATCCTTGATACCTGATAATGGTCCCCCATACCCAGTTAGGAATGATTCCTGAGCTCAGAGTCAGAAGTCAGCTCTGAGCACCATTGAGTGCATCCCGTCCAAAACAAAACAAAACAAAACAAAATAATAAAACCACACTGCTCAGGGTCCACATCCAGTGGTGCTGGACCAGTAAGAACAGCAGGATTCAAACCCAGCATGGATGCTGGGCAACCGCCCCAACCTTTGTACTCTCAGAGGCCCTGGGAAGAGCATATCAAGCCACTCAGTGGGAATTTAGTATCTAGAAAGAATGTGGAGATCATTGGGGGGAAAACCCACAAAGAATGAAACAGATTCCCAGGAGGCTGGAGAGATAATACAGATAATACACCTGCCTAGCATACACCCAACCCAGGAATTTTTGTTTATTTTTGTTTTAGGGCCACACATGGGGCTTCTCAGGGTTTACTCCTTGCTTTGTTCCAAGGGATCATTCCTGTGGGGGTTGGGGGACCACCTGGGGTGCTCAAGATTGATTCTGGGTCAACTAAGTGCAAGGCACAGGCACGCACCCTCTGTACTATCTCTCCAGCCCCCCATCCTGGTTTCTGTTTGTGGAGCAGAGGAAGGAAACTATTTTTTTTCTTTTTGGGTCACACCTGGTGATGCACAGGGGTTACTCCTGGCACTGCACTTAGGAATTACTCCTGGCGGTGCTCAGGGGACTATATGGGATGCTGGGAATTGAACCTGGGTTGGCCGCGTGCAAGGCAAACGCCCTATCCGCTGTGCTATCTCTCCAGCCCAGATAGAAACTTTTGACTCTGGGGGGCGGGGTGTGTGTGTGTGATGCAGTCTCTGTGACTGTGCCATCCCTATCCCAGACTTGGTTTCAGGGAGAAAATTAGTGACTGGTTCAGCCAGAGACACAGAGTGACTTTAGGGGAACCAGGTCTCCTTTTGGACAGCTCAACCTCACCCTTATGCCTCCCCCCTTCCCTGCCCCTAGGTTTTATTTATTTATTTATTCGCTTCTGGGATGCACAGGGTTTACTCCTAGCTTTGCACTCAGGAATTACTCTTGGCGGTGCTCCGGGGACCCTATGGGATGCTGGGAGTTGAACCCAGGTCAGCCACCATGTGCAAGGCAAATGCCCTACCTGCTGTGCTATCGCTCCAGCCCCACTGCACTTTGCTTTATTTTTTGGGTCAGACCAGGCAGGGCTCCGGTGGGGGGGTCACTCTCAGCAGCGCTTGTGGGGCCCTGGGGTGCTGGGGGTGGGTGCTGGGGCCCTCCTGCAAGGCTGTCCGGCCCTTGCAAGGGGCCATTTCCCCAGCCCCTCCATCTCAGAAAGGGCCTTTCTAGCAGCAAGCTGGTGACCGCGAGGCTGAGAATCACCAAGAGACACCCCGCTTTTGTCTGTTTCCCCTATATGATCTGTTCCCACCGTCTTTCCTTAATCCTCTTCCTTTTTTCTTTCTTCTGCTTTCCCTGTCCTCGGGCTGGTCTTTCTCGTCCTTTCTCCCCTTGCTCACTCTCTTCTCTTTTTTTTTTCGGGGGCCACACATGGTGATCCTGCGGGATTAGGTGGTGCTGGAGCTTGAAGGGGAGCCACAGGCTGCGTGCAAGGCAAGCGCCCTCACCTTGTACCATCTCTCTGGTCCTCTAGTGCACTGGTCCTCTGGTCCTCTCCCCAATGCCCCCCTACCCCCCGCCCGGTCCCCAAACCGCTCTTGGCTCGCCCTTCGCCCCATCACCTCTGCCTCTCTTTTCATCTGCTGGTTTCCAAGAGCGGGCGATTTTCATCCCCTGGCAGGGTGGGGAGCCAGGGGTCCAGGTGGGAGGACATTTGGGTCCAGCGACATGGAACTACATCCCTCTGCTCCCTTTACTGTTCCTCCCTCTCCCCCCCCCCCCCCCCGCCCGTATCCTAGGAGATCAGATAAACAAACTGCCCAGAGAATGGCACTTTGGAAACCAGGGGTTCTAGATCTGTGTGTTTTGTGTTCTCTCCGGGGAGGCGATGGGGTGTACAGGGAAGGACGGTCACAGTCTCACAGCCGTGCATGCAGTGAGGGTGAACAGGGAATCTGAGAGGGGGAGGGGAGGGAGCGGGAGGAGCCAAGGGGTGGGGACTCAGAGACAGGAGGCAGGGGAAGGGGGGGCGTCTTCGTTATTGACTCCTGTGAGAGGACCAGTATCTTGGACAAGTATCCCTGGTCCCTGGTAGTCTGCAGACAAGTTCGGGGGCCCCTCTCTGCTCCCTTCGAGCGCAGATTAGAAAGTTGTAGTGGCAAGTCATGCACTTAGACTGGGGCGAAGGCTCAAAGGACTGGCAGAAGCTTCGCCTGCAGGAATCCGAGGTTTCAATCCCTATTCGTGCATGGGGCAGGGGTGCAGGTGGGGGGGCTAGCCTACATCTGCCACCTCATGCCAGTTTTGCCAGGAGCAACCCCTGAGTTAGGGGTCTTCCCAGAATAGGTCTTTGACTCCCTAACACAGTAGTCAGGCTCATGAATGGGTGAAAGAGAAGGTCTGGACTCAGCCCCTGCCCCTTTCCAAGAAAGTCACACATCGGGCTGTTTGTGTGTTTGTGTGTGTGTGTGTGAGAGAGAGAGAGAGAGAGAGAGAGAGACAGAGAGAGACAGAGAGAGACAGAGAGAGACAGAGATAGTGAGAGAGAGACCGAGATAGTGAGAGAGAGAGAAAGAGAGAGAAGAGAGAGGAGAGAGGAGAGAGAGGAGAGAGGAGAGAGGGAGAGAGGGAAAGAGAAGAGCAGGTAGGGCATTTGCCTTGCATGCGGCTGACTGGGGTTCATCCCCAGCATCCCTATGGCCCCCTGGAACCTACCAGGAGGGACCCCTGAGTGCAAAACCAAGAGTAAGCCCTGAGTACTGCCAGCCAGGTGTGGCCACAACAAACAGAAAAAGAAAAGAAAAGAAAAGAAAAGAAAAGTGTCCGATGTCTCCTTCCTTATTACTCTCTGCTGCTGGAGCTGCTTTTCTCTCCTCGGGCCCTTCCCGGCAACCCTCCATTCCCTGTCCCCTAATCTATGCCCACGTGCCCTCCCCCATGCCCGCCAGTTCTCAGTCCCCTTCTGGGCTGTGACTCACCGAGCCCGGGCAGATAAGCCGGAGGTCCAGCAGCAAGAGACTGACGGAGCAAGGCAGGGGGAAAACTGTAAGTCAAAGAGGATAAGCCGAGGGAGTCCGGGCTCTGGGCCCCGCGGGGGTCCCAGGGAATTAGGAAGGGGCGGCTGGCCGTGTGTGTCCCCCTGCGGGGAGAGCCAGCTGGACACCCGTGGCAGCCCGGGTGCAGCCAAGCCAGCCCGGTTCCTGAGGGAGGACAGGCTTGGAGAAACCGGCGAGGTGTGGCGCTCACCTCCTCGCCCGGCTGCCCAGTGCCTCTTAAAGGCCCAGGACTCTGGGCAGCGCGAGCTGGCCGCAGCCGCGGGGGAGGGAGGCGGCCGGCCTGGGTCTCCAGGAGGAGGAGGAGGAGGAGGAGGAGGCGGAGGCGGAGCCTGGCTGCCCTTGGCTGGACG